AGTACCTGGCCACATAGTGGATACTTAAAAATGCTTAGTGAGTTGAATTGAATTATTTCTATCTTACAGGGGGGAGGGGGGGCCCCGGTGGAGAACTGATGCTCTGAAAAATGAACTGATTTGCTCAGGGTCATTTAGGCAGTAAGGGGGGCAGGCAAGATTGAACTTTAAGAGTGCCTTTTTTCAGTGTAACACAGACATGTTTGTCTCCAATAGTGGGGATGGTCTGTAACCAAGTCCCTACTATGACCAATGGCACATATTTGCAAAATGACCGAGGTCAGAGGTGTCAGTTTGTGGCCTTCAGATGGAACAAAGCCAAACCAAAGTCAAACGCATGACCTTGGTCTTCAGTAGCTCTTACCCATTGCAGTAATGAATTGCAGCCATAGGCAGATTTATCTGTAAATAGGCATCTTTTCCTAGATTTGGGCCAACCTCCCTGGCAGCCTCAGGAGGTCCTGAGGCTGAGTGGTTAGGGAGGCCCTGGTGGCCAAGGAGTCTGGAGGGCTGGGCTTCCAGCCCAGGAGTCTTCCCTTGGGAAAAGGCCTATGTGTCATTTCCTTATTGAAAGTAAATTGGATGGGGGTGAGAATGCCTGGGCAGGCGGGTGGGTGAGGTGACCAGTCTGAATTCAGCATCCTGCCTCTCCCTCATAGTCCAAGTGGTCGGGGGGGGGAGGGTTTGAAGGAAAACAAATGAAGCCCTCACTTAGGGTCCCCATGGGAGGTTGCACAGGGGACACTTCCTTCCTGGTCTTGGCAGGTGGTCAGTTTATTCCCTGAAACTCGAGCCTGGGGTCTGTTTACATGCCCTGATGCCATGGTCACCGACTGAATGTTAGTGGACCTGAATTTCTCCCACCCTCCCTTTGGCCTCTAGTGACCTGGCTCCACCAGTTAATGGCAGGCCTCTGTGAAGAAGTATTTCCTTGAATTCTCCATGGCCTGCCCTTTGGGCTCACCTCCCTGCCTTTCCTCTCAGAGCCCTCCCTGCTTCTGATTCCCAAGGGACAAGTTTCTTGGCACACTCTCCTAGCCCATAGTGATCTTTCTCTTGTGAATATCTTAGAATCCTAGATGGAGAGTGTCAGAGTTGGAGGGGACATTGGGAATCACAGATGCCAAGCATCTCTTTGTGGAGATGGATAAATTAAGTCCCAGAAAGGGACTTATTCAGAGTTACACAGTGAGTTAGTGACAGAGCTGAGACCAACCAAGTCTTCTGAGCCTCAAGACCCGTGTTAAACAATGGTCATCTAGAAGCTAGTGCTACAGATGACAGGCCCTGTATGAGGTAGAAAGCCTTGAGCTCCCCCTACCTTGGCTCTGCGGAGAGTCCCAGAGGAAAGTAGCCTCCAAGGGCAGCCTGGAAAGGGAACTTGGAGAGGCTGGTGTCCTAGTGAGCTGCCCACTCCTGTCCCTCTGATGCCCTGGGGGTTAGCATAGCATTCCTAGTGATGGCTATTTCTTCCTCTCGAATCTGGTTCGAGGAGTAGAACTGAAGGCAGTAAGTTGATAGACCTTCCACTTGACCCCCTAGAGAAAAGGGGAACTCTGGGCTGGTGTGTGGTTCGCTTTTTTCCTCCTCCAGCATGTTTGTGTGTGGGGTGGAAATCAAATGAATTGCAACCTAAGTCGTTTCCAAGTCTTTTATTGAATTCCTTTCCCATACAGTCACCCTAGGCTGTGTGGGGAGAGCAACGTACACTCATCCACTGGTTGTAACTTCCTCCTGGTGATTTAGGGAAAAAGTTGACTTCAGGGATGCACAGGGCTTGGAGGCAGAAGGAGAATGTGAAAAACCTCAGCGAGACATTCCAGTATTGGGGCTACAGCTTTCCTGTTTGGCTCTCCTCTAGTCTGTTGCTCTGTGACCTAAAGTCAGGCACTTCTCCACTACAGGCTCCAGTTTCCTCAGGTATAAATAGAGATGTGGATACCTGACTCCTTTCTGAGAGTGGGGGTAGATTAATTAGCATCCCCATTGGTTATTGAGTATCCCTTATGAGCATGGGGCCAGAATGCTTTTAATAAAGGACACTTCAGGTCAGCTGCTAGCTCTGCCACTACCTTGCCTGTGACTTGGGGTAATACCCTTCCCCATTCTTGCCTCAGTTTCCCTTGTTATTAAGTGAGGAGGTTGAACTACAAGATGCCACTTATTATTTGTGTGACCTTGGCCAAGTCTCTTCATGTCTCTGAGCCTCAGTTCCTCATCTAGAAGGTGAAGGACTGGATTATATAACCTTTGAGGCTCCTCATAGTTCTAAACCTAGGATACTAGTATCTCTAAGTCCCTCCCAGCTTTGGCATTCTATTTTCGCTATGATGGCGAGCCATCCTCTGATGCCTCCTCATGGAAGAGATTGTGGGGTCTCAAAGACCGTGCCGACGTAGTACAAACTCAGACAGTTCCTGTCTACCAAGTTGGAAAGACTGCAAAGGGGCCCAGTGATGGATGGGGTGTTTGACATCTCAGGGCTGGAGCAGCTGAACACCGAGGCTTATCACGAGTAAATTGACCTCAGCAGCTTCTGAAACCTCCGCACAAGGTGTGGATGGATTGTGATCTGTGTCAGTGGAAAAAGTAACCACACTGAATTAATGACGTATCTTCTGAAGTTCTGACGTAGCAAAGACAGAGAAATCACGGTGCTTCCCTTCAAGGCATTTGCAGTCTGGCATCCTCTTCAGCAACTTTGAGCAAATCAACACTGAAGTTTCTCTGGGCTCAACAACTGTTTGTCTGTTTATGGATTAACCATTTTGGGGAGCTATCCACGCCTAGTCTGGACCCCCTAGCCTCCACTTTTTCCTCCCCCTTCCCTTGTTCTCCTTCCCCTACCCACCTTTCACCTAGGCAGCCTATTGTATGCTTTGGAAGTATGGGCTCTTTTGACTATTAGCTCAACTCCAGTAGAGTCGGATGTCCAAAGTGAAGGTCAAAGCCGACGGAGCTGCTTCATAGGGCTTCTTCATATTGCTAACGCTCCTGTGAATAGCCCCAGCTGCTGCAGCATAAACTTGCTTATGACTGTCGCCGCTCCTCCCAACACTGGCTTTGGACCTCCAATTCCCAAATGCTCGTAGTGGGAATGGCCTGTCCTCCAAACGACCTCCTCTGCCTCTTCTTCTTAGCCCAGCATCCTTAGCAGCACAGAGGATGCAAAAAGAGAAACAGGGTCCTAGAAACACAGAATGTTGGAACTGAGAGGGCCCTTGGAACACAGAACATCACGCGGGAGCTGGAAGGGACCTTAGAGACCAGTAAACTCAAGCCTCTCATTTGAAAGAGGAGGAACCTGAAGTCCAGTGAGGTAGTTAGCAGTTTCCCTGGGATCAAAGGCGAGGCCATCTAAGGGATGTCGTGGTGGCCAAAGAAGGGGAAGGCTACATGGGAATAAAAAAGTAGGTTGGGAGGCAGCTAGGTGGTGCAGTGGATAGAGCACCGGACCTGAAGTCAGGAGGATCCGAGTTCAAATCTGGCCTCAGACCAAACACTTGACACTTACTAGCTGTGTGACCCTGGGCAAGTCACTTAACCCCAATTGCCTAAAAAAAAAAAAAGTAGATTGGGGTGTAACTAGGTAGGTGTACTCATGGCTCCTGCCCTAATGAGGGGCACAGACCTGTCTTTTCACTTCAGTCTGACCCCTCACAGGCATTGATAGGAGCACATACATGTTTCCCTCAGGGCAGAGACTGTCTCCTACTTCAGTGCCAACTGCAGAGGTGACCACATGGTCGTTAAACACTGGCCAGAAATCTGGCCATTCTCATGGTCCTGTGTCTGTCCCAGACAGTGAGGGGGCCTCAGCCACTGACTGCCTGGTCAATTTTGCTAGCACATCTTACACCTCTGCACCTTCTTCTCTGCTTCTGTGGCCCAGCCCTTATCTCTCACATGGATTTTTTGCAGCAACGTCCAGCCTCTCATCTTGCAATCCATCCTTCACAGAACAGCTAGATTTATCTTCCTAATTCATTACTTTGATCATGTCGCTCACCTGCCTAAAACCTTCAATGGCTGCTTGTTGCTTACAGGATAAAGCCCAAACTTTTCAGCCTAACATTCTGAGCCCTCCACAAACTAAGATACTTTTCCAGCCTTATCTCCAGCTAATCCCCCTCATGCACTCTACAGATCGGTCAAACTGGACTAGGATTTAAACTTGGCATTCCCTAAAGTCACCTCATGCTTTCCTACCTCCAGATCTTTCCTCTCTTCCCTCCTACCTGGGGGTGTCTGCACTGCCCTACTTATCCTTCAAGGTTCAACTCAAATGCCACCTCTTCCAGGAAGCCTTCTTCCTTTTAACTGTGATGACACTTGGTACCGGCCTGGTGGCCCCCACTCCCTTCTTCTGTGGATCAGGAATGGCATCTCACAAGTCTCAGTGCAATTTTAAACTACTAAAGTTACTCGTGTCTGTGCACTATTTTGTCTACTACACTGTGAGTTCTGGCAGGGTGGGATCATTGTCTCATATACTAAAATGGGAAGAGCTGGTCCTGGAATTAAAAGTTGAGGTTTGAGTTTTAGCTTCCATTCAGTTCAGCAAGCATTATTTTATACCTGCCACTGTGCATGGTGAAGAGAATATGGAAACAAAACCCAAACTGGCCTTAAGATCTTGCGTCATGTTAGCAGTGAGACCCTGGGCAAGTCACTTAATTTCTCTGGGCCTTAGTTTCCTTATCTATAAAATGAAGGGGTTGGACTGATGGATCTTAAGTTCCCTCCCAGCTCTAAATCTGTGATCTTCTCTGGGGCTGTTTCCTCATCTGTAAAATGGGTACAATGTTTGAACTAATTACCTTGAGGTTGTGTGAGCAAAATGCCTTATAATCCTTAAAGCACTGTAAAAGTGAATTCCTTTTCTTCTCCATCATTTTGTTTTCTCCAGTATCAAGCATAACACTCTATACATAACACATGTTTAATATTGTTAAGCGACAAGGACACTAACCCTGGCCTCTTTTTTCCCTCCTTGTTAGCACTGTGTCGGAGTACCAGCTTCACTGAGAAGGACCTGAAAGAGGCCAAAGCACAGAGTCAGCGAATTGCTGCCCAGCTGACCACTCCTCCCAGCTCCAACTCCCGAGGGGTCCTGCTCTTCCACAGGCGCCGGCAGAGAGTAAACGAGTTCACTTTTGAGAGCTTTGGGAAACAGGGACAGAAACCTATCCCTGTGCATAGCCCTCAGACCCTCACTGTTGAGACTCCAGACCATGGTCCAGAGCTTTGCCTGAATCACACTCTCCAACGCTCCAGGTCAAGCCCCTCTTCATCCCTTGGTATCCAGGCCCCAGAGGGAGGAAATCCTCGCCGCAATATGGAGGGGCATGGGGAGAACACAGATGTCCTGACCCAGAGATCGCTGGAGAGGGCAGCCAGTGAAGAGGAGGAGATCCCTTTGGTGGTTTACCTAAAGGAAAATGCAGCCTTGCTCACAGCCAATGGATTCCACCTATCTCAAAGCAAGGAAGCTCAGAAGGGTCCTTCACAGGCTGATGCAAATGCTCTCACTATGGATGTGAATCAGAATCCTTCCTTGACCGAGACTATATCCACCACGCTAGTGAGTGATGTCAACCAGAACCCACCGGTGATGGACGTCAGTCAGACTGCATCCGTCTCCAGCACCACACAGAATGTATCTGAATCCCAGGTAGAGCAAGACACACCTGTGGCTGACTTTCAACCCAGCACTCTGCTTGTGGATGAGAAAACCCATTCACCCAGCCCGGACATGACTTCCAGTACAGTAATTACTGAAGTGAAGCCAAGCGTAGTACCTGCAAATGACAAGGCCAGTCCCCACTCTGGGGAGGCCGTCCCCAGCTCCACCATGAATGCCGCGGTCCCTGACGTCAAGTCCAGCGTCTTGGTCATTGATGTCAAACCCAGTGCCCCAGCAGGGGGGCTGGAGATGTCCGGGCCAGCTATCAGCACCCCGGCCCCCAAGCAGCACAGTGAGGTCCACCTCACCCTGGCCAAACCTCAGTCGGTGGTGAACAGGACAGCCAGGCCATTTGGAGTCCAGTCTCAAGGGATCAGCAGCCAGTTGGATCGGAGTCCGATGATGGAGAGACGCCCCGTGGGAGAGAGGAGCCCCAGGGCACAGGCACACACAATAGGGGAGAGAAGTCCTCAGGTTCAGAGGCATACTGTAATGATGAGAAGCCCTATGGTGGAGAGGAGGCCTTTGAGAGAGAGCAGTCCTACCATGGAGAGGGGCCCTGTGGTAGAGAGACCAGTGATGGTTGAGAGAAGTCCTGCCTTGGAAAAACGCCCATTGGGAAATTTCACTCCACCCCCCACCTATGCTGAGACTTTGTCTACAACACCTCTGGTCTCTAGGGGCAGATCTCCACCTTCATATTCTGTCCTGTACCCCAGCACTGAGCACAAGCAAACACGTCTTAAGGGGCCTAGCTATGGGGAGGGCAGATCAGCATCTGCAACCAAGACCGGCATCTTGGAGGAGTCGATGGCCCGCCGAGGCAATAGGAAGTCCATGTTCACCTTTGTGGAGAAGCCCAAAGTGACCCCTAACCCTGATCTCTTGGATTTGGTACAGACAGCTGATGAGAAACGGAAGCAGAGAGACCAGGGGGAGCTGGGCCCAGAGGACGAACCATTTGCACTTGGGGCTGAAGCATCCAACTTTCAGAATGAGCCACCCCCCAGGGACTGGTCTAGCGTTACCTCTGAGGATACCCTCCCAGAATGGTCATCATGCCTCAAGTCACCCAGTATCCGGGCCAAGCCTGAGCGAAAACCAAACCAAAACCTCACAGAGGCCACTGGCAAGGGAGCTGAGCTATATGCCCGTCGTCAGTCCCGAATGGAGAAATATGTAATTGAGTCACCAGGCCATGCTGAGTTGGCCCGCTGCCCATCTCCCACTATGTCCCTGCCTCCTTCCTGGAAATATTCCAACGCTCCAGGGTTTCCAGGGGGCTTCCGGGTGGCAAGCCGGAGCCCTGCCCGAACACCGCCCGCATCCCTGTACCACGGCTACCTGCCAGAGAACAGGACTCCACGCAGGGAGGTGGAGCCCACCAAACAACAGCCTTACCAGCTCCAGTCCTCACTCTTTGTTCTCACTCCCTCCAAGGAGCCAGCCAAGGTCCCAGCAAAAGCAGCCTCACCTGCCAAGCCAGGATCTCTTGATTTGGAACCTGTTGGGAGGTTGGCACACTGCCCAGCTGGTTCCGTCCTTCCCCCTTCACCTGCCCTGCCTCGGCCAGCACGCTCTTCACCTGGCCTGTGTCCCTCACCAGTGGGCCCGGGAGGTCTTGTCCAAGATGTTACCCAGATGAGTGGCAGCAGCCCCACCTTTGGTGGTGAAGTATCCCCGGTGTCTCCTTCCCGGGCATGGTCTCCAAGAGCCAAGGGCCAAGCTCCGAGACCTTCGTTCTCTACACGGAATGCGGGGATTGAGCCCCAGGTGTGGAAGCCTTCCTTTTGCTTCAAGTAATGGGGTTTGCTGTGGGCCCAAGTAGGGATCCCACCACCCACCAAGACCATCAATCAAGGGTGCTGGATGAATGAGGGAGATGAATTAGTTTGGAGGCCTGAAAGCCCAATAACCAACCGGGGAAGGCCTTGTCCCATTCAAGGGGAGCTGTAGTGAGCATGCAGAGTCTCAGGGAGGCCCCACGCCAGCGACTTGCTGGGAGACAGAAGCCTGGAGCAAAGTCACAGACAGCATTTGTACAACCCTAGCACACCCAGGCTTAGGGAGCAGCCAGAGCCTGCTGGACGAGTCCTTTTGTCCACACGAAGGGCCAGCCAGCAGACTGTTGTCGGGGAGGGGGCAGAGGTTCTCCTACATTGCCTGACAGAACAGTGGGAAGTACCTGATAATGAGCAGAAACTCCTGATGCCTTTCCTGTCGTCTGCTGCTGCTGGGGTCCCTCCTTCCTGGGGCCTGTTTCTGCCTTCTCCACTTCTAGCTTTGTGAAACTGTTTACATGTTTGCTTCGGAGAACACTTGTGGTCTTCTCAGCCTTTCTCTTTCCTGCCGCCTCTCCCACACAGGGGCACCTTCATGTGAGGGGGAGGCTGGCTTTGGCTTTTCTGTTCTGGCTGACTTTTCCCTCCATCCATCCCTCCTCAGATCGGGCTCTAGGACACTGTCTCTGCACAACAACAGAAGGGGAGGGAGACATCTTCAGCTGCATGTTAAAGACTCCACCTGTGATGCTCCAATATTGACTCCCTGAGTTTGAAACCTCCCTGTGTTCTTTATGCCTTTGTCCCCATCCTGTAGCTTGGGGTGAAATGTTATTCCTAGCAGTGGTTCCCTTGAAGGAAGTCTCAGGGACAAGAATACAGAGAAGGAACCAGATGTGAATGAGTAGTCAGAGGGGGAGGAGAGATCCCAAAGACCTCCAGGCATTTTCCAAGGGGGCTTTGCTGGCAAAATCTCAGCTGCTTTTCCAGCTGTGCACTCAGCTGGGCTTTCTCTGTGGGGGCCAGCAACTCCCTCTTGGGACAGGCCGTATGCTAGCAGCCCTGCAAGGCAAGGGTGGACAGGTCAATCCAGGATGGAGGCCTAGAGCCAGTAAGGATGACCAGGCTGGGCTAGGAATTTGGGAGAAAGGCATTCTAAGCTCAAGATGGGCCCCTGGAGGAGAAAGCAGGAGTTAATAGAGGGATGTTGCCGTCAGAGGGACTGAGGCTAGGTATTTTCTGATACAAAAAGAGTCCGGAATTGGCTTCTGAAGGTACCATGATCTTGTTCCCTGAAGCCCCTGAAGTCCAGGTTAGACATAGTCTTTGGGACAGATTGAAGCAAGGCACTGATCTTCATGGCCTTCGTTACTGGGAATCTGATATTATGGCCACGTAACTTTTTTTGTTACATGGTTATTAGGGACCAGATTGTAGGTGGGTCCATTGTTGGCCGAAGGAGAGAGAAGGCTAAGTGTCTAAGACGAGGGAATTTGGGGACAGTAGACACACTACCCCAAACCATCTGTGGCCTTACCTGGTTCTCTAGGGTAACGACAGCTCTGTGGGCATGCAGGAGGGAGGGTAATATAATTGAAAGAATACTAGATAAGAAGTCAGGAGACCTGGGTGTTAGCCTTAGCCTGAGTGTGAACGGGAGCAAATTGCTTTCCCTCTCAGGGCCTGAGTTTTCTAACTTAAATATTTTCTATGTGAGGGAAATAGAGTAGATGATTCTAATTCATTCTATAGTTTTATGAAGCTTTAGTGTACAGAGACTTGGGCTAGGCAGTGCCATGGGGATACAGAAAGAGAAGGCATGATTCTTGCCACCAGGGAATCTATCTCAAAAAAAGTTCTCCAAGGGGGGCTATGACCTAGGGGGGGATATCTGCTTTCTCTCCCTCCTCCTCCAGGTCTGGACTCCTGAAACTTGGAGAGCCCACAACAGGCTGAGCTTCCTGAACTGTCTTCATGGGAACCAGGGGGTGCTTTCCTCATGAGCTCATTCCACTGAGGGAATGGAAAGAGAGGAATGGGAATGTAGTTCAGAGCCTGTCACTGGCCCTGTGTGCACACACATAGCCCCTTCAGGGATGGAGAACATAACCGCTTTGCCATGGGAAGTCTCCCTGCCTAGACCTCCTGGCACAAGGTCCTCCCCTCACCCTCTGCACACGCACACACTTGCTTTGTGGTCTGTGCTCCTTCCTCCCTTTGACCTCCTCTTCTGGCTCTTAATACACCTCAAGCCTGGTTTACTTCTTGCCTCTGCTCTGTTTCCTTTAGACTCGATATCCATTTTTCTCCTGACTCTCCAGTCCCACCTCATGTTCTATCTTTATTGGGCTCAGGATGGGGAAAAAAAAACAAACAAAAAACAAAACAAAACAAAACAAAACAAAAACCAGTAGCCAGCTCAGTCACTTGACCTGAGTCCTGAGAAATATTGGGTGTTAGACGTATGAGTGAGTGAGTGTGTGTGTGTGTGTGTGTGTGTGTGTGGTATGTGGGTGTTTTGGAGTAAGGGCTTTTATATAGGATTATTTTTTTATCCATGGGTTCTCAGTGTGAAAATACCTGAAGATCTCACAGCACTTTGCTGGTCAAATTCCATTTGGTTTTATGGTAGGCTCTGCCTATGAGAATAACTTTATGTTTTCTAAGTTGGAGAACTTGGGATTGAATCCAAGGGACCTATTCCCTGTCTACATAGCATTGCTAGACCCTCTAAATGTAATATTAGAGTGGGGCTGCACTTTGAATTGGGGGTGGGATGAGAATTCAAGAGTAGGTAAGTGGCTCTGAGATCCTTTGGTTAAAGAGAGAAGTCTGGCTCTATCCACTTCTCCCCATACTCTTTCCTGGTCTTCACTCCTCGTCTAGGAAGGCCTCAGAGCTTGGGTCCCAGTGGGCCGCAGGCTATAACTTTATGGACATATCTGTGGACTTCTAGAAATACATCCAGCCCACAGGCAGCCTGTTCTTGCCTGCTGGGCAGAGCCTACTCAGATACTGTAGGTGGCCTCCTGCACCCACCTTTCAGCTCCCGGCGGTGCTGTTGTTCGCTGCTCTGGGAGATGAGCCAAGTCAGACCTATATGCTCCCACTCTTTGTCTGGCATTCAATGCTTACCACCCCAGCTACCCCAGTGGGGGAGTGATCCATGTAAATGGCTCAGGAAAGGTTTAGATCCCTGAGTTCCTTAGGACAGAGGCACCCTCCAACTCTAGCTTTGATCCTTGGCTATGAGAACCTAAAAATGTTTCGTGTCAGAGGGGCATCCCTTGGCCCCCTATGCCCCACGTTACCCATTTTACTATTATTACATCAATCTCAATGCCCATATGGCTGCCATGGCCAGGGAGCATAAGCTGCACATGACACTCCTCCCACCCAGAGACAGGAAGCTTTGAACCACCCTCTAAGTGGATGCAAGGATGTAAATGAATCTTGCTCAGGCCCTTCCTATAGTCTGCAAAGGCATGTGAGTAAGGGAATGTCCCTGGTACTGCTCAATGGAGATTTCCAGGCGCCCTGCGGGCTTTGTTTCTGGCCTTAGGGATGTTGTCCATTCAGAGGGAGGCTGCGATGTCACAGGGCAGGACCTGCTTTGTTTGGAATAGGATAGTTAGTCTTACCTTACAGCAAGAAGTTGGACCAGAGGACACAAGGCCCCTCCCACCCGCACCACTAAGGTCATCTGTTCTAGGCTATTGTCCACCTTCAACTGGGGCCAAGAAACTTGAGTATTTGGCTTGTAGATATTCTAACTGGTAGTGCTCTGCTGTGGCTCATCTCTTACTACTCAAGGTTTGGGCAGATGCTGAACTTTGGGTAAAAGGTTGAATTCGTCAGCTGCTGCTGGGTCCTGACTGGACAGGAGTTTGCATAGCTTTGCTTTATTCTGACTAGGTGAGAAGCTGAAGGTTTGACAGCTCTTGTTCTGTGACTGGGTTAGATCGGGACATACCTTTTAATATGAAGCTGTCCTTCTAAGGATTGGGGTTTTCTCAGTCTGTGGTGTGGTAGCTGCATTAGGGCAGTGGTAGGAATGATCATCCTTAATGATGATACCTAGAGGCAGCGAGTAGATAGATCACTGGTCCTGGAATCAGGAAGAGTCATCTTCCTGAGTTCAAATCCAGCCTCACTCATTTACTAGCTGTGTGACCCTGGCCAAGTCACTTAACCTCGTTTGCCTCAGTTTCCTCACCTGTCAAATGAGCTGGAGAAAACAATGGCAAACCGCTCCAATATCTCTGTCAAGAAATCCCAAATTGGGTCATGAAGAGTCAGACACGCACGACTGACATGAATGAACAACAACACAGTGTATTAGTACTATGTAACTTTTCAAAGTATTGTGAAGGATGATGCTAAGTATACATATATATATATATATATATATAATCCATCTTTCTCTATTCTAATCTTCTGATGATCTCCAACTCCTTAAGGAATTGCCCCACCCTATCTTTTCTTTCCTGAGGCTGCTTGGCTTCCTCCCATCAAATCAGTTGCTCTTGGGCCCCTATTACTTTATCTCCATCTAACCTCACCATGTTTTGGTGCTTGGTTTTTGCACCTACTCACTCTTTATCTTCTTTAACATATCATGCCTTCCAGAACACAATCATGATTTTTCTAGGGTTTGTCCTTGAGCTGGAGAAATACAGTAATCAAAAGTATCAAACACAGGATTGAAGGTAATTGAGAGTGAATATAAAAGAAAATAACCTAGAACAGGTTGGATGGTATACTAGTTTGCTTCTATGACTGGGGTCCATGTCTCCATCTATCACAGTTTCCATTCCAGAGGAGACCTCCTAGTCCAATTTGAGACCCCCTCAACTGAGTGTTCTGGCCTGAGCTCATTGGACCACTCTATAATCCCAAACTCAATCTCAGCCAATCAAGAAGCCTCTTGATTGCTGATGAAGTTTTTGGTACCATCCACATTCCTGCTCAGTCACTAGAAATTTCTCCTTTCATTTAAAGGAAGGAGAAGTCAAGCGACAATTATATGTTAAGCTCCTACTGTGTGCTACGCACTGGGGATACAAAGAAAAAGAAGAATTGTGTTAAATCACCCAGAAAAAATAATCCAGCCTAGTTCACTCTCCAAAGTCCATAAACATACACCCTTTCCCTCACAGCTATGATGTCATCATATAAGCACTGGATTGAAAGTCAAAGGATCTGAGTTTTGGCCTTCCTACTTACTACCTTTGTGACCTTGGACAAATGACTTGCCTTTCAGGACCTCAGTTTCCACATGTGTAAAATTAGGTTGAATTAAAGGATCTCAAAGGTCCCTTCCAGCTCTATTATGATACCACTCCAAGTCCCATTTGCTTCCAAAAGAACAGATCAGCCCAGGGTCTGCCCCTCCTTTCCCATCTTCCCCTGGGGCTCAAGGTGACTGGGTCACTAGGGGAGGGCCAGGCAGGAGTTCTGCAGGAAAGGATAAAACTGTCCTTGAACAGATGGAAAATGTTCTATCTCCTTCCTCCTCTCTAAATGATGTCAGTGGAAACTGGGGGAGGGGTGTGTGTGTGTGTGTGTGTGTGTGTGTGTGTGTGTGTGCGCGCGTAGGACAGGGTGTGGGTGGGCAGGGAGTAGGTAGGAAGTTGAAATCACTGGGCAGTGTCCAGGGCCTTGGGTCACTGCTACACCCTCCCTTAACCTCAGAAAAATTCTGTTACCCCAAACATTGAGTCCTCCCCAATGTTTGATAAAGCCTAGAGGAATTTGGTGGGCATAGTCTTAGATATAAACTCCTAGGGATGTCAGCTATTCCCATACTACTGTTCTCATCTCCTCCCTCTCCCCCTACCTTTAAAAAATAAAAAGGCAGGGCCTGACTTATGCCTAGGAAAGCTGCATGGGCTGTGATTGAGAGGATATTGGCAGGCCTGTTCTAGTGCCTGATCTCAGGGTTGTACTCTGAGCTCCTCTGGACTCTCATTAAAATGCAGATACCCCTGAAATCCATAGCACAGGACTATAGGATTCAGAGCTAGAAGGAACTTTGGTGATCATTTGAGAAACAGATGAGTGTGGAGTGACTTGCCCAGGTCACATAAGGCAGTAAATAGTCAGAATCTGAACCCATGTTTGACTCCAAATTCAGTGTTCTCTCTGCTATGCCAAGTTAAAGTTGAAGCTTTCGTTAGCCAACACCTTCACTACTGGGGAGGACAAAGGATTATGATGTTAGTGAGATGGGGTGCTGGGGATGAAAGACAGTTTGTAAAGTCCATCGGGTTGGGGACAGTTAGGTGGTGCAGTGGATAGAGCACTGGCCTTGGAGTCAGGAGGATCTGAGTTCAAATCCAGCCTCAGACACATAACACTCACTAGCTGTGTGACTCTGGGCAAGTCACTGAACCCCAATTGCCTCACCAGGAAAAAAAAAAATAAAAAAAAAAAAGTCCATTGGGTTGGAAATACCAGACCTGGGTCTGTCACCAAAGTGCTATATGACCTTGGGCAAGTTATATTCCCTCCTTTAGGCCTCAGCTGTTTTTTTTTTTTTTTTTAAAGTTGTTTCAGTCATATCCAACTCTTTATGACTCCATTTGGGGTTTTCTTGGCAAAGATACTGGAGTGGTTTGCCATTTTACAGATAATGAGATTGAAGCAAACAGGATTAAATAACTTGCCCAGGGTCACACAGCTAGTGAGTGTCTGAGGCTGGATTTGAACTCAGGAAAAGGAGTCATCCAGACTCCAGGCATAGCACTCTAGCCACTGCACCACCTAGCTGCCCAGGCCTCAGTTTTGCCATCTGTGAAATGAAAGGGGTGGATTGGATAATCTGTAAGGTCCCTTCCAACTTGAATAGTGTATGGTTCTGCAGTAGGACCATAGGATAAACGCCCAGGGATGGGGTGGGGGAAGACTCATGCAACGACAAGTCTGGCAAACTTCATAGCCATAGATTTATTCTACTGCCCAGGGCTTCTAAGTAGAGCCCCAGCCCAGATCCTGGAGAGGAACAACACTAATGCTCGCCTCTGCTCCTTTGCTTTCTCCCCAGGAAAGATGGGAATGTCGGCCCACCTCCCCTCCTGAGACCCCCAGTTCACCGAGGCCAGCCAGCAGCCTGGACGGCTGGGGGGGCCGTGGCCCTTCCGAGTTCTGCCAGATGGTCACCACAAGCAGTCCCCCTCCACCCCTACCCATGTCCCCCTCCTGGAGCGAGGGCTCTTTGTCCCCGATGCAGGCTGAGCCCAAGGGCAGCAGCCGCCAGATGCAGGCCCTGGTTGCCAGGAACATCATCAACGCTGCCCGCCGAAAGAGCTCCTCCTCCCCCAAATCTCCGGGGGCAGAATGGCTGAGGCCCCTCTCAGCCACCCAGGCCCTACCTGCTGCCAGCCCCAGAGGGCTGGGCAGCCCCTGTCCTCCCCTGAAGAGCCCCCTGGGAGACGGCCATCGCCTTTCCTCCCTGCCTGGTGGTACCTTCTCCCCCATCCTGAAGAGCTCCCTGACCTCGTCCCAAGCACCCTTTGGGGACAGCCCCCGACCCTTCCTACCAGCCAGCCCCCGGAGTCCAGGCACCACCCGACCCTTAGCCTTCAGGAGCCCCTTGCCCTCACCCAGTCCACAGGTTCGTTCACCTGTCAAGCCCTACACCAGTCGCTCGCCCACAGACTCTGATGTATCCCTCGACTCTGAGGACTCGGGGGTCAAGTCCCCCGGTATCCGTGGCTACAATATCTGCCCCCGGGGCTGGAATGGGAGCGGCCTACGGCTCAAGAGAGGCAGCCTCCCCTCGGAGACCTCCTGTACATCCTAAGATCCAGCTAGGCGGGGCGGAGAGAGGAAGAAATGCCTGGGGATGGGGTGGGGGGCTTCAGGGTAGAGCATCTGGGTGGGAGATTTCAGCCCATAGGGACAGCTGCACCTTCTGACACCTTCCCACGAAGGGGCTGAGGGCAGCTCTGGACAGCTGACGTGCTGTCCTCCACTCCCCCAATCTCCCCTTTGGACGGGGGAGTCCTGACTGGGCACCCATTACCCCCAGTGCTGGAGAACCAATTTTTTCTGTTTCTTTTCCACCACTTCTGCCACCTAGTGGCGCAGTCAGTCCCCAGCGAGTCCTCCCCAAAACCAATTCCTGGCTCTTTGGGGCCAAAGGCTGAGATTCAGTGCTTCCACCCCACCACCCTGCTTTCTCTCTGGCCTCAGAACCATGGAGGTGTGAAGAGCGGGGGACAACTTAGGAGGCAAAATAGCCAAGTATGAAGTGGGCCTGCCCCTCCCAGGGAAGGCTGTGTCCAACGGCTGTGGCTCCACCGGTCCAACCTGGCTCCAGTTGGCTTGGCAGGGTAATGCTTGGCCACTGTCAGGTGTTTTCCATCCCCTCCATGACCCCATCCTCTATTTTTACCACGGTGACCTTTAAAGGCAGCTTAGCTTCTGCTAGTCCTTTAGGTGCCAAATTCTGCTTTTCTATCTCTGGAGCTGGGGCAGACAAGTGAAGGTGCATTGGGAGGGGGAATTGGTCAGAAGGAAACTCCCAAACTGAGAGGAATAGTGGTCCTGCTCTGGGCACTGTTCGCTGGGTTCAGCAAACCCCAGCCCACCCATTCCAGATGTTGTATGATTCCCCAGGATGATACACAATCAGTATAAGAAAATCATTTACCAACTTCCCCTCCCAACAGTGTAGTTTATACCAAAAGTATGAGAGTTGAAGATTCTTGGATAAAACCAGGGAATGTCCCTGGGGGCGGGGCGGTGTCCTCCACCCTTTCCCCCCACCCCCCACTCCCCACCTGAATATCTATTACCCCATCCTGGGAAAAAGAAGAAAGTCTTAACTGGGCAAAGGGTTTCCACAGTGTTTTGCCCATACTCAAATCTCCTTGGGTGGTGGGGGCAGAGAGGGGGTGAAGGGACAAATTAGGCTTTAGCATTAGATCAGGGTGTATTGGCAGTACTGTGGGCAGGGGACTAGAGACAAGTAGGAGTGGCCTTCCCTTCTACTTTGGGTCTTCTCTTCCTTAGCAGCTCTTGGAGCTCCTGTCTCCTGCCCTCAGTGAGAACTCTGCAACTCTGAGGTGGAAACTGTCTCTGATTCCTGCTCTTTGGGGAGATGCATTGATCGGAGGATTGCCTGCCTGGAGATCTGGCCCCAATAACCTCAGCTATGTTTCTCTTCCACCTCCCCAGGGCCAAGTGCCCCTCAAGCCCAGCGCCCCGTGCCAGCAGTATGGCCCTGAGCCCTAGAAGGGTAGGAAGCAGTTGGTTTGAAAACCCAGGCCCGTGGCCCCTCCTGGGGGAACAGACTGGTTACTGCAGGGTTCTCCCAGTCTGTGGTGGTGGCACGTCGGTGATGGAGGCTGAGAACATATGGGAAGGAGGTCAGGTACTCTGCTGAGGGGCAGCAGCTTGTGAAGAGCAGGCCTGATGACGATGTGGGAGCACCATGGAACATCTGGTCTGGAGGCTGCCCAGCACATGGGCAAACTGGTCTCCCGTAAGCCTCCAGAGGAAGCAGGAATGAGGTGGCTTTGGAAATCCCCAGGCGTGTTAGGTCACTGGAGACAGGACACCTCAGAGGGGACAAGTAACAGGAGGCAGGGAGAGACTCTGAGGGCATACTAAAGCAAGGGCTTTCCTAGTCTTTACGCTGGGTAGCCACGTTCTCACCTAGTGCACAGACTCCCTGGGCCTGTCTTCTGGGGATGGAGTAGTTGAGGGACCTCCTCCTTCCCTAAGAGTCTGAGGAGGGATAGATTATGTGGATCTGGTTTAGGATGAGGTCAAGTGCCTACAAAGAGGTAGAAGGAGGTGGAAATATGGCTCTTTTCTCTGGTTCTCTCCAATCTCCTGTCTTCCCAACTGTGACTCTCCTCTCCTGTCCCGTGCCTCTGCCCCCTTACCCGTTTTAAGGCTATCCATCTTCTGGGCTTGTCTCATCTCAGTCCCACCTCCTCATTAAATAAATACCCACATTACCCTAGACACTTCTGAGTAATTAACAGCTGATCTAGAAAACTCACCTTTCCATCCATGTTTTTGCTAGATTCCCAGGGTCCAGGAGGGCTAGTGGAAGAACCATAGCTCTTTTGGGCTCAGTCGAGATCAGACAGGCCTGTGGGAATTGAAGGAGGTATTGACGTGCGTTGTTTTACTTAGATACTTTTGGCCACCAGCAATGTGACTAAAGGCATGTAAAGAGATGGGCCTTGGGAACACAAACTTACTGGCACTTGAGGTAAAACTAGAGGTGCCCCCCTTACCTGACCTAACCTTTTGGTGAACTGCAAAAAGTCCTAGACAGAATTAAGAGATCTGGGTTCTGGTTCCACTAACTTTGTGTGACCATGGCTAAACCCTATGACTTCTTTAGGCCTTGGTTTCCTCATCTGTAAAATAAGGGATTTAAACTCTTCCATGCCTAAAATTTTATGAGTATGAGGTTCCAGAGGCAAGAAATTGCCACCAGAGGGTATTATTTTGGCTTCAACTTAGTGCCAAGAAAAAGAAGGGGAGGCTGGAACAGGCTGGGGGATTTGGGCATCAGTGGTCCCCAAAGTCAGGCAGGTAAATCCAGTATGGTTCCAGGCTACCCAGCAGAAGGTCCAGAGAGTTAGGACTCTCCCTCTTGGGGAAGACTTGAAGTCACTTCTCTGAGACTAAAATCTGGGGACCAGCTATTTTCTGGCAAATCTAGGCTCAGAAGTGGGATTTACTTGCTGGATATCACAAGACATCATGCAGGCCCTGGGAATGGTTAGAATGCTGGGATCAGAAGCCTTCGAGATTTCAGGAATTTGGGGAATGCTTGATTGTGGGAATGTGGGTTTCCCTGGGATATTGGTGTGGTATCTCATGTCAAGGCCCCCTGAGATGACCTTTTTAAGGGTTATCCTGCTCTTCACTAATCAGATGAGGAGGAAGGAGAGCAATCAGAAATGTTTGTAATTTCCCGGCCTTGGTTTCATTGCATCCCCTTCCCTGAACCAGATTCTTTGGAGCTGAAGTGTCAACCAGGATTGATTGCCTCAGTTTTGGCTTCGGTGTGGAGATGTTCTAGGGCCTAAGAGGTCAGTTTTTTTTGGGACCACAGGAGAACCATATGTCCTGATATGGGGCTCCTAAGCTGAAGAGGGTCATGGGCCAAAATGGGGCTCTGGAACAGTAGCTATATAGAATAGCTTAGTAAGCTGAAGGGCCACCCAGTCTGGGACTAGGTAATTCTCTTCCCTATGCCTCTTATTTTGGTGTATTATTTCTAAGTGTGTATATTCTTTTCCCTTGTAAATAAACACTGGAAAATCCATTCTTATGTCTGCATACGTGTGGAGATGGAGGGAAAAATCAGAAGAACAGGAAGCTTATATAAGAGTTCAGAATTCAGTTAATTGCGACCATGGAAAGGGAAAGGTAATTAAGGAGGAAGTGGAGCAAATTTCTGAACCCAGAGAACCAAGCAAGCTCAGGAACCAGGATAGGTTTAATAGGTTTGGTGACTTGAACTGGGGACTCAGTGATTGGTGAAGGTCTAGAAAGTAGTAAAAGGTCACTAAAAAACCTTCCAATAAAGGTGGCACATATTACAAAGCAGATATTATCAAAGCTATCTGGTATGGGGGAAAATGAGAAAAAAAGATCAAAGAAATAGAATAGATATACCAGACATCCAATCAAATGTGCACAAAGGATTAATTTTGATAAATCTATAGAAAATAAAAACTGAGGAAAAAATTCATTATTTAACAAATGTATTTGGCGAAAACTGGTAGAAATTAGGATGGGAAATGGATTTCAACCCACATCTTACAAATACATATACCTTAGTGAATTCTGGCTGGATTACACATTTAAAAAAAAAAAACCACTTTAAAAAAAGGGAGAAAGTAGAATAATGTATTCATCTTAAATGTGATGGTTAGAGGATTTTTTTTCCATTCATGAAATGGAAGGAATTTTGGGAACAAGATGGATGTGCTTGCTGGTATTAAATAAAAATTTTGTATAATAACATTTTGAAATAAGAAAAATTATTCAGGAAATGTTTATGTAAACATGACATAAAATTTGTTATCTAAAATATATATATGGAATTATTTAAAAATCACAAAGGTGACTTCCGGTCTACAATGGACAAATGGTTAAAGAATATGTACTGAATATTTTCAAAAAAGGAAATAAATTGTTAATAATACTTAAAAAGCTCAATCACACTAGTAATGAGATGCCAATTAAAACAAGTTTGAAGTACCATTTCACAACCGTCAAATTGGCAAAAATAATTAAAAGGAATGAAGCAATGCTGGTGGGGTTGTGGAGAAAATAGTACATTCATTCATTGCTGGTAGAATTGCAAACTTGTAGGATCTTTTTGGAAGGCATTCTAGCAGCACACTGTAAAAGTTACAAAAATAATCCTATCTTGTTTTTGGAAGTGTTATCAAAAACAACAAAAAAGAGCCTTCTGTGAAATGATTTGTGTAGTAGCAATATATGTCACTAAAAAAATGGAAGTTAACTCAAAAATCTAACAACAGGAAAATGGTTAAATAAATGGTGACAATATTAGTGTAATGGAATTGTATAATGTAATTAAGATAAACAAATAGAAAGAATAGAAAAGATAGGAAAAGACCTTTAAGAAATAATGAAAACTGAAAAAATAAGAACCAGAAAAACAGCACACACCAATTAGGGCCACATAGGAGAAAAGTGAATAAAAAGAGAAGGACAAAGAATCCACATGGATACTTAGAGGGAGTGACTGAAAAATTATGATATTTTATTTGCTGAAATTAATTTAAATATAAAATAAGATGACTTGTATTGATGTTGATATTAAATTTATAACAAATCATTTAATTAAATGAAAATGGTGTGTTTAACCTCCAGAAAACTTGGGTGGCACATGATAGCTGCCTTCAAGTATTTCTTGTGCAAGAAGGCTCAGATTCGTTTTGTTTAGCGTCAGAGGAAAGAACTAGGAACGGTGTGGTGGAAGGTACAGAGAGGTAGATTTAAGCCTGACATAAGGAAAAGCTTCTTAATGATGAAAATTATCTTTGTTGACTTTTTTTTTTTCAGGCAATTGGGTTAAGTGACTTGCCCAGGGTCACACACTTGTAAGTGTCAAGTATTTGGTCTGAGAATGGATTTGAACTCAGGTCCTCGACTCCAGGGCCAGCGCTCTATCCACTGTGCCACCTAGCTGCCCCATGATGAGAATTATCTAAAACTATAAAGGGCTGCTTCAGGTGTTGGTGGATACTCCCTCACTAGAGATCTTCAAGTGTCAGCTGGATGAGATAGGAGAGGGAGTGTCCTGTATGAGAAACAAGAAGGAAGCCATTCTCATTGGACTGCAAGGTACATGGAGAGGAATAAGGTGTAAGCCTGGAAAAGTAGGAAGAGGCCAGATTAGGAACTGAAGATTCTATATTTGCTCCTGGAGGTAATAAAGAGCCTCTGGAGTTTATTAAATAGAGCAGTGACATGGTCAGTAGGAAGGTCACTTTGAGAGTTGAATGGAGGATGAAGTGGAGTGGGGAACTGAGGCAGGCAGACCCAGCAGCAGGCCAGTGTGATAGTCCAGGTGTGAGGTGATGAGGGTTTGGCATAACGGTGGTGGCAGTTTCAGAGAAGAGAAGGGGAAGTATATAAGAAATAGTTTGAAGGTAGAATGAGAGGACTTGGCAACAGATTGGCTACGGGAGAATGAGAGAGGAGTCAAGGAAGACACCTAGATTGTAACCCTGGGTGACAGGGAGAATGATAGTGCCCTAACAGTAATAGGCAGGTTAGGAAGGGCAGAGCTGTTGGGGTTTGGAGTGGGGAGACAGAAGGTAGGGGCAGGGAAAGATAATGGACATATGGAGCTTAAGATGTCTATGGGACGTCTAGTTGGAGAAGTCCAATAGGAAGTAGGAGATTCAAGATTAGACATCAGGAGACAGATTACAGTTGGATAACTAGACCCGAGAATCATCGACATAGAGATAATGGAATCCATGTGAGCCGATAAGCTCACCAAATGAAATTGTACAGAGGGAGAGGAGAGGCGGTCCCAGGACACAGCCTTGGGGGATACCCCTGGTTATTGTGTAGAACTTGGATGAAGATCCAGCAAAGGAAACTGAAGAGTGGTCAGATAAACAGAGGAGAACGAGGAATGAGCAGTATCATGAAAACCTAGAGAGAAAGGGTATCAAGAAGAGGGTGAGTTACAGTGTCAAAGTTTACAGCCAATGTCAAGGATGAGGATTGAGAAAAGCCCATCAGATTTAGCAATTAAGAAATCACTGGGGGCAGCTAGGTGGCGCAGTGAATAGAGCATCAGCCCTGGATTCAGGAGGACCTGAGTTCAAATCCAGCCTCAGACACATAACGCTTACTGGCTGTGTGACCCTAGGCAAGTCACTTAACCCCATTGCCTAGCCACCCCCCCCCCCAAAAAAGAGATCATTGGTAACTTTGGAAAGAGCAATTTCAGCTGAATGATAAGGCCAGACACCAGACTGTAGAGTTAAGAGAGGAAAGGGAATGGAGTTACCTTTTGTAGACAGCCTTTTCAAGTTAAGGAGATGGGGAGATGACCCAGGGCTGACAATCAGCAGGGCATGAAAACTAAAGGACAAGAGTGCAAGGGATTAAAGACTATGAAAGGTGTCAAGTAAGGATGGAACAAAAGTAATGGAGTGGGAGGAGGGATTATGGAGAAGTGGAAGGACACAAAATTGTACGTGATCAGAGAACAGAATTTCAGTGTTCAAGACCTTGGAGGTGGAAGTTTTAGGTGATACTGAGGTCTAAGGGGTGACAAGCTTTCTAAGTGACTATGGTAGAAACAGAGGGCCTGGAAGTTCAGATCTAATCATGTTATCTCCTTACTTACAAATTTTCAATGGCTCCCTGTTTCTGCTAGGATAAAACACAAAATTCTTAGCCTGGCATTTAAAGTCCTTCACAATTTGACTCCCATCTACCTTTCTTGTCTTATTTCATATTGCTTCTCTTTTTGCACTCAAACTAGCTTGCTGGCTGTTGTCTCCCCACCATCGGCCATCTCCCACCTCCAAGCCTTCGTTCAGGTCTGGAAGAATGCACTTCCTCCTCATTTCTACCTTCCTTTAAAGCACAGCACAGGTACCCCCTCCTTCATGAGAACTTGCCTCATTCCTCAGTTATTAGTGTTCTCCTTGAAATTACTTTTGTATTCATAATTTGTATTTACTTATTTGTATTTATACTTTGTATTTACTTGTTTGAATGTTGTATGCCACCAGTAGAATGTAAGCTTCTCTAAAGCTGAGACTGTTTTGTTTTTGTTGTCCTTCCACAGTGCACATTTAATAAATGTTTGCCAAGCTGAACTGAGGAGATGGATGAATTCTAAGGCCAAGGACTACGAATACTGGAAGTTGTGAGGGATGAGAACAAGGGTTGAAATTAAGAGCCCTGTTTGAACTCATGTTCAGGTGCTGACCTCATTGAGGAAGGAGAGTGAGTGAACCTAGAGATTAGTAGGTGACAGGAACAAAGATCTGGGCAGTGATATTACTGGATGGTATGAACTTCATACTGGATGGTATGAAGGAAGAGAGGTTCGTAGAGGGCCTGGAAGTGGCAGTGAGGACTACATTAACTTTCCTTTCTGACCTCGTTTGTCTGGGGACACGAGAATGCTAACTTTGGAAGGAGGATCTGGTGCCTTAGGATTCAGACCTGGACCAACATTGCCTAAGGCTCAGGTATGGATTCCTCACTTCAGGTCTCCTGTTACCCTGTCTAGGGTTTCATCATATGGGCCAACCTACTGGGCAGAGGCATATACATCTACATGCATGTGCCATGCTTGGTGATATGGGGTGATGGAGGCATGGATAATCCCAAACAGCAGATAATCAAAATAATTTTTCACTCTGTTTCTGAAACACACACAATGGCCATCCTGATGCAACCTCGCCACATAGGCTTACACTTTCACCCTACATTTGGCTTTTCCCTTCTGTTGGGGAAAGTAGAGGGTCACAAGATGTAACTCACTCTTAGATGCTTGTTAACATCTGTACCTCATCTGAGGTGTGTGCACATATGGGTAAGGCAGCAGAGGGATGGAGAAGAACCCAGGGCTGGCCAGCTAGTTTCTCAGATCAGCCTTCACTCACAAGGGTGACTGCCTCTTTGTGGGAGTCACTAAAGGTCTTCAGCCTGGATCTCAGTTCTATTGTTCTGGGAATTGCATTTCCTTAAATTTCCCTAGGGGTGACAGGGTATCTACAAAAGACTGCTGGTGGCTAGTTACCCAAATGATCAACTACTAAAACTGGATAGAAGTACAATTATCCCTTCCACATTGTGGGGGTAGGGGCATGCAATCTAGAAAATCTACACAAAATTTTTGGCCTTTTGGTACTTTTGTACCAGAGAAGTCTGAATTTTTTCTTTTTCTTTTATGGGATATTTACAGTACCTTATTGTAAAATTTAGGTTGATATTATACAATACTATATGTATATTTTATGCATTTCTGAATTTCTAAACTTTTTCTGTGTTCTCTGTGACTTCCGCAAAACTCCCCCAAAATTCCCATTTAATTTCTTATGCTGGCCCATGACATATTGAAGCTGTGATGGGAAAAGTCATCATGTGGAAGGGATAACTGTAACGATAAATTTGTTCACTTAACACAAGCTGATTATTTCGTGGCCTGGTGTGGGTCAAGTGATGAACTGAATGGAATGAGGTGAATGCACTTGAACACAGCAGTTGGAAGGGGGATTAGAAATCATCTAATAAACCTTCTTTTATAGATTAAGAAACTGAGGCCCTAATATGTTAAATCACTTGTCCAAGTTGACACAGTGAAAGTCCAAACCACAATCTGAGCCTAGGTCCTTTGACCAAATATAGGGTACTTTCCACTAAGCTACATTGCCTCTCTAGCTCCCATTCTCCATCCTAGAGCAAACCGTAGGTAAGTACCATCTGTGGAATCCAGTCAGATTTGCTCACAGGAAAAACTGTTCCCTTGATATAGGCTATCTGTGTCATGGTTCACAAGGGGGATGTTGTGGCAATCATCACTTTGGGCAGGTCCCTTTCTCCCTGTTTCCCCATCTGTAAAACAAAAACAGTTGGACAAGATGATCTCCAAGGTCCCTTCCCGCTCTCATCATCCATGACTTTTTGATAATTTAGTTTCTGTCTAGATAATACATAAAGGCATTAAGACAGACATACCTTCTCTCCCTAGACCAGAGATTCCCAAACTTATTTGACCTATTGCCCCCTTTCAAAAAAAAAAATTACTCAGTGTGTCCCTCTCTCTCTCCCCCCCGTTAGTGGGTTTTTAAATTTGCATCATTTCAAAAAAATATAAGATTTTAAAATGTCATTTTTAAAATGACACACCTTAAATTTAATAATTCATTGTAAATTTGTGGTTTCTGCATTGAAATTTTGATGATGCAATATTGTAATAGAGTATTGTAAGCAATATAGTATTGTAAACAAATCATTATACACACATATTCCTGTGGATACATCCTGGACTTCCCAACAATGCAAGACATGCTCACCTGCCAACACTTGCTTGTTAAAACCTGTTGGCAGACTTGACTGGTTATAACTTGATTGGCTATAGCTTGCACTTCATGTAGTTGGAAAATAATGTAATCACTATGACTTTACCTCTGTTACACAACAGATAAAACATGAACGGTTTTTCAATTCTTATCTTCTCTTCTTTCCTTATGTTTCTACCGCCCCCTTATTTTTATTCAATGCCCCCCAATTGCACCGAGGCTACTGTTGCCCCCGTGGATAGTTCCAGCGCCCCCCAGGGGCGCTCTATTGCTCACTCTGCGAATGTCTGCGAGTGGGAAGGACTCCCTCATACAATCTCAACCTACAACTCACATTTTTCAATACTTCTTATCTGACACCAACAACTCTAGAGTGTCTTTCTTTAACTTTGCTCTGCCAAAGACATGCTTGCCTCTGTGTGTCTCTCTGATAATCCTGGGAGCCTGCACGGCTGTGAAGTGACCATGTTCCTGACTGCTCCCAGGGGGCTATACAGATGAGCCACCTGTCTCCTTCAATGCCTTCTTAATACTTTACTCCAGCTCATGTCGCAGCCCGAAATAAGACTGTGACATATGCAAATATAACTGCACAGTGTCAGCTGAAACCCCAAGCCAGCAGAGGGACACACACATTAAGGACTGCTGCCTGGGACCTGGTCATCCTTTTGCGCAGAAACTCGGGGCCCATCACTGTTCCTTCTGGCCCCTGAACAGTCCCCAGCCAGACGTGTGTCCACCCATTCAGGTACCAGGGGCTCCAGGGATGAGGATGGGAGATATTTCTATATTTAGGGAGCCCTTACTCCTACTTTAAAGCAGGGTGAGGGATGACGGCTCTGCAGAGGGTGTGATGAGTGTGAACTTCGCCTCTGGCTTAGATGATAAGAAAAGCTACAAAATGAGTTACTGGATTAAGTGAGACCCAGACTCCCTTAAAAAGGGAAAAAACAATTGTAGGGTATGGGGGAGTGATTGGAGAAAATGAGGTTGTTTGGGGTTGTATGCTTTGAGAAATAGAATACAGAGCTGGGACTGAGAGAAGGGGGAAAAATGGGAAACAGAGCAAAGAAGGAGCACAGATCTAGGTGTGGTAACTGGGAGAAAGTGGTGGTTTGGGTCTCCCAGGGGGCTAGATAGAACTGGTTTGGTGCCTGCCTTGTTTTTTTGGGGCCTGGACAAAGTGAATAGTCATCCCTGTGCATCAGTTTTCTCCTTCAGTGGAATGGGAAACACCACCTATCAACATCACCATTTATCGAGCAGCCATGTTGTATGAGGCAGATGGAAAGTAGCTTGATATGGGAACAAATGGAGAAGTTGGAGAAGAGAACAGGAGCAGGAGCAGGATGAAGTGGAAGAGATGGGGATGAAGACAGGGATGTCAAAATATCAAATGAGGGTTATTACACCCACCCTTAGGAGCCCAGCACTCTGCCTCCTTGGGTCCCAGAAGCTTGGAGACAGGGAAGGCTTAGGCCTGGCGTCCCTAAACACAAGGTGCTATAGTTTATGTATCCCGAGTTCCTGGCTCAGAACCTGGGATAATCCTGATATGTACGTGAGGGGCTGGCAGATAAGAAGTCCCTCCAGCCCACGTCTTCTCTCCCACTGCCCAGAACCTGCATGTCTTTCCACCTCCATCCCAGGAGGCTCAGGCCACGGGACCAATGACTAACAGCTCATACTTTGGTTGTTTTCATCCAGCTGGGAAATGGCCCACAGGGCACATAAGGGATCGTCCTATGTTTCTGATATTCTGAAGACCTCGGCTTCCTCTTAGAACTGACCCATAGATTCCCCCTTACTCCATTCTAGACCTCACTAACCTGTAATTTCTGGCTCAAGAAAATGAGCCTCTGAATTTCCTGGTCTGTTAGCCTACTTGGCTCCTTCAGCTCAGGGACCTTCCTAACGTGATCATTTGTTCTTCTGCTCCTGCTACCAAGCCCTGATTTACCATCCTTGCTTGTGTTCTCTTTTGGCTACCTCAACACACTCTAGACCAAAATGTGCATTTTATAGGGTTTATTCTTGAGGGAAAAGAGTAGTATCAAAAAAAATATCAAAACTATGGTTGCAAGTAATCAAGAGTTTATATTAAAGATAATTGAGTCCAGCTTGGGTGTTATGCAAGGTCCTAGCTAGCTTAAGTTCTGTTCTCCCTCTCTCCCCCCAACCACTTTGTTGCCAGTCATGATTCCCTGGATCCCAGAGTGTCCTAGGTGATCACTATGGATGTAACACATTCCTTCAGCTTACAGTGTCAAGCACACTTTCATTCAATCAGGCAGTCTCTCAGTCAATAGAGGGCATGAGCAGGTCCTACCCATATAGTCCTAGTAATCACCAGCTAAGCAGAGAGGTGTAGTAAAGAGAGCACTGGACTTAGAGATATTGCCAGTTACTCACTAATTCAGAATTACAATCCAGGGGCAAGTCACTTAATCTCTCTGATCCTTGGTTTCCTCATCTGTAAAAGCATTTCTGAAGCATACTACGCAAATTTTAAAGTGCTATATAAATGTCAGTTACTGTTATTACCATTCCTTCTTCCACTGAGAGAGATGAAATAGTACCAACTCTTATCCTCATTTCAGAGATAAGGAAACTGGGGCTCGAAGTGATGAAGGGATTTGCCTGTGGTCATAGAGCTAGTAAAGGGCCAAAATTTCAATGTGGATCTTAACTCCAAGTCCAGTGTTCTTTCTATTAGATCACAATAGTAATAATAGATTTTCTCAACATACTGAAAAATAATTTAACTGGATACCCATTTCATCCCCTCAATCCATTATTTTCTTCACAGGGTGACATGCCACTGGGAACCCTCTCTATTTCTATGCCAGGACAGAGCTTTCTTCCCAGATTTAGGAATACCATCAACAAAGACCTATATAGGGCCTAAGCCTAAGCAAGAATTTTGGCAGTGGAAAATAGCTTAGTCTTAGCCACTGGGGCTAGGAATCCTGGAAAATCAACTAGCCCTTAGACACAGGCTTCATTTGGATAACACCACAAATATTTATTAAATGCCTACTGTGTGTAAAGCACTCCTTGATATATTCAATCCTTGGGGAGTGAGCTGAGGACAGGATCGGGGTTTAGTCTGGGTAATCCTTAAGCCAGGAGAGGCTGGAAAAGCAAGTGATGGAGGCAGCAAGGGACAATGAAGACTGAGCTACTGTCTCCAAATTCCTGACCCTGCCTGTAGGATTCTTCTCTCAGAAGTCCTCCCAGGAGCAGAAGGCACTAACAATGGCCAAAGCACAGGATTTCATGGAAGCAGGTAAGGGAAAGCTGGTAAGACCCATCCCAGAATGTCCCCAACACCCCTATGTTCTAGAACTAAATCTTGGAACCACATGGTTGACAAATCTCATCCTGTCGTGTCCTCTGGAGTAAACCTTAGACCCGAATGAGTTCCCTTAAAATGGGGCTGAAGCGACCAGATTTTTTTTTTATTGACATCACTTCGTGTGCCAGGAAGTACCCTGAATACCTCCATAATATGGTTCCTGTCATCAGGAATCTTCTATCCTCAAGCCAAGGAACAAGTCCCTTTCTTTTGGAGGATGGAAGTCAGCTCCCAATACAAGTTTCTGGTGGGTAAAGAGTTTCCTCGGTCACAGTCTGGTGTCAAGTGAAAGGTTACAGGTTTCAACGATGTTGGGGCAGTACCTTTGACATACAAAATATAATTCTAAGGACATAGTTATGAACCCAAAACTCACAGTGAGTCCTAACACTGGCCACCCTGACACTGGTCTCAGAATGAGCCCTGCCTCCTGCCTAATCAGTGAACTTGGTCACAAGGAGTAACAGGTGACATGACAGTGTCACTATGACAGTCTCACTATGGTCAACAAAAGATAGCAGGATTTTGGCCTTCTTCTAACAGTCCCTTGTCTGGACCTGGGCAAGAAGGTGAGCATTCCTCAGGACCTCATGGTGGAAGAGCTGTCTCTCCGTTCTAACAAGGGCTCCCTCCTGTTCCAAAAGAGACAGAAGAGAGTACAGAGGTTCACCTTTGAGTATGCAGCCAAGCAGACACAGGTGAGTGTGACCCCACCAGCCTCTCTTCCATTATGTCAGGAGTTTCATAGACTCTAGCCTGGATGGGTCACTGGGCCCAGACTTTCATTACAGTGGAAGGAGAACTGGAATTAGAGTCAGGAAACTAGGTTTAAAATTCTGGCGCTGATGCTTATTAGTTGGGTGGTCTTGAGTTTACTTGGGTCAACATCTATAGAATGGAAAGAATAGTCTTTGGATCATCAATCCTTCACAGTGCCCTTTGTAAAACTTAAAGGGTGACAGAGATCAGCAGTTGAAGGTAAACACATGGCTTAGGGGTGGGACATAGTCTGCCTTTTTTCTTAGCTGAAAGTATGAAGACTTTCACATGTAAAAGAGAAAAGGACTGGGGTGCAGGGACGTCAAATCAAATCAACAAGCATTTATTAAGCAAACACTATACACCAAGCCCCATTTTGTGAAAGCTGAAGATTACTTCTCTTCCTTAAGACCTGTTCCCTTTTCTCCCTGGGACCCCCTCTCTCAGCTGTTCGTTTTTTCATATTTAACGTTTCCCTTGGTTTCTGATTTTTTAATTTCTGGTGTCCTTATCTTTACTTACTTCTAATTCAAAGATCTGTGATTTTACTGTTGTGGGTACTCTTTACATCAGCACAGATCACAACCCCTCTACACCTTAGTAGATGGTCTTCTAGTCACCTTGTGGCCAACCCTTTGGGAAGGAGCCTCTTTGCACTTAGTTGAGTTGGTCCTCAGATGAGAGACACTGTTGGTTGTTGGATCTGCCTTCAAAGCCTTTCCAGCTTTATAAGACTTGTCAGAGTTCTGACATTAGCATAACCTCCTAGAACCCTAGGACCAACTCCATGATTCCTTGGGAGAGGGGGAGACAGAGGAAGTTGTGCAGAAGAGTGGGAAGAATGCTGGATTTGGAATCAGAACATCCAAGTTCAAATCATGGTTTAGTCACTTATTACCTGTGTGACTTTTGGCAAGATACTTCTCTTTTTTTTTTTGGCTAGGCAAGGGGGTTAAGTGACTTGCCCAGGGTCACACAGCTAGTAAGTGTTATGTGTCTGAGGCTGGATTTGAATTCAGGTCCTCCTGAATCCAGGGCCAGCGCTCTATCTACTGCACCACCTGGCTGCCCCAAGATACTTCTCCCTTGGCTCAGTTTCCTCATTTACATAAAGAAGGGATTGGATCAGTTGACATCTTTTAGCTAATAGTCTGATCCTATGACTGGGCATAGGGCAAGTGGACTTTTCTAAGTTCTACACTGGTGAGCTGAATTCAGAGAAGATGGGGTGGACCTCCCTGAAGGCATGGAGATGGACAGGAGGGCTTCCAGAAAGACAACCCAGTGATTCCCACATAGCGCTATTCACTGGGGGGGGCAGAAGGGAAGCAAAGGAAGAAGGCAGGAAAAAACCCAGACTTAATGTTTTTTATTGGGGAACTGAAGCTAGTGAAGAAGATGGGACCCTGCAGAAAGGTAAGGCACTCCCAAAGGGCAGGATTCTTCCCCAGTCACGCCCATCTCTTTCTGCCAGAGATCAGTCTCAGAGTATAGAGGAAGTGACCTGGGAACCACGTCATCAGGAGGACCACCAGAAGAGTTGGCTGTGAGTAGAGCTTGTCTCTAGAGAAAAGGACTCCAAACTCTGGGAAACCAGGGCTAACCTCTGAGGGTGGGAGTGGGAGTAGAGGGAGCTTGGCCAGCTCCCTCAGGGGTCCTGTCCTGTGCTCAGACTGCCAGTGGCCCAGACGGGAAGGAGAACTACAGAACGGAGATCCAAATTTTCCCTACCCCACCTCCTGGGTCTGAGATGAGAAGTCAGGAACTACCCCCAGGAAGGGCTCCTAGTCCCAGTGCCCTGGCCTCGGGTGAGTTGGCAATTTCTCTGGGAGGTTGGAGGGAGTGTAACAACATGTAACATGTAACATGAGGGAGCGTGTTTGAGGGTGAGTGTCAGAGGAACTTTACTCTGGAGCAGAGGGAGTTCTTAATGGTAAAATGGATTTTAAAAAATGGGGGGGGGAATACGTGTGATACAGGGGAAGAAGGCATTCTGTTCAGTAGGAGACAAGTGAGGGACTGCGCTCTTTGTAGGCTATCTGCCCTTTGCCCACTAGTTTGTGACTGCTCTGTTCACTTCCACACTGGGGAAGGCTTGGGCCATCTCTCCTAGAAGACATGGGATGGGATTGAGGAAGTCAGAGGAAATGCAGAAAGATCACCTCATAAACTTCCTTTCCCTGGGACGTGTCCAAGGAAAGGCTGGACAAGGATGTTGAAGAGGATCCCTGAGTGGGGAAGGAGGCTGGGGCTAGATGTGCAGAGTTTCCTTCCAACTGTGACTAATTCTGCTTCTGTAACTTCCCCTGGGCTGTGATTTGGCCTTTTTACGAACTTTTCTCTTAGGCCTGGGGTCCTCCCATCGTGTGACTCACTGTTCCTCTGGCCCCTGGCATTGGGCTGTGGGCTCAAATCCTGACACTTCCCTGATGAGAGGCCTCGGGCTAATCACTTGTTCTGTCTGGGCTTCATTTCCTCTCTGTAAAACGAGAACAAAACAAAGCGCAGCTACTGGAGGGAGGGGTTTAGCAATCTCCACTAGATTATGCTAAGAGCTACATCTAGGCAGACATGGGTACATTTGCATAGAACAATCTGGCATCTGTGGAGCGCTATATCAAAGTCCTCCAATGCTTCACTGCCTTGTGGAAAGGACCCAGGTCTTTCAAAGGCTAGGGTAGCAGAAAGGTATAGAAAGGCTAGTCACCAGAGATGATTCATTTCTTTTGGTCACAGTCATCTACTAACACGGAGAGTTTGTGATTTGTGTCAGTGGAGGGAGTACACATGAATAAATCATTGACTGAAGGTCAATAGATACAGGACTCTTCATATGACAGTAATTATCTTCCCTTGGGACACTTCAATCATCAGGCAGGGAAAAACTTTTGGAATAATTATCTCCATTTTAAAGATGAAGTAACCTGATAGAGATCCCAGGGCTAACTGGGGACAGAGCATGGTCAAGAACTCTGGCCCCCCAGTGGAGGAAATAAGAAAAGGAAGAGGAGTTTCTCACTCCCCCTGTCTCTCCATCTTTAAGCTAACCTCTCACAACCTACCATTATCCCTCACAGGGTATTCTAAGCCCCTGACAGGCATCCCACCAGAGAAGTTCAATCACACAGCCATCCCCAAGGGTTACCAGTCTCCATGGCAAGAGTTCATCGACTATAAAGATGGATACAAGGACTATTACAAGGATCCCCTAAACCACACACCCTGGCCCTCAGACTACAGGAATTTCAACAAGTAAGGATGGATATGTCTGTAACCAAGTAGTTTAGAGGAAGTCGGGATGTATACCTAATGAGGGCAGGATAAAATGTCCCTATTCCTTGGGGTTGTTTCATTTGCCATCTCCAGCTTGAGTCCTGACTATAGCCACAGGATAACTTCCTAAGCTGGTCAAAGACTGACTCAACCCTAGCCTCAGATTAAACCCAAACTCCAGTCCCAGTCTGGGATTTTCCAACTGTGATATTAAATTCCTCCTTTGTAAAAGGAGGTTAGACTAGATCTAAAAATGTCCTTTCCAGGTCTAAATTCCAGTACATAATCTTTCTAGCCTATCATCACTATTCTTTATTCTATACATTAGCCAAATTAAAAAACATACTTCACTGCTGTACCCTACAGACCATGGGACTTCTGCATCTGTCTCACAGCCAAAACCTTCCCCATGTGTTCTCTCTCCCATTAGAATGTGAGCTCCTGGAGAGCAAATACTGGCTTACTTTTCTATCTGAACCCTCAGTGCTTTGCACATAAGTAAGCTCTTAGTACATGTTTCATTCACTCAACTAGAAGCTCCCTTGTTCCATGAGGACACCTCCAGCACTTTTTTGCCTCGCTTTTGCTACTGTTCCCTTCACTTGGAGTGTCCTTGTTCTCTACTTTCCCTCCATCTATGCCTACTGAAATCCTGCCCATCTTTCAAGGCCCTGGTTAAATGCCCCTTCCTCTGTGAAATGTAAAATGAGGGCCATGGCTTAAATGACCTCTAAGGACACTTCAGTTCTCAAATCTATAACCTTATCAAAGATTCCCAAATTCCCCCAGCCTAAGGCATTTTTTCTTTGGCACTTGCTTTTATGTCTCCTATCATGTACTGTCCTGATGCATGCCCATGTCTTATCTCTCCTTACAGTCAAGGTGCCATGTCTTACTCATCTTTCCCCCCAAGTACTAACAAAAATACCTTATACATAAAGGAGATCACTATGTTCTTGTTTAAGTTATAGCTCATGTAGTATATGTTGGGTAGGTTATCTAGGGATGGTGTTTTGCTTCCTGAGCATGAGCTGTCCCAGAAGGATGAGCCAGAGTCTGAGGAAAAGGGGGCTTTAGTTTGGCTACCTTTTAAGCTGGGACAATGAGGAGTGGTTCAGCTCCTCCCTTCCTCCTTCTTCCATTTCCCCAGCTACGAGGATGTCATATACCATGACCAAACCCAAGCTGGCATCATGGTGCGGTGCTCACCTGTGACATTTTGGGGGGGGAACGGAAGACAGGTGACATGGCTTCTTTAACACAGGATGTGACCTGCCCACCTCAACAAACGTCAAACATCTACTCTACAAAGTGCTGCCTTCACTGCTCTGTCTGCTCTTCTATTTAAAACTCTAAACAGACAGTCAATACCCAGATCTAACTCCCAGTGCTTAGGACGGAAATCTCTAAGCTTACGGCTGTGAGCAATCACATTGCTGCGTTTAAAGTAGAAGCACAGGCCAAAGCACACTCTCCCTTTCTAAGCTTTCTTCTGGGCACTAGTTTTCAGCTCTCAATCTTACTGTGGCTAGGTCTGATCAGGTGAGAATTTGTCTCTGGCCAGTAACATGGGGCTCTGGAAGAATGAGCTACCCAAACCTGCTATTTGTAGGCTCACCATGAAAAGTCAACAGTGTTTTTTTTTGTTTCTCATCAGGAAATTTTCCTACCTGCCCAAAAACAGTGGGAGAAAAAGACTGCATGTATAGTACATTTCTCTTCTCCAGGGTTTCTGTTTATTTTTGTCTAAGAAGAAGCAATGTGAAGCAGGAAAGGCTTCTTTTCCATCCCTCCTAAGTTCATTCCAGAAACACCAACGCTTCATCTGCCAGTTATTTTAACCACCAATTAAAACACTGTGATAATCTGGATAGTGAGTTTTGCACATAACAAAACTCTAGAGCCAAAGAATGTCACATCTAGAAGGGCCTTAGTATGTAGAACAAAGAATGTTAGAGCTAGAAAGTGCCTTGGAGGTAACGGGACCTTACAGACCATGCAATTCTAATTCTTTCTTCTGTAGATGGGACAGTCCAATCCCAGAGAAGGAAAGTGATTTGTCTAAAGTCACACAATGAATTAGTGGCAGAGCATGGGATTAGAACTCAAGTCTCTTTCTGACCAGTATTCTGTGTGACAGTCACAGACTCTTGGCATGTGGACGACTTGGGCAAAATCCATCTCTGCTACCAGAGAAATCTCCTCTCCTTCCCCGACAAAAACCATACAGTCTGTCAATGATGGTTAAGTCGGGTCATGGTTCATACAAAGGTCAGATCATATTTTTTTGTTTTCCTAGGACACCGGTACCATTTGGAGGACCCCTCATCTCTGAGACATTCCCCAAAACAGATACACCCCTCATCCCAAAAGAGCCCATAAGTGGCCTGGATCTCCTAAGCTACAGACCTAGTTTCAACCGAGTAGCCCAAGGCTGGGTGCGGTCCCTTCTGGAGTCTGAGGAACTGTGACTTGATATTAATTCCTGTATTTCTACTGCTTTGCTTTATTAGCCTGTTAGTAGGCACAGAGATAATGTACTAACACTGGTTACACATGCCAGTAGTTCTGCCACAGGTCACATTCTGAATTCTGCATAAGTGAAATCCAAATCTACCTCTGATATGAGAGAGATCCATATACTTTGGGTCCTATCCTACTCTCAAACAGGTTCTTATGGGCCCCAGCAAAGTAGGAAAAGGAGGGAAAGAAAGTTAGTCTAAACAAAATAGTGCTAATCAATGATAGCCCAAGCCTTGCCTTAGTGGGCTATTTTAAAAACTGTAGCACAATGCTCAAGAAAGATGTTACTCTTATAGCAAAGCAGCTTTAAAAATTCTTCCATAAGTATGCTGTGAGATCACTGTGGGTGATGGAATGACCTAAGCCCATAGGACAAAGAAAATCTCTCATTGATGTATCAACCTTCTTAATGGGCCAAATCTGTCAGGTGAACTTTACCTCCCTTTCCCCCTGGCAAGAAGCAGTATTTGATTTCAGCATTTGTAGTTAAATGGGAGAGTGATTCCCAGGCCCTACTGCAGAGGAAGCATGAACAGAAGTCCATTCTTGCAGGTGCTTCTGTACCTTCACTGCATTTTACTGTAATGGATCAGGAAGTTCTATGCTTAGCTCTGTATTTAAAATAGCAGTTCTTTTCCTATGAAGTGGAGACCAATTATTAAAATACATGTCACATGTTGGGGAGACAGAAAGGGTAAAAGGGAGAAAGGCTTATGTGTAACTTATGCTGGTATTGAGTTATACTAGTAAAAAGTGACAGAGCAGCAAAATTCATCCACTGAGAGACTGAGACACTAAATAGTTAGATGTTGGTTCTTAAGTCTGACTGTAGCAATATAACTAGAAAAAGGCCTAGGAAGACAATTAGCTTTTGTGCAAGCATATGCTGCCTTTGGTTAGCACAGTTTACTAATTAATGCCAGTGGACAAATTCTATTGATTCTCTGACCCAATGGCCTCTTTAACATTCAAGGGGAAGAATTTCGACAGTATCCTGGCTAAGGCAGAAAGGAAATTCAATCTCCTCTACACCAAACAGCACATATGCGTAACTCTCTCGGTGTTGGATCACAGGTGTGTGGAGGCCGTTTTGTTCAGCTCTGAGCTTCTCTTTCTTTAGGCTAAGGAAGAGTCTCATTAGAAAAAAATCCAATATACCCATCTAAACGAAAATCTCATAGCATTTTAAAGAAATACAAACTTGAGAGACTTTAGTCCTACTAGTTACTTAAGAATATACATCTTGCCAGGTAAAAATAAGGTGTTGGGTGGAGCACAGATGCAAACCTCAATTTATAGGTGAAACAATATTATCCATTCAACACACCTGAAACCCAACTGAGATTTTTAACCAAAGGCTCTGGAGAGAAAAGTACATGATGCTCCCTTTAAACAACCCAGTTTACAACTACTACACAATCTGTTTAGACTAAGAGGAAGCCAATTATTAGTAAGTAGGCTTTATAACTGCCACATTGGTATATCCTAGGTTTTACCTAGAAAATGGGGAAAAGAATCCCTTCCTTACCTTCCTCACAGTGGTGTTTCATGAGGATAAAATCCAAGCAGAGTTGAAGATGCCTTGAAAAGCAAGAAAGTGCTATATAAATGCAAAGGGTTACACTATTTCACTTCAGAAATGGGTAATTTTGGGGTCACTTTCATTAACCCAAAGACACCAGCCACCAAAGATGAAAGAAAATGCTACAGAAAACTAGAAATATGCTCATGACAACATGTGGAAAAACTGGCCCATTTTAATCGCTTTTTAAAAAAATTCTAAAATTTAGAACAGGTCTCATTTCCTTTACCTTTTTCACTTGTCTACAATTCAGTTACATCCAAGCAACATTTCTATAATGAGAAAAGTAATAGACAGCCTCCTATGCAGCAGCAGAAAATTAGACAGAAACACATGAAGGTGCAAGTTAAACAAAGACCCTTCCATAAGTCACAGCTCACCCATACAAACAAAATAAAAGGTTTGTTCATTTCACAGTTAGAAAAGTTAACTTCTACCTCATGAGAGGAGGCATGAATTAGCAAGGCAGGCCCCCAAGTTTTGTGAAAAGATCAGTCACTTTGGATGGCAGAACATAAGCAGGAGTTTTCCTAAGACTGAAAAGAAGTTGGTTTTGTTTCGTGGCAGAGGTTCCTTTAGCAAGAGGAGGATAAAAGAGGAAAGAAAATATCTAGGGGTGTTTGATTTCAAAGTCTGACCTTGGGTAATAGGGAAATAATACTTAATGAATCTCCTTAATGACTAGCAAAAGGCTAGCAAAAGAATTGTTTTAAAAATATTGTCAAATGTTTGCTTTGACCCCAGGTCAAAGTTTGTCAAACCCCAAACACACAAAGAAATACATACAATAGAATCACAACTCTCCTTAAGGTTCCTAGAAGCTCACCCTGACCCTCTTTTTTCCTGTGTGGTTAAGAAGCGAAGGACACTGTTACATTAGTGACCATATTTGTTAATATCAGGCTAGCAGGACTCCTCCACCTGCCCTGTGCTCAGGAACTCAGTTCCAGCTGTTTGCCCATATCTTAGCATGTTATATGCTACCATGGAAACTTACAAAGGAAAAAAATATTTACTCCAAGATTTATTTATCACATTTCTAAAATGCCTTTCCTCCTCAGAGCTTAACCACTGTAGCAGGATGTTAGGGACTGCTGTGCTTTCCTGCATGAGCCCCCATCCTCTGGGGATCCTGAGATGGATAGTGGATGGGTCCTGGAGCTCGCATGAAGGGAGGTGGTGGTCCCATTGGGTGAAACATGTGTGGTCCAAAACCTGCAGATGGGAAGGAACAGATCTGTCAGATTTTCAGCTCTCTTGACAAACTTGAATAATTTTCATTTCTCTCCCAGTCTAAAGCAGCAATATATAAACCAAACTAGGCCTAATGAAACACTGACTTCCAAGACAGCCTCCAGAATTAAAGATGTCTATCCAACTACTTGTTCTCCCTCAGCCTTTCTCCTCCTAAGATTTTGACAGGGCTGAAGTCATCCCCTGGGTACCGAGAGTTCAAGGCTTCCTGAGCAGGAGTAGTCTGAAGCAGTCTGCCAGGCAAGGTTTGATTAGGATTTGGAGATGACACATTAAAACTGATCCAAGCCTCTTTCACTAGTTGCAATCTTGAATGGCAGACTGGAATATTTTTTTCACAAGTTTTAGAGTTATATCCAAAGGAAGATTTGTTACACACCAATTTTCCTGATGTGTATTAAGCAGTACATTACAGGATGTTAGCAAAGTCCTATATAGAACCTTGAATAAACCACTATGCACACATTATGGCAAAATTACTAGCTGGCCTGGTGATATTACAGGAAAGCTGAAGGCACAGAAAGAAAATAAACATAACAGCAGGTCAGGATTTTAACTTTGTGGAGTTCTATAAAATAAACCCAAGGGATGTGGTGGTTAAGTGGAGTGTGTGGGTATTTGGGGAAGTAGGGGAACAAGAAGACAAGAAGTGACCCAATGATAATCTTCCAGAACTTTCTATATCCTCCTTATTAAGATGCCAATCACATCCAAGAAGCAATCTCTTCCTTCAAACCTCTCTTAAAGTACTTGCATATTCTCTATTTGGTAGTATTTTTTTAGTGTCCTCTAAGCTGCAAACACCAGGATGGTATGCCCAAAACACCTAGTTCTTTGCCCTGTGTATAACAGACACTTTGTAAGGGAAAACTGAAGATTTGGTTTCAGGGAAGGGCCACTCTTTTAGATACAGTGTTGTAGCTTGTGATTTATAAAACAAAGTAGAGATCAATTAACTGAGGAAATAATTTTTATGTGTCATGCTGTGTTTTGAAACAAAACTAGCGTAACAATCTGGACTGACTGGGGTTCTATTAATCAATCAACAAGCACCTATCAAGTGTCTACTCGGTGGCAAAAATGAAACAGTCCTAGCCCGCAAGGGCAAGGGGGAGATGATATATATCTAAATTTATACAAAATAAACAATAAATAAATAAAAATAACTAACAGCAGGGAACAGCTCTAGCACCTAGAGGAGAGAATCAGGAAAAGCTTCATGTAGGAGGTGGTACTTGAGGAGAGGGAAACAGCCAGTGCAAAGGGATGGAGGCAGGAGATGGAGCATCCCATTGACTTTGGCTGGATTGCAGAGTATAAGAAAAGTAGTCTGGGGTCAGGTTGTGAAGGGCTTTAAAGTCCAAACAGGGGGCTCACATTTTATTCTAGAAGGAATAAGGAGCCATCAGAGAATTCTAAAATCTTATGTTAGAACTGGAAGAAGCTTAGAGATCAGTTAGTCCAATCCCCTTACTTTGTAGAGAAGGAAATTGAGGACAGACCCAGGGCTATACGAAGTCCCTTATCTTCGGGGCTAGAGGCTGATAAAGAAACTTCTGTAAAGGAAGGTCTTACCTGGTGGGGGAGGAGGTGCAATCCCAGGAGGAGGGGGCAAAGCAATATTAACCACTGCGGGAGGACCACTGGGAGGGAGATTAAAATAATTGGCAGAAGCTTCTTCTTCAGCTGCTGGAGGAGGAGGAAGAGCTAAAGAAGAGAATAACACAAGTTAGATACAATGACGTTCAGTGCAGGAAAGCCACTGCTTCCTCCCATTATTTCTATTCTCTGCTAATGGGAGCTCAGGAGTTGTTGCTACCTATCACAGGGGAAATTTATTTACTATTCAGAGTAACAAGCAGGCTGTTATTAATATTCAAGCAAGCAATGGAATAAAAACATTCTTACCTCCAGGAAGTCCGGGGACAGGCTCCAGCTTAATTCCAGAGTCTGTGGTTCCTTCTTTGTCTTTTTCTTTTCCTCTGGCTGCCTGAGATCTGAAACATACAACAAAATAAAAATCATCATATGATGCCGAGCAAGAAAACATAAAAACACTGCCTACTGCCACTCTCCAGGCTACCCCCAAATCCACTACTATTCAAAGAAGTTAATGTTATTCTGGAATACTGACATTTTAAGTTTGTATATATAGCTCACTATACGACAGTCTCTCAAAAAAAACCCCAAAAAACAAAAAAACAAAAAAACCCAAAAACCCAACAAACCTGTGAAAAGACAAGTATAGATACAAATCTCACCTTCCCCATTTCACATTAAGTCTGCGCCCATTTACAATCAGTTTGTTGAAGGACTTCTCGGCAGCCATCTCTGCAGCTTGCCTTGTAGCAAACTGGATGAAAGCGCACTGCTGCCTCTGTACAACTGTTATTGTTCGAATCTCACCAAACTGGTAAAAGTGATTTCTACATGGACAGAAAGATGGACAAATCTGAGTCTATCTTAAGTTAAACACAAAGCATAGTTACACAAAATGACATATCTCCAACACACTGAAAACCGATGAACTCTTTTACTGCTATAGAGAAGACAGCCACCTGGTGACCCCTGGGGAATTTCTCCCCCATTCCTCTTTCTTCACCCTGGCTCCTAAGAGAAAGAGCAAAAGAGGAGTGCCAACCAACTATACTGCTTTTATTACTGAGCAGAATGTCTGGATACGTGGTTTGCTTTTGACTTGAAATGAAATAAACTCAACAAGGTAGGGCGGGGGCAGGTAGGTGGCACAGTGGATAGAGCACCGGCCCTGGAGTCAGGAGGACCTGAGTTCAAATCCGGCCTCAGACACATAACACTCACTAGCTGTGTGACTCTGGGCAATTCACTTAACCCCAATGGACTCACAAAACAAACAAAAAAACCAAACCAAAAAACAAAATAGGGTGAATGTTCCTTAAGAGATACAGAAGTCCTCTTCCTCTCCTCAGGGCAAATTTCTGAGACAAAGGCTCACCTTTTCCTTTATTCCTTGCCCCCCAGTCCTTGGTTATCATCTTAACCCCCTTCTGCCAGTCTTATCATTTTGGAACCCTATTAGGGAAGAAAAATATTAGCTATACTTCTTTACTCAAGGACAGAGGAGAACTCTAGTTTTCTAAGGAGACCCTTTGTTTCTGTGACCTCCTGTGTTTCTACACCATCCTTAATGTTTTTCCAAAGAAGAGAAGGTACAGCAAACAGCCAGGCTTGTGGTTAGTTATACATTATTTTTTCTCATAAAGGAAAGATTCAGAAATACTGTCTCCACTTCCTTGGGACCACCATTCCAATTTTTGTCACTATTCCTTACTTAACCAGGACCAATTCTGTGACTGGGCAGCTAGATGGCACAGTGGATAAAATGCTAGGCTTAGAAGACCTGAGTTCAAATCCAGATTAGACATTTACTAGCTGTATGAGCCTAGGCAAGTCACTTAAGCTTGTTTGTCTCAGTTTCCTCATCTGCAAAAGGAGCTGGAGGTGGAAATGGCAAACCACTCCAGTATCTCTGCCAAGAAAACCCTAAATGGGGTCATTAGGAGTCAAACACAATTAAAAACAACTGAACAACAATAACGACATACTCTGCAGCTAGGGGAACCTCATTAAACTTTTATCATTAATACATCTTTCTTCAAAGTTATATTATTAAATTTAAATTACTGAATAAATTAAATTATTAAGTTAAAAAAAATATTAAAATGTGAAATGCATCAGGGTATTACTTCCAAACTGCTCACTTCTCCTTTTGCCCAGACATATCACAAAAGTTCAGCAGATGTAACAAGGTCACCAGATATAATAGAAACCCAAAGAATAAATCTCCCAATCTGCTGCCTTACATCAATTTCCATCCATTACTGTCACCACTGCATATGTTCTAACTTTTCAGTGAGGGTGGGGATATGCATATCCCTTAACCAATTAAAATATATGCACATACCTGAGATCTGTCTCACTAATTGTATCTCCCAAGCCACCAACATAGAGAGTGGTAATGGTCTTGTCATCTGGAGGGTCCAGGCGAGGCATTGTTGAAGCCCGTTTTAGCAGCTTATCTGCCACAGGATCATTAATACCGTAGTATCGATCTTTGATGTTCTGATCAGCAAGAGGATCATCAGGGTCTGTAGGCTTCTCATGTCTACGAATGAAGATGAAAATTAACAATGTTGACTTTAAAGCTAAAGAAGTCAAAATTCCCTTAGGCCACATCATAAGTTTACTTCAAAAGAAGTCAAAGAATAGAATAAAATGCTTATCAAAGTTGAAAACCACACCCCATTAGCTCTGTTGAACAACCTCAGTTCCCTTCCTCATTTGTATTGCCATCTAGCTCACAGACACTGGAAGGACTAGATGACTTCTTTCCAACTCAAACTGCAACGCTGTATTCGTCTTCAACCTTCCCATTGACTGTGATTCTCCAACACTGCTCCTTTAGTGCCCTGAATTCCTCAATTCATAATGTCCAACTTCACTTTAAGACAATGAAGAAGGACAATCACACCTTTGATCTCACTAGAAACTTTGCATCTCCAAGATTATGGACTCTGAAATGCTTTGGGCTAACCATAATTCCTTGTTCTACCTTTCCTACTTTCTACTATTCACCTTAACTATGACTTTCAATCCCTCAGTTTTTCAGTCTTCTTCCAGTCTATTAACTCTGTTCCAGCAGCCATACTTCCCTCCTTATACAGTCAGCTGCTTCAATAAAATCCTCTCTTCTACTTTTCCTCCCTTGACCTTTCACTATTTCCACCCTGCGAACTGGCAACCCTGGGTAGTTTCTACCATTTGTCTTTCCTCATGCCTACTCTTCAGCTGCTAAAATGCAGCTGGAGAAAAATCATAAAACTGATGACTGGGTCCACTATAAATATATGTTAATTTCAACTGGGCTCTCAAGGTTGGATAGCAATCCTTTTTATTAATTTTAATTCATTACATTTCCCAAATATTTGTTCCAAAGCTCTTTTGTTTCAATGACTCCAAGTATTTACTGAACACAGAGCATGATGCACTAGTGAAATATATGGTGGGTATTTCCAAGAATTGCAAGGTGAGTTTGGAACCTATTAAAATTCTTCTAAATCAGGTATCTTAACCTAACGTCTGTGAACTTAAAACAAACAAACAAACGAACTTTGATAACTGTATTTCAATATAATTGTTTTCCGTGGTAATCCTATATATTTTATACATTTAAAAATACTATTCTAAGAGTGCATAACAAAAAAAAAAAAAGAAAATGGTTTAAGAAATCCTGATCTAAACATTTTTTATGTAAGTTTTTATTGATGTTTTCTATTTTTTTAATATCAGTATAGTATCCCAGGTATCCCTCTCCATCCTGCTGAGAGCCATCTCATATGACAAACAGTATTGCTTTTGGAGAGGAAAAAGAAAAAGTGAACACAGCTGATTCATATAGTGAAAAAGCCCAAAACGGTGTAATGTTTAACCCTTGTGGATCTCCCAGCTCCACAAAGGGGTAGGCTGGGGGTTTCTTCTCATATCTCTTCATCTGATTCCCACTTGATTTTTATGATTTTGCTACACTTTTAATTTTTTGGTGTCATTTTCTTTCCATTTACACTGTCGCAGTTACTATGTTTATTATTTTCTTGGCTCTGCTTTTTTCACTTTGCATCAGTTCAAATAGATATTTTCATGCTTCTCTATGTTCATTACACACATCATTTCATACAGTACAGTAATATTCCATTACATTCATGTACATAATTTGTTTTGCCATTCATTCCCCATCTGATAGCCATCTTTGTTTCCAATTCTCAGCTACCACAAAAAGTGCTGCTATAAACATTGTGGAATGTATGGGGATTTTAGTAGTCTTATTGATGGCTTCCTTGGAGTATAAGCCCAGTAATGGCGTCTCTGGTTCAAAGGATATGAACATTTTAGTCACCTTTTTTTTTTTTTGCATAATTCCAAAATGCTTTAGAAAATGTTTGTACTACTTTCGAGATCTACCAATAATGTATTAGCGTACTTATGTTCCTACAGTCCCAATAACATAACTGTTGCCACTTTTGCTAATTTGCAGGGTTGTTTTGATTTGCATTTCTTTTATTAATAGTAATGCTCTAAAGAGCATTTTTTCATGCAGTTATGAATACAATTCTTTTGATAACTGTTTATTCATATCCTTTGATCACTTATCTATTGGGCAATGGATATTAGTTATATATAAGTGTTTATATATACATATATGTATATATATTTGTTAATTTTTAAAAATATCTTAAATACCAAACCCTTATCAGAGAAATTTGATAAAAAGATTTTTTTCCTCATTCAACCACTTCTCTTCTTATCCTAGATGCATTAAAGTTGTTGGTACAGAAGTGTTTCAGTTTCATGTAATCAAAATGATCTAATTTATCTTTTGTGATTGCTTCTCTTGTTTGGTTATCCATAATATCTTCTATCCACAGCTGTGAGAGCTCTTCTAACTTTTTAAATAGTATGATCTTTAATATTAAGGTCATGTATCCATTTAGAATGTATTGCGGTATGTGGTTTAAGGTGTTGGATTAAGCCTAATTTCTGCTAGATTGCCTTCCAGTTTCCTGATTAGTTTTTATCAAATAGGAAGTTTTTCCCTAGGTAACTTTTATTTGCCACTTCATGAAATACTAGGTTATTGAGTTCTATAGTTCCCCTCTTCTTGTTTGTCACTCTTCTCTCTTTTGGGTTTTATTTATTCCTCTCCTGCTTTTATCTGGTTTTCTATTTCTTTCTCTATTTTCTTCCTCTCAGCTAATTAAGTAGATTCTCTCTTCATCTCTTTCTCTTTAGCCAGTCCTGTTCATTAGCTTGTTTTATTTATTTTTTTGGTACCCCTTTGCAAAAGGATCTTCTCTCCCAACTCCCATACAAACCTTCCCCATTCTCAGCAGTTGGGCTCAACTTATACTTCACTAAAAAAACAAACAAACAAACAAAAAAAAAACAGAATCCATTTCCACGAGCTCTCTTTCCTGCCTTATTCTATATTATCTCAAAATCCTTGACATTATCCCATTCTCTCCTCTTTAACTCTAGTCTATGATGAAGAGTAGTACAGTGCTTAGCAAAAGTGTCTGGCACATAGCAGGCGCTTAATAAATGTTTGTTGACCAAATAACCCCTTTATTTGGCAAGGACAACCAATCTACTTATATCCCTGATCCCATGTTCCTTCCATCTCATCCAGTAGTTTGTCCTTGTAATCATTCCCTCTCTTTTTCTGAATTTCTATCTTTCCCTCTCTATTGGCAGTCTGCTCCCTCTATGTTCATCCTTAAAATAAGGAAAGAACAAAACATTTGACCACGCCTTTTTTAAAGCTACTGTGCTAGATCATTCCCCTTTTCACTTCCAAACTTCTAGAAAAAAGCTGCTTATATTCAACTAAAGTCCATTTCCTGCAATTCATTTCTCAACTCTCTAAAATATGTCTTCTAACCTTCTCTCTCAACTGAAGTTGCTTTTCCAAAGTTACTAATGATCTCTTATTTACCATATCTGGTGGTTTTTTAAAGTCTTCATTCTTTTGACTTCCTTTGTAGTATTTGACACTGCTAATCATTTCCCTCCTTTTGGATATTCCCTCCTCACTGATTTTTCAAGACAGTGCCTTCTCTCCCGGTTCTCTCCTTATATGTTTGGCCACTCCTCATTCCCCTGTGTACGATCATTACCCATGTCCTACCCACATGTGTGCATGTACCCAGTGGTGCTAATGTAGGCCTGCTCTCCCTTGTCTACTTCACTCTTGGGATCTCCCATGGGTTTAATGATCATCTCTATGCAGATGATATTCATTTCTCAGGTCCAGCCCTAGCCTCTCTCCCGAGCACCTGTCCTGCATCACATTTCCAAATGGATGTTCCCCATAGACACCTCAAAGTCAGTATGTCCAAAACAAAAGTTATTATTCTGTATCCCTTCTTCCCCCACCTTCTTAACTTTTCTACTTCTGTTAAAGATATTATTATTCTTTTAGTAATCCAAGTCTGCAACTTTTAAGTCATCCTTAACTCTTCCCTCTCTCTTACTCTTGGTATCCAAATGCTTAAGTCTTTTAAAGATTCATTTTTAAAAAGTATTGATATTTTTGATTTTACATTGCCCTCCTTTCCAAATATCTGTACCTCCCCCTGGTCACTCCTTGTCATGAAGAATACAAAGGAAAAAGCAATTTAGCAGAATTGACAGCAACCAAATGACAACATAGACAGTGTTCCCATAGTCTTTAAACTTTGTAAAGAAGGGAAGTTAATTACCAAGTTTTGTTGATTCTACCTCCACAACATCTTTATATCTGTCTTCTGTACAATCACATGGTCACCATCTTAGTTCAGGACATTATTTATCATCATCAATACAGACCATTCCAATAGCCTCTTAGTCTCCCTGAGACCAACCTTTCCAATCCATTCTCATCACAGTAACCAAACTGATATTCCTAAACCTCAGGTTTGACTATATTAGACTTCTGCTCAAGAATCTCTACCACCTCTCTACTGCCTCTAGGATGGGGGTTCTAAATCTTTTTTCATGTGTAATGCATCTCTCTGATAATTTGGTGCAGCCTATGGACCCATACTCAGTATAATGTTGGTTGCCTACATTCATAATCGAAGGAAATGGTAAATTTCCATTAGAGGCTAGTAAAAATAAAGATGTAATTTTTTTTTATCCAAGTTCATGATCTCCTGAGATGTATCCATAGACCCCCAGGTTAAGAACCCTTGCTCCAAGATAAAATACAAACTTCTCCTTTCAGCATTTAAAACCCGTCAATTTGGCTCCAGCCCAGCTTTCCAAGGCTTACTGCACATAACTCTCAAGCATGTACATGATGTTTGAACCAAACTGGCCTATTTGCTGTTCCCCACAAAAAAAAAACAAAAACCCACTCCATCTCGTCATACCTTTGACAAGCTACCCCCAATTTGGAATATCCCTCTTCACCTAAGCCTCGCAGATCCCTTACCTTCCTTCAGTGTTTAGCTTAAGGACCACTTCTTACACAAGGCCTATCCTGACCCCTCTAGTTGCAGGGTATTTCCCTCTGGAAATTACTTTGTATTTATGTTGTATTTGCTTTTCCATGAACATTATCCTCCTAGTATTATATCTTCTGAATAGAATGGAAAAGCTCCTTAACAGCAGGGACTTTTGTTTTTGTTCTTGAATTCCCTGGGCACAAAGGTGCTTAATGAATGTTTGCTGAAAGAATACTCTCCAAGGGGCAACTAGATATCTCAGTGTATAGAGCACTGGCCCTAGAGTCAGGAGGACTTGGGTTCAAATCCGGCCTCAGACACTTGACACTTACTAGCTGTGTGACCCTGGGTAAGTCACTCAACCCCATTGCCTAGCCAAAAGAAAAAAAGAAAAAGAAAAAGAAAAAGAAAAAAGAAAAGAATACTCTCCAAAATTGTGTCCTGAGCCCTCTTTTCTTCCTTTTCTACCCTTTAAATCCTTGGTGACTTCAGGTACTCTGATGATTTTCAGTATGTGGGTGACACACAAAAAAGAAGTGTGTGTGTGTGTGTGTGTGTGTGTGAGATCAAACAAGAAATATGAGTTTGGATAAACACACACACACATAGACATATTTTTTTGAGAGTCACCCACATTAAGGTCATATTGAAAAGATTATGGAGCAGCTAGGTGGCACAGTGGATAGAGTGCTGGATGTGGAATCAGGACTGGAATTTCAATTCAGCTTCAGACACTTACTAGCTCTGTGATCCCACAGAAATCACTTTACCTCTCTTGGCCTGTTTTCTTTTTAGTAACATGAAGAGGTTGGACTCATAGCCTCTAAAGTCTTTTCTAGCTCTATAACTCTGATCCTGTGTCCCAAACTGAATTTACCTTCTCTCTACAACCTGCCCGGCCTAACTTCTCTATTTATATGCTGGTACCATCATCTTTCCGTTTATCCTGGTTTAAAGTATCAAAATTATTCTATTTAATTTAATTTAATCATTTACTAAGTCTTTTTTTTTTTTTTTTTGCCTTTTTGGTGAGGGAATTGGAGTTAAGTGACTTGCCCAGGGTCACACAGCTAGTAAGTGTCATGTGTCTGAGGCTGGATTTGAACTCAGGTCCTCCTGACTACAAGGCTGGAGCTCTATCTACTGCGCTATCTAGCTGCCCTTCATTTACGAAGTCTTACTGATTTTATCTCTACAACATCACTTGTATCAGCATCCAATGCAGTCACTCCAGTTTAGGCCCTCAGAGCTCTTCTACTTTTGAATACCTTATTGTTCTAACCATTATTCTTGCCTACATTTTATTTCCTCTCCAAAGTAGCCTTCACACTGCTGCCCATGCAGTTTTCCTAATATGTTCCTCTGATCGTATCGCTTCTCTACTCCAAAACTTTCAGTGGCTAATATCCACTGAATAAAACACATGCAACTTATTCTGGTATTCAATGTGCCCTGTAATCTGGCTCTAATTTATCATTTCAACTTCATCTCAAAGAACTACTCCTCATGCACTATTTATTCTAGTCAAACTGTAACATATTATTTCTTATTCTCATCTTATCACCTCCCATTGCTACATTTTAGCTCAAACACCATCACAACATGCTTATAATTGACTCCTCTCTACTTTTGTTGAAGTTTCTCTACCCTTTATGGCTTGATTCAGGTGTCACTTGCTTCCATGAAGAACTCCTCACACCTCTTTGCCTGAATTATTTCTTTGCACTTACCATACTTCTTTTTTCCTTTTTATTTCTTCTTTTTCTTTTGTAAATAATATCTTATTCTTTTTCAATTACATGTAAAGATAGTTTAACATTTTTTTATAAGACTCTGAGTTACAAATTTTTCTGCCCACCCCCACAGATGGCAAGCAATCTTATATAGGTTATACATGTGCAATCATCATATCTCTCTTGTATCAGTTATTTGTGCCCAAGTTTTAATCTCGGATTAGACTTTGGGCTTTCCATATAGTGGATACTTAAAATGTTTGCTAAATTGAATTTCTATTCATCACATGAGGTAACCATGCTAACTTCACCACTTAAATGGTAAGACCTGAGAGAGAAACACTATCAAGTCTATCCATGGTAATTAGAGGGAGGGAGTACACAACATATGGTATGGTACCTTGCATTCTTGGACCTGACTTGTTATTTCATTGGCATAGGCAGTTTAGTGGATATACTACTAAACTTGGGAAGACTGAAAATTCAAAACTTGCTTCAGCCACTTAGTAGCTGTGTGACCCTGAGAAAGTCACAACTTTACTGAAACTCAAGTTTCTTCATCTGTAAAATGGGGATGATAATAGCATTCACACCTCAGTGTTGTTGTGGGCAACAAAAAAGATAATAGGTATAAAGTACTCGGCAAACCTAAAAGTTACCTATCATCATAAGGAACTTCTGATGAGGAAACTCCTCTACCAATAGCAGACCAGCAACTGTTCAACATCCTACAGTCTTACTAGTAGCACAGGGCACTGAGAATTTAAATGAGTTATATGGTCCTCATGTTCAAGAGATGAGACCTAAACCTAGCCTCTCCTGACTCTAGGCCAACATTCTATCCATGATGGCTACCTGTCTCTCATAAATGCCTTACATGTAACAGATGCTTATTAAATAGATTCACATACTGCCTTTCACGTGGATGAACACCCCCCCTCCTCCAGCAATTACTAAGTGAGGCTCCTCTCATACCTGTACGGACACTCCTCTCCCCTTTTACATTCTCCTTTCACCCAGAAGGAACAAATGTGAGGACGATTCCGTTTGTAGTAAGGGGTCGTCCGGGCCAATTTGAGCAGCATGTCACTTGTAGCTGTAGCCTTCCCAAGAACACCAACTGGCCGAGTTCCATCAGAGTTAGAAATCTACAAGGGGATGCCAAAGGCAAGAGAGATCACACCGACAGAGATGCTTGGAGATAGTTCCTAAATCCCATTTCACATCACCTTCATTCAGGAAGTTACAGCGTTTCCATACCTCTCGCTCAACATTCTGGGTGTAGTATTCTTTGTTCACATCAGACTTAGGCATGTCATCTTTAAAGGATAGTCCTGCATCACGGACCTGAATAGGTAAGCCTGAAATCAAAGAAGGGAGTTGAGAGAGAAGTTCAGCAATAACCAAAAGTCTAAATAACAATTTGCATCTATTGAATATGCACTAAGACTTATGATAGTGATTACTTTTTCAAATATTCAAGGCACTGTAAAGGATTGTCCAAATTCTTATATTGCTCTTGTCACATAAAACACTGTTAAAAATAAAAAAGTTAGTGTTGTGGTCATGGCTTGGAAATCTTTTAGTTAAAAAAAGAATTTTTATTATATGGTTATATAAGATTTTATTATGTTAGGTTTTGATGTAGAATCTAATAATGTGTACTATTTTTTTTTTTTTGGGTGAGACAATTGGGGTTAAGTGACTTGCCCAGAGTCACAGAGTTAAGTAAATGTCAACTCTCTGGTCTGAGACCGGATTTGAACTCAGATCCTCCTGGCTCCAGTCCCAGTGCTCTATCTACCGCACCACCTAGCTGCCCCAATGTGTACTATTTTTACAGGATTATAGAATATCAGGGCTGGAAGGGACCTCAGAAGTCATTTCGTACATTTTTCACTTGAAGCAGGAATCACTTCCACAATATTCCTGATATGTGGTCACTTAGCCTCTACTTGAACACCTCCAGTTATAGAGTTCTCATGATATTCTATGGCAGCCGTTCCATTTTTGGATAGCTCAAATTGTTGCAACTGAAAACTGCCTCCCTGTAACTTCCACCCACTAGTTCTGACCTTCTGGTACCAAGAAAAAATAAATCTAATTATTCTTTCACATGACAATACTTTAATCACTTGACTCCAAAAACCAAGTTAGACTAAACCAAGCTTAGAAAGAATTACTTTTAATTCAAAGCATATGCTTTGAAAAGCACAAGCCCTCTAGTACTTGCATCAAAGAAAAGAGATGTATTTGCACCAACAATTTTGCTTGTAGGCTCCAAATTTAAAATTACAATGCTGGGGTTAGCTTCAGTTTCAAACAATTAATATAATTGGCCAACTTTAATTTGTAGAATTTTGGATACAAAAATTATAATATTTAGCAACCTTGAGGTAAGCTTCCTTTATCTAGAACAGGATCTATAGATGTCTATATACATTATTACATGATATGAAAACCTCTGGGTCCTACTCTTATCACCACTAGAATACTGTCTTTCCTATCTCCAGTCAAATAAGGATCAGGGATGATTCTAAGTATCATTTGAACACAGGCAATAAAAATAGAGATAATTCTTTAGAATTTTTTAAAAAAATTTTGAACATAAAAATAAAAACAAACATTTCCAAATGTAAAGCAGAACAGAAAAAGAGAATTCTATGTGAAATCACTTACTTATATACAGCTTAAATAAGTATATAAGAACTTCAGGGTACTTTTAAAGCTATCCCATTTATTGATATATACAGATAATTTTTCTTTTCCCTTTCTTTTGAAGACTGGGTCTCCCCTATCTCATCCAGGTTAGAAGTGCAGTGCCCACTCAGGGGCTTGATCCCACTACTGACATGGGAGCTTGATTGGTTTTAGACCTACTGTGGCTCAGAACTCCTGAGCTCAAGAAATCCGCCAGCCTCAGCATTCATGGTAGTAGGAATTATAGGTGTGTTAATTCTTAACAATCAAGGAATTACAAGGGCATGAGACCTTTTCCCACTGGCTAGCTTTCTCTGTCCTCCCCACTTTCCAAAATACTAGAGGTACAAGCTTGATGCATAGTGCAGGCTCTTGAAATTCTTCTCTCCCCATTCAGCAAAAAATTATTACTGTGGCATTTTTCATTAACAACCACAATCTTGACCACAGTCCCATACTGATTGCTTCTAGTTGTTTCATTTCAACTAAATTTCCTATGTATCTCCAGGCCTTTCCAAAAAGACAACAATTAAGTTTCCGCCTTGAAAAAACTTACATTCTAGTTAAAGGATACAATATATACACATATGAGTAAATACAAGGTAATCTGATTAAGGATAGGGGACTAATAATTAGGGGGAATCAAAGAAGACTCCATGGAAGAAAGTTTTACTTGAGCTGAACTTTAAAGGAATTTGAAGGACTGCATTCCTGACATGGTAGATGGCTTATGTGAATGAAGATGGAATGTTACGTTCAAAGTTTGGCTGGAATGAAGTATGAGAAGAGGAGTAATGTGCTATAAAACTGGAAAGGTAGGTCTTGCATAATTGAGAATAAACATAATAGGGGTAAGTATCGGATCTCCTCAGAATCAGATCTCTCAGAAGCTGCTGGCCTGAGGCACGGACAAAAGCACTCTTTCTGAGTGTTACAGCTCTCTTCTCTACTCTCTAAAATGCTGAGACTAAAACTGCTTCCAAAACTCGTACTGGTATTATCAAAAGCAGTGCCCTTTCTTAGCATCTCTAGGTCTTCTTAATCCTCTGGCAAGTTATTTTTCTTCATTTATTCATTACAGAAATTCCTACCCAGTATAGGAGAGATAAGACATGTACATAAATAACAAAACATGCACAAGAGAGGTACAAGAATTTAGGGGTAGGGGAGATTACTAGTTGAGAAGGAGATCAAGGGAAGGTTCAACTAAAACCAGAACAGCTCTCTAAAGTGTTTTTGAAATTCTCATGACCTCAGTAGGAATGTCACAACATCAAGTTCGTTTTATGGAAATCTTAATGCACAATCTTAAGAATTCAACTGAAATGAGGCAAACGAAAAAAAAAAAAATTAGACGTGGTCTGGGTTGTGGTTGTACGTGAAAAATTCCACAGTAACTGCTATGAGAACAATTCCTAGGTGACTGACTTCACCTGCCACTCCATCTGGTGCAAATTCATTTACAAGGGTGCACATCTGAGAAGTTTGGACTAGGACTATCCTTGAGTCATGACTAATTACTTCCAGAGCGCTCACTAAGGGCCAAGTGAGATCTAGAGTGGGTCCAGAATGTCCTTAGAAGAAACTGTAACTTCAGGTATCAATCAGATGAAACCACTCTCCAGAATGGTCCTGGAACTGAACCCCAAGGTTAGATTAGAACCACAGATGGGGTCAGAATTGGTGAAGAATAAGGGGGGACCATTTTCTAGGGCACTGGTTGGTTCATCTGACAACACAAACTCACCATATTCTAGGTCCAAAAGGCAGGTCTGACATACATTTTTTAGCTTGCTGCAGGTTTGGCACACTTCAGTCTTCTTAAAACGCATGCGAACACCGGGGCACCAGCGGAACACTGTGAACGGCCTGGCACAAATCTGGAGCACAAAGCCAGAGACCTTTACTGGCCCAATCCCAGGCCTACTATTACAACTACCTAATCACAGGCAAGGCCTTCTACTTTGGAACAATTATTGAACCATGAGGGTTGGGCTGGCGTTTAATGTTTCAATAATCTTGCTTTATAATGCTGGAAAACTTAAGGAAACCACCAGTGATTAAAAAAAAATTTATCTATAAGGAAAATTAACATAAATTCCAACTTAACTATCTCAACAGGTAATGATCAATTCTGGAGGATGTATCTAAGAGGAAATAAGTCCAAATTCTAGTTGCCTTTTTGTACACAAGATGAATCAATTTTTGCCCTTAGACAGTTAGGCTTCCCTTGGTTTCATTCAACACCATTAGAAGATAATCTACAGAAAAAAGAGGATACAAATGGCATAGGAAAGCTTTGCAGAAATAACTACTATTTTTCTAAGTCTATTATCTTTAAGGGCAACTTTATTAGAAAATAGGAAAGTTCTCCAATGCAGATAAACTTACTTTGCATTCTTTTCCATACTTTTCTTTGGTCTGAAATAAAAGAAAACTGTAGTTATTAGGAAGAACACAACCCAGCAAATGTGTCTAGGATCCCTGGCTCTCTGAAGACAAAAAGAGGACAAAAAAGAGGGATAATTTATCCTTTTTTGAACTACTCAGGAATCCTACCTAACCCTCACTAAGCCACAGGAAGTTAAGGATCTAACTTCAAGAAACAGAGGGCCACTTATTGCTACCATCACACCAAAACTTCATTTTTTGGCCCCAATTTTCCGCAGGTATATTCACTATTTAGCCCCTTGTAAATCTGGCTTCTGTCCCTAATATTATATAGAAACAGCTCTCTCAAAGGTCAATCATGACTTTTTTGTTATCAATCCATAGTATTTTTTCCAGTCCTCACATCGTTAAATGATTTGTCCTTTATAATGGTTTGCTCCTTCCCTCGCTTTTCTAGGTATTTCTACTCTTGTTTCTTCTATCTCTCAGATCATTCTTTATCTCCAAAGATAGCTCTTCTCACTCTTTCTATACCCTTAATAAAAGTGTTTCCCCCTCCTCCCCCGGCCAACTGTTTTGAGTTCCTTTCTTTCTATACTCTACATTTTATTTATTTAAGGCACTCTCATGATTTCAACTCTAAGTGGATGACTAAACAACAAATCAATCTCAATCTCTGACATCTCTTCCCATATTATATATTTAACCACCTACTGCACCGGTCCAACTTGATGTTCTTTCCTTTGACACCTTAAACTCAGTATTATCTAAAGAAGAACTCAAACCTTTTGCCTAAAAACTGCTCCTTGTGATGTTCCTTTTTCTGTCAATGGCAATGCCATTCTTCTACTTTCCTGTGCTCATAATTTTGGTGTTCATATCTTTCTCCTCCCTTTTCCTCATACCACACATCCAATTAGTTGTCAAGTCCTGTCAAATGCATTGCTACACTACCTATCCCATAGTCATACACCCCCTTGTTATTCCCACTGCTACCAGCTACCATCCAACTGAAGTCCTTATTACTTTTTAGCTCCACCATAAGGTTAGGAGGGAAGGGAAAGTTCCAGTTTCTAATCCTACATGGTTCAATTAGTATCTTCCTGTTCCTAGTCAATCAATCCAGAAGCTACAAGCATTTACTAAGTTATGTGTAAAACACTCTACAATGTGGTTAAAAACTACGCCAGCCATTCTCCATACAAAAATAACGACAATAAAAAATGATGACAACAACTCACATTGCATAGCACTTTAATATTTTATAGCACTTTCCTCACAACAACGCTGTGAGGTGAGTAATTCATGTCTTTCCTCAGGGTCATAGGGAGACCAAGTATGAATCTATGAATAGTTCAAAGCAAATCAATAAACACCAAAGGAAAGTCAACTAAAAGTATTTATCCTATGTTACTGATCAGTTAACATAATAAAAAGAGCTTACATATTTCCATGTAGATACAGGTACTTACAATTGCTAATGTATTAAACCACTTTACACACAGAGATAGCAAGAGACATACAACATTTAGAAGCATGCTGGTATATCAGAAACAGTATCACACTCTACCATGCTGATCCTAAGCTCAGCTTAATCACTTACTAGTACTACTACTCACACTTAATACAGCATTTGAAGGCTTACAGAATGCTTTACTCATCATCCTGTGAAGCAGGTAATGCAGGTATCATTATATCCACTTGGTAGATAAGGAAACTAAAACTTAGAAAGGTTAAGGGACCCAGTCCATAACTACACAGCTATTAAGTGACAGGGCAAGATTTGAACTCTGGCCTCCCAACACCAAGTTGGATACTTTACTGCACCACTATGCTTCTACTAGCCAAGCTGTATGACCTAAGGCAAGTCACTCTATGACTCAGTTTCTTCAGCGGTAAAATGGGGATAATAATTGCTCAGGCTATCTAATAGGGTCATTGTCATGATCAAGCTCAACAATTCCACATACACCTATTACATACCTCCTAGAAACAAGGCATTGTGCTAGTCTCGGGAGAAACGGAAATGAAATAAGATAATGTCTGCCCTCAAGAAGCTTACAAGAGACAGCTGGGTAGTTCAGTGGAGAGACTGCTGGGCCTGGAGTCAGAAGACCTGTGTTCAAATATGTCCTCAGACATTACTAGCTGGGCGACCCTGAGCAAGTCACTTAACTGCTGCCTTAGTTTCCTCATCTGTAAAATGAAGATAATAACATCACCAACCTCCCAGGGTGGTTGTGAAGCTCAAATAAGATAATAATTTAGCTATGGTTATTACAATCTAATGAGAGAATAGGACAGATACACAAAAAACTGTAACATACATTAAAATATAATATACAAGGTCCAAAAAAGTGTTATGAGAGATTCAAGAAGAGAGAGAACACTTAGCCGAGAGGATAAAGAAGTGACAAATGAACTGGACTTTGAAGGAAGAGATAAATTTCAGGAGGTGGAGAGGGAAAGAAGGGTTTACTATGGGTATGAAGAACAGTGGCAAGAAAAGAACAAATAGGAGAACAGTAAAAAAACAAAGCTAGTATAGCTGGAATATAGAGTAAATTACTGGGATTAAGTGTGAAATGAGACTTAAAAGAACATGATGAAGCCTATTTGTGGAGGCCTTGAATACTAGGCTAAGGAGCTGGCCCTTTACAGATTCTTACCTTATGAGAGCTGAAAGGGATCTTTAAAGATCTTGTATAACCCCGTTCTTTAAATACAGATGAAGAATCTGAGTTTGTAAAAAGTTACCTGCCTAAGCTAACACAGCTACTATATGTCAGAGTTGGGATTTAAATCTAGATCTGACTCTTAGTTCAATATGCTTTCCACTGCACCATAAAATTAGTATAAAGTCACTGAAGTTGTTGGGACAGTGGATTGACGTGATTAGATTTGTGAATTAGTAAAATGGATTGGAAAAAGTAAAGATAAGAGGTTGGGAGACCAGTTAAAAGGTTATTTCACTAGAAGAGGTAATAAGGGCATGAACTAATTCGGGTAAGTATAGTGGGAAGGAGAGGAGGAATATAAGAGATTATATAGGCAGGACTGAGAGGATATGGCAACTAATTGGTGGTGAGGAAGGAGTTAAAAAAAAAAAAGGACTGCAAGGTTTCAGGCCTGAGTGATTGGAAGAATGACGTGAGGAGACATAGAAGGTGCTCAAGTTTAGGGGTAGGAGAGCAGGCAGGAAAGATGATATGGACATACTGAGTTTATGATGTCAGCAATATCTAAGGTGGCAACTTTCAACAAGCACCTAGAAATGTAGAACTAAAGGACAGATGTCAAGACCCGACATTTAGGACGACGATTTCTCACCATTGAAGATACCTTAGAGGATTTCCTTTCATAACAATTCTGACAACTCCTCCAGCCTCTGCTTAATGTTCAGTTACAGCAAACTCACTACCTTCTGAAGTAGCCCTTTTCATTACTGTACATTGTTAAAACTGAAAACTGCCACATACTAGTTGTAGTTCTCTCCTCTGAGGCTAAGGAGAACAAACCTTCTCAATCACTTATGTAATCACTGATTCCAACATTCGCCAGGTGTGACTTGAACAAGTCACCGTACTTCTCTGAGGCTATAAAATAGGGAGCTTTGCCTCTCTAGTTGCCTTTAGACATCAGAACTGGATGTCCAGCAGACATTCTAAACTCAACATGTTCAAAACAGAAGTCATTATCTCGCCCCCCAAAAAAACCTCCCTCCAACTCTCCCAAAGACTTTTAAGGGCACCACCATCCTTCTAGGCCCCCAGGCTTGCAACCCAGGAGTCAGCCTCCACTCTTCATGGTCTCTCACCCCCGTATCCAAGCTCTTACCAAAGTCTGTCAATTTCACCCTTGCCACACCTCTCCAATATGCCCCCTTCTCTCCTCTGACACTACCACCTCCTCTACCTCTCCCCACTCCAATTCATCCTCCATTTGGCTGCCAGTGATTTTCCTAAAGCACAGATTTGACAATATCATACACCCCGACCTCTACTCAATAAACTCCAGGGGCTATCACCTCCAGGATCAACTATAAAATTCTCTGAAGTTCAAAGTCCTCCATAACCTAGACCCCTCCCTTTTCTGCTCATACCTTATACCCCCTCCTTACCTGTAATAGTCTTTGATCCAGTGACACTGGCCTCCTGGCTGTTACCTGAACAAGGAATTCATCTCTGACTCGGGGCATTTTCACTGGCTGTCCTTTGTGTCTGGAATGCTCTACCTCCTCATTTCTGCCTCTTGGCTTCTTCCTTCAAGTCCCAGATAAAACCCCACCTTCTACAGGACACCTTTCCTAATCCCTCTTAATTCTAGTGTCTTTGTTGATTAATTCTGTAGATTATTTCCTAGTTAGTCTGTGTACAGCTTGTGCGTACATAATTTGCATGTTATGTCACCCATTAGATTGTGAGGGCAGGGACTACTTTTTGCCTTTCTTGGTACCTCTCCAGTGCTCTGCACAGTGCCAGGCACATAGTAGGTACCTAATAAATGTTTAATGACGGTGTTGTGAGGTGCAGATAAAGAGCCAGGTTTAAGTTCAGTCTCTGACAACACTGGCTGTTTGACCCTGGGTAACTCATTTAACTTCTCAGTGTCTAGGGTCAGTGGAGTCAAACTCAAATAGAAAGAATTCCTGCCAGGCTCATGTTGTCTCAGAAAACTACAAATTAACATTATCTATATTGTGTCACATTTAACAAATTTTTTCTTAAACATTTCAAACTGCAATCCTTCAAGGTTGTAAACTGCCCGAAGGCCTAGAGTTTGATACCTCTACCTTAGGCAACTAAGTCCTAAACCGCAGAAGAAATACTTATCTGCATTGACAAAGGGACTCTTCTCATTAGGAGTTTCCTATAACAATGAAACTTCATCTGTTCTCAAATAAAAATGGGGATGTTACTTGCCATACTTACCTGATGGTGATTGTGAGGACAATTTTATGAACTTTAAAAGGCTACATAAATGTGAACTATCATTATGTAGCATCCAAAACACTTTAATAAAGTACCAAAAACGTCCTCTTCCTTCCACCAATTCAAACCCTAATCCTGTACTTTGTCTGGATTTTGATCAAGTGATCACTTCCTTTAGGAAACTATCCCCAACTATTATGACCTATAACCCTAATACTGCTCATAATTTCTCATCCCAACATTTGGGCGTCAACTATTGAGAGGTAATTCCTGAAGCAGAGTGTTGGGAATGCCAAAGATGAGTGCAAGACAACATTCAATGAATAACTTCAAATTGTAAAGTGCCTGTGGAGTGCAGTGCAAAGAGCTGGCCTTGAAGCTCCACTCCACCACTCGCTTCAATATGGTCTGTGTGAGAAAAATGTTTTCTAACCTTCAAGAAGGAAAGAGATTCGAGCTCCAATGCAAACCGTAAGGGGGTTGCATGATCCTATCACCTTCCGGAGAGGAGCTGAATAAACCGAATGATCTGAATCGAGCTGATAAGGACCCTCGGACGCCGCGTAATACACACGGGGCACCTCGCAGCTCCAGGCGCTTCCCACTTACCATCCGGATGTAGGGATTTTCTCCAAGGCACGTCTGGCACAGAATAGGGAAGTCCTGGGCAAAGGAGAAAAACACGGAGAGCCGGGTCAAGCCTGCCCTTCCTTCGCCTCGCCCCGTCCCGTCAATTCATTCTGGGCTCGATGCGAGCCAAGAAGGGAGTCGCGCCACGCGCACACGCCCGAGCTGGGGCTCGACTCAGTTTCCCCACGCATGGCACAGGCTCCCCTGACGCGGGGTCAGCGCCCCTTGGCCGGGGGGAAGTGGGAGGAGCGGAGGGAGGAGCGCGTGGAGGGCCCGGCGTCCCCCACCCTCCCCAGGATTCCCGAAGCCGCGGCTGCGGCTCCGGCTCCGCCGGTCCTGCCGGCGAGGCCCACGAGCTCCTCGGGTCGGGGCCTCCTTACCTCCCTCCTTCCCCCGGGCCGGAGGCGCCTCGGCCTCGCCCCCGCCCAACTCTCGCCTCCAGCCCCAGGGGGTGGACTGCCGTCGGCTCGCTCCCCTCCAGGCCCCACGACTCCCAGAGCCCGGATCCCAAGGCGGGACACTTACCGCATCCTCCCAGTTCTGCCTGTTGTAGGTGTTGGAGCCCAGAGACGTCGCCATCTTGGAAGTGGCGGCAGCCACGGCGCTGCCGGCGGAAGTAGAAGCCGCGGCGCCGGCCCCTGGGGCGGGGCCGCTGCGATCCCAGCAGCCTCTGCGGCCGGCAGTGTCGCTCTGCCTTCCTTCCGGCCATAGAGTCGCCCCCTTCTTACACACCCACTCCTTCCGCCCAGCGTCCTGGAGTGTTGCTTTGGTAACCTGTTTCCTAAGCCACAGGGCTCAGGATGGTGGGAGAGCATCTTTTGTGTCCTCTCAAGTCTCTGCCCAGGAAGATGGAACAGGACAGAGATCCTGTACGATGATGCAGATTTGGCTAAACTAAACCCCAGGGAAAGACCATAGGCTAAATGGTGGGGGTCAGGGCATTGTCAGCAACCACTCTGGGCAGCTGGCACAGAACTGAGCAGCCTCATCTGTAACAAGAGCCTCCCTTCTGGTATTATACTATTAGTCCCCACCACTCAGAGGTGGAAGAGGGCACATTTAGGCCCAGACCTACCTGAAGCAGTATTCTTTTCTGTGTCCCAGAAAGAGAATAATTTAATTTCAGTTCAAGTATTTATTAAGTCTCTAGTACGTATCAAGAACTGTACTAGGTGCAAATATAAAAGTGAGACAATCTGTACTCAAGGAGTGTATATTCCTTTGATTATTGTTGTTGTTCAGTCACTCTTTGTGACCGCATTTTGGGCTTTTCTTGGCAAAGATACTGGGGTGGTTTGCCATTTCCTTTTCCAGCTCATTTTACATATGAAGAAACTGAGGCAAATGGGGTTGTGACTTGCCTAGGGTCGCACAACTATTAAGTGTCGAGGCCAGATTTGAGCTCGGGAAGATAAGTCTTCCTGACTCCAGTCTCAGCATTCTATCCACTGTGTCACCTAGCTGCCCCATTCCTTTGATGTGGATACAGTAAGCACACAGGTAAGTAAATCCAACGTACACACAAAACAATCATAGAATCCCTAGAATGTTTCTCTGATCTGCTGCTTTTCTGGAGTTCCAAAGTAGCAATGAACCAGGATGCTCCAGTGTTTTCTGGAAAAACACCTGAATTGAGGGGAAGGAGGAACATTACTTTTGTGGAGATAACGAAGGAAGATGTCTTTCTTGTCCTAGAACTTTTGATTCCAAGATCTAATCATAAATAGCTTAACTGAGCTTTGGGAAGTCTCCAGTGGCATGAGAAATCAAAAGATATTGTATATATCCATAATAGATATTAAATCCTACCTGGGAAGGACTGAATATTCTCATTCAGAGGAACTACTTCTGTTTCATTCCTCTCATCTGTTAAGTAGAAAGTGAACGAAGAGTTTTAAGATCTATTAGACTATAATTTCTGCAAGAGCAGGAATTGTGTGGTATTCAAATTTTGACACCCCATCATAGAAAGACAGCAGCATGGAATGACTGCAGAGCTGGCCTAATTATTCTCTGCAAGAATATTTACCTTCTGTTTTGTTACAGGTGAGAAGTAATTAAATACTACTAATATAAACCTTATATTAAGGACACATACTTTTAAAGATAGTCTATGAACATGAGTTTTTTTTTTTGTTGTTGTTGAGGCAGTTGGGGTTAAGTGACTTGCCTAGGGTCACACAGTTAGTAAGTGTCACGTGTCTGGTGTGAGATGAAATTTGAACTCAGGTCCTCCTGAGTGCTCTATCCACTGTGCCACCTAGCTACCGCCTGAGGTTTTTTGTTTTTTTTTAAACACTGATATACAAACTGGGATTCTTCATTCTGAAGAAAGTTACTGGTTCCTCTCTCCAGCCCCACCCATATAAAGAATTTTGAAGTGAGAAATAAGTATGAATGAAAAAAAATAAGCCTATTTCCCAGTCCTTTTGTTGGTTACAAGTAGGAAGAAAATGAAAGGAACAAAATAGATCCATCAAGTAGAGAAAAACCACCTTCTTTGTGTGAAACCAAAACTTATGGCAGCGACACTGAAGCCCCCTGAGGGGCAAGGAGAGGAAGTGATTTGTGGCTGCCTTGGAGTTGTCTCCCAGAGGACAGTGAAGCCCTGTGGAGGCACTGACTACTTCATGCTTAGTCTGAAGTCTTCAGCTAGGGAGAAGGCCAAGGGGTCAGGAAAGGCAGGAGGCTTGTAATTGTACATGGGATACCTGACAACTATTCTGGCAACATGTAAATTTCCACCTGTCTCTCTACTCTGGCTAACAGCTCAATTGTAACTAAATGACTTGAACCACCCCAGTGATCCTGGGACACAATGCTTCCTCTTTCAACTAAATGCTGTGATAGAGACCAAAGGGCAACAGGTTACCACTTACAGAGTTTTAATCTGTCATCTTTCCAGCTACATATAAGCATTCCCTTCCCTGGCAACTAATGATACGGGGTGGTAATCCCTCTTGATTGTGACAACTAGGATCAGGGATAATTCTCTCTCTTAATATAGCCAATTAATATACAGGCAATTCCTAGTAGCCAAGTGGCCAAAATGGACTCTAGCCATAGACTCAGTATTTCATTTTGAAAAATGCCATTGTAAAGTACCCACATACATGTTGGGCTATAAGCTCTAAAAATCAATTAGCATTATCTACTAGGTACCAGATACCATGCTAAGTGCTGGGGATACAAAGAAGGGCAACAAGATGGGCCTGGCTTTCAAGGGGTTCACAATCTAATGAGGGAGACAACATGCAAACAACTATGGACAAATCAGACATAATCAACAAAGGAAAGACACAAACATTAAGGAGGAATCATGCAAGGCATCTTGCAGAAGGTGGGACTTCAGCTGAGACCTAAAGGAAGCCAGAGATTCCAAGACGTAGAAGTGAGGAAGGAGAGAGTTTCGGGCATGTGAGACAGTCAGTGAAAATGTCCACAGTAGAGCGATGGAGTGTCTCATATGAGGAACAGCCAGAAGGCCACTGTTTGCAGAGTAAATGGTGCCAGGTTATGGAAGGATTGAAAACAGAAGATTTTACATTTGATCCTGGAAGCAAAAATGAGCCAATGAAATTGGTTGAATTAGGTTGGGGGAGGGAGAGAGGGAGAGAATGGTCACATTTGCATTTTGGGAAGATCAATTTGAGTGCAGATAGGGAGAACGAAGCTGAGTGCAGGACATATAAGCTATAAAAAACCAAAATATTATCTCATGTAAAACTTTTGTTGTCCAGTCATGTCCAACTTTTCGTGACCTCATTTGGAGTTTTCTTGGCAAAGATCCTGGAGTGGTTTGCCATTTCCTTCTCTAGCTCATTTTACATAAGAGGAAACTGAGGTAAACAGGGTTAAATGATTTGCCTAGGGTCACACAGCTAGTAAGTATCTGAGCTCAGATTTGAACTCAGGATGATGAGTCTTCTTACCTCCAGGCTTGGCACTCTATCCACTGTGCCATCTAGCTGCCCCATGTAAAACTAGTAATAAGAAATAATGTATGGATAGACATCTAAGGTACCTTAAAGATCTGAAGGTTATTTTGCAACTCAATACTTCTCTATTGGTTCCTAATGTCATAAAATCTTATGCTTACAAACTTCTTTTCCTGTTAAATTATGCTGGTGAAGGAAAATTACACAAAGGAAACTGACATAAGATTTAAAGATTAAATCTACAATTTTAAGTAAATACTACATATAACCAACAATCACTAAAATAAGCAAACATTTATTAAATGGTTACTATATGCAAGGAACTGTGCCAGGCAATGAGGATACAAAGAAAAAGGAAAAACATTCCCTGCCCTTAAGGGGCTTATATTCTCCAGGGAAAAACAACACACACCTAAATAAGTAAATACAAGAGAGAACTAACAAGCATGGGAATATCTTGGATAGGAAGTGGTACCTGAGCAGAGCTTTAAAGAAAGCTTAGGATTCCGAAGTAAGTAGAGAATGCATTCTAGACTTGGGAAATAGTTGCCTATGTAAAGATACACAGATGCAGATAGCATCTGAGGAAGAACAAGTAGGTCCATTTGATAAGAACATACTTTGTGAAAGGGAGGAGTGCGAAATAAGACTGAAAAGGTAGGTTAGGTAGGCTGAAAAGGTAGGTACTTCAAATATTAAGCCTAAGGAGTTTGTATTTAATCCTAGAGATGGTAAGGAGGCATTAGTGATTCCTGAGCTGGAAAGTGACATGGTCAAACCTGTGCTTTATGGAGGTTTTGGTAGCCCTGTGCAAGAAGGATTGGAGAGGGAAGAATACGGAAATAGGAAAACCAGTTAGGTGGCTACTGAAATAGTCCAGGCAAGATGTGATAAGGGCTTGAACTAGGGTCTTGGTTGTGTGAGTGGAGAGAACACAGAGAGATGTTGTATAGGTAGAACAGACAAGATTATGTAGCTGACTGGATATGAAAGGTGAGGGGGGAGGAGGAAAAGTTAAGGAAGAGAAGAGACATTAAAAATTTTTTTGTCTTCTTTATTTCTTTCACTACATTAAGTTAAGCAGTAAGGCAACACAGTAACTTGTCATTAACAAAGATCAACACAGAATGCCTCTTATTCCCCTGCAAGGAATAAATGAGATACTTCTGCAAAAATACGCACAGGATTTTGCTGGAGTCACTCCTAAAAGCATTTAAAGGAAAATAAAACTTTGGTGGGCTAAATAAACCACCATTCTAAGTTTAATAGCTTTTGGTTTCCAAAATAATAGCTAATAATAGTACCAGTAATATTCAATTTTCCTGCAGTGATAGAGAGTAAGTACTAAAGAATCTTTCATGTAATCTAAGACAGAACCCCAAATTCACTAGGTGTAGTAAGTGTTGAACCACTTCCACATACACACTTATACCAGTCTGTACTAAAAACTATTTCAAGGAAACATTACGCCAGTTAGCATTGTTATTTTGCAAGTTAATCTGGATTCTGAAGAAAATCTTTATGACCAAAGCATTTAAGTGTTCTGTAATATATGGGGGATGATAGTAGCAGTTGCTATTATCTCAACATAACATTTAAGAATAAATACCAGCTACATTTTATAAACTCATGCTTGTACAGCTGTGTGTAATCTATGCAAATTTACAAACACATTAAGGTATTTTTTTTGATACCCATTTCCTTCACCAGCGAACATGGTGCAGTGCCATCACAGCAGCCTTTCTGACAGTAGAATGAAGATTAGATAATTCTTACACATAAAAACACAAGCTCTTCCTGTTGTCTGCCAGTTACTCACACCTTCCTTTTTCAAGCTCCTAACTGTGTTTATTATCAGTATTTAATAATATATGGGTAAGAACATTATTCTTTCCACTGTGACATATTTGTTGCTCTATAGGAAAAATGGTCAAACACAACTGGTATACTCTAGATAGTGCAACAAACAACTTTTTTCTAATACTACATTTTTATTCATTTCATGGGGCAACAGAGAAGTTAAAATGCCTACTGGCTCTCAATTATCAAATTAGGAAGTGGCCTCAAAACTAACCTTTGAAGGTGCATCCTGAAACAGACACCAATCTTTCAAGAAAAACACAAGCCCTATCAGAATTTAGTGACACTACAGGGATGGAGGATGGGCTTTGCAGCATGTTTTACTAAAGGTCTCATTTTCAATTACAGCAACCCAACATACCAATTTAGCTCTTAAAATGGGGATTTAGCTTACTGAGTACAAACTGATGAAGTGAATTGCTAGAGTTTTTCTGTGGGACCCTTTCAGCCACTTTATTTGCCAAAATCAAAATAACTACCTGACAAATTCTAGGTATAGCTAAATGCCAGGAACCTAGGAATGGATGGCAGTCTTTTTTCTTTTTTTTAAATGTTCATTTTTGGATCTAAGAGCATACCGTTACTAATTTTTTCCTTAAATTTCCAGAAAGAACATAAATTTAAAACATGCCTAATAACCTAACCTTTAAAGTTTTAAGCATACTGATCTTATCTACTTAAACTTTCTTTGGGCTCTGGGAAATTTCCAAATGCTAAAAGCATTTGACGTTCCCAAATACTGAATTAAAGATACAGAGACGGAAGAGGGAAGGAAAAAAAATCACTTCCTTCAGCAAAATTTTTTGCAATACTTAACAAATGAAATTTATCATCCTTGGTCTTGTAATTGCCTGCTTTTAAAATACTTCTTTAAAAGAACACATTCTTTCATTTAATATCGCAATCTTGCAAATGTCAGGTGTTTCATTTCACGTTGTGAACAGCAGAACATGTTCCTAACAAAAATGCAAGCAACAGCTGCTTAAGAATCAGAAATCGCTCAATCATTAAGCAAGCTATTACGGACATGTCAGTTTTGAAGTAAGTGGTGGAAGATGCTTAGGGAAATGGAGAGATCTATTTAGACTGCTGAAGAAATTTCTAGTGGAATGCTGGTACATTAACAGTGTTCTATTTCTAAATATTGGCCAAATAACAGCAGGCCCATTTTTGGGTACTGCTTGAAGCTGCTTCTGCAAGATTCTGGTCTGTATTCATAGGACTGGTTTGGAGACAGAACAAGCAGCACTTTGGGGGCTGTGACACTAATACCACTTTAGCAAGAGGCAGTAATGGGCTTAGAATGGCCACCTTTCTCTGTGCTCAAATAGTACTGCAGTTCAAAGTGCACAAGGGCTGTGAAGAAGTCACAAATTTACGTGGTGAGTATTATAGCAATGGGAAAAAGAACTGTAGTTTTTCAGCATTTCTTCTTCCTTGCCCATGTTTCCCACTTCCTGACAAAAATCAGTAGTGCATGTGTGTAGCGTTAAGTGAGGACTAATGAAGTTGTGGCTTTAGTGGTTTCAGTATTTCCAGATGTTCCATTGTGGTGTGAGAATCTCCATGCTGTCTTCTGAGATTTGCTCATCATTAGGGTCCATCATGGGAGCAGTGGGCCGAGACTAAGCTCCACGTGCTGCGTGAGCCAGATGACTTCAGAGCCCTGATCACCCTCCTCAAGAGGGCGAATTGGAGCTGCCAGGTTTTTAAATTCATGCTTCATCTTAAAACATACGGTTACTTCACCTTCCTCACGTTGTGGGGTGACTTTGATGAAAATGCCCACTTTGTTGGCTTTTCTGAAGGCTATGATGCTATTAGAGGAAGCAAGCAAAGTATTAAATTGCAAGTCAGCCAAAATTCCAGGAATCATGTTCATTTTGGTGGCACCAAATAGCAACTAAATTATGAAAAATAAGCAATTGCGCCTCATTTATTATTCCAGGAAGCTATCCAGTTTTAAAGGACAGTAATGAAAAGTATTTAGCTAAAACCAAGAACTGCTTTAGTAAAATGCCATTCTCCTAAGGTTTTCAGTAATTTTGTTTAACAGCTCATAGCTTTTAATCTAATTTCTAGACCAGGGGTCAGTAAACTACCACTCATAGGCCACAGCCTGTTTTTGTATGGCTTGTCAGCTAAGAATGATTTTTACATTTTTAATTAATTTGCTGATCTCTGTTCTAGATTATCATAAAAGGACTACTTTTTTTCTAAAAAGCTTAAAACTTTTTACATAATATGTTATGTAAGGCATAATATCTTTATAAGGCAAATATTAACAGTCAAATAATGGTATGTAAAATAGGAAAAATGTAAATTTCCAGATCTGCTTTCTCATAAGTATATGTGGAATTTTTATATTTAAAACTCTTACTTTTAACAGTAAAAGGACATTAAGGTAAACACTGTTCAATATGTCATCAATATTATGCTTAAAGAATTCAGGTATTCTAACATAAGGCTACCAATAAATGTGATATCAAATATTTACATACATTTATAATATAAATTTAAAAAGATCTGCATGTTACAATAAAAAAGGGAAAATTTAAGATCTATTAAATACAATGCCATGAAACCTCTAACTCAGATTCTATTATTTTTTGAACTTATGGCAATTTAGAAAGGGGTGTTCCTGAAGAGCACTACTTTAAAAATCCTAAATAACTGTAGTTGAGGGTTATGTTTACTACTATAAAGAATATTAATAAAATTACATGTAAGCAAAAACTTCCTAATATTTAGATGCAAAAGTGTGTCATGACTGTTGTGCTGCCTCAGGAAGAAGCAGCTTCCTCCTCCATAGGGGTCTTTGTTAAAAACAACTTACTGGTGTGAAACTTACTTTTTCATAGTGTAAAATAACAGGATAGATAAGATTCTATGGGAAATATTTAACTTAAATGGTAGTAAATGTTTTCAAATACTTTTGAAATATCCATTTATGTACAACTAATGTATTAATAACTCATGTTTACCCACTAAGTCGAGCAGGTTGACTAAGGGCCTTTTACTATTGAGTATTACTGGTTTAGTTTGAATGTACTTGAAAATAATAAAATTGAAAAAAATAAAAGAAAATAATAAAATTGAGTTTACTATTCTGTAATCCAGACCATATATTCTCTCCCTACTTGTTCGTATAAAATAAGGAAATTTAAATTAATTACTACAGTTAATAGCTTATATATTAATATTTAGGGGTATGTGTGCATGTAGCCAGCTCATAACCTTATGAGTTAGACAAAATTTTCACCTTTAAAGGAAAGAAAAGCAAAAAGGAGGAGAGATAGTCATGATGTTGCCATAGAAAATGGCTTTTAACCTCAGGCTGATGGCCTAGAAAGGGCTCCGGAGAAGCCTAAAGAGGGAACTGAGCAAATATGCCCCAAATACTTCAAGGCTATTATAATGAATTTATTCTGGGGTGAAATCCTACTAGCTTCCCCCTAATCCCATCTATCTTCCTTTTCTCGAGAGCAAAGACCAAGCTGAACAGGTAAAGCAGAGGCTGAGAAGTCTGAGGAGCCTCAATTGAGAGGAAAGTCCCTACTATTTCCTATATTAAGTATACTGTTCAAATGCTATTGTGCCTTCCTCTCCTCCCAGTTATAACAGTAAAATCTGAGCATGCATATGGAGAAAGTACATTGTATACTTCTTCAATACACTCTAGACCAGGGGTGGGGAACCTGCAGCCTCAAGGCCACATGTGGCCTTCTAGGTCCTCAGGTGAAACCTTTTAACTGAGTCCAAATTTTACAGAACAAATGCTTTTATTAAGAGGATTTGTTCCATGAAGTTTGGATTCCATCAGAGAGCTGCACTTGAGGACTTAAAGGGCCACAGGACTGCACCAAATATACTAAGTATCTCAGCAACCTGCTGTCTCAGATTTGTTAAGACCTGTTAATTCCCTAGGCAGGAGAAAATTCTGTGGATATATTGTACAGAGGTACTGAAATGGGGATGTGTCTACTCAAAAGGAGGATATTTGGTAGCTCTGGCCTAATAAATATCTTTTTATAAAGAATATATTTTTTAAAAAAGGTTTAGGTGACACAGAACATTAATGTCATTTTTTAAGCCAATGCCAGGGAAGATTTTTTTTTTTTGAAAGAGAACTACATGTAAATTCAGTTATCTCCTTGGCTAAAAATGCTATTGTTTTCTGCTATGATTTTATTTGCTATGTTAAAAAAGTTTAAGTGATATATGTTCAGGTCAAGATCATCCTGTACATGGTTTTTACTGGTTAGGTACAAGGTTTCTGAGATTCAAATCTACTGAATATACTAAAGGGAGAAAAACCCAAAGATTCCAACTGAAGATTCTGAGTGGTAGCCCACGTACTAGTCATTCAACAGCTATGTGGGAAGAGGGAAGAAAAACTTACTCAGGGTCATCCTGAAAATCCTGAGGCTCTGCTAATTCATCATATTCTGCTGCTGCATCCTTGCCAGCTAGAACAAGTTCCTTGGGAGGAACAACCACCTGCAATGTAACATAAGGAAAATGACACTCCTTAAAACATCGCTTTTCAAACTGTGTTGACCTTTGTGTATAAAACTTGGAAAAGCCATAATTCCCCCCATATATGCACATACTTTAAATCTTTAAATGATTAGATGCTTTATACGATTTAAAACCAAACCAAATCAAACTTGTTTGCCTGAACCCAGTCTATTGTGGAAGAGGTACAGAGGCAGAATCATGACCAACTTTCAATCCTCTATTCCAGTGGGGGAGGGAGGGTCTAAGACATCTACACTGAGTGAAATCCCCAAATTACACAGAAATCTGAATCATTTGTTTTATGTTTCCTCCCATACCAAATCTGTTAATGGAACTATTAATAAGAGTGAAGAAGTGACAGTTTAGACTATCATTTCCTCCATTTGATAGACACATCAAGATTCAGTGCCAAAAATCAAAAGTGGAAAATGTAGCATAAAAATTACTAAATAATTGAAAGTTAAATGAAGGTGGAGGCCTTCTCCTTCTCTGTCCTTACTGTATAACATGCAAAATGTCAGATTATTGGCCAGTAGCAGTTTATACCCGGTGAGAAACTTTTGGTTTAAAAAATCAAATGCTAAGTACATTCCCATATATGAAAATGTACAGAGAACCAATTGCTACATGAATGATACCTAGATCAAACTGGCTCTTTCTAGGCAAAATCAGTGTATGCTAAAGCCAGCACAAGACAAAGCAGTTCTACCTTTGCAGTACTACTGATGTTATCAGGGTCTCCCTCTTCACATTCCAACAGTGTAACATGGGTAAGGTTCTCCACTGGGTTTGTAAGAGTCAGCAGGACCTGGCTCTCCTGAAGAACAATAAAACATGCACGATAAGAATATTCAGGCAAACATTCTGTAGACTGCTAATATTGCTGCCACTCTAATGAACAGGACTCAAGTTCCAGACAACATCAGATTCTTCTTGGGATAGTCTGTTAGATACTCCAACAAACCATCCTTTTGTTTGTGCTAAATTATAATCGGCTAAACCTCTAATACTGCAGCATCACCATGGGTGTCACTGACTCCTTTGTTACCCATAACTGTAACTTTTCTACTGACACTTCTTAGCTGTTACTGACAAGATATTACAGCTAATCTCACCCCCTTTTTAGTTGCACCAAACTTCCTGCTCTTCTCCATCCATTTCCTCCTTCCCTCCCCTATCCCCTTAATCCCCATCCAGAAAATCATCATGGAACAGCTTTCACTTTAACAGACAAGATGCTCTCTAAAGGCAGCACTCACCTTCATGTAGCGTAGATTGGGGATTGACATGATTCTGACTTCTGGGATATAATTGCTATCAATAAATATGAAATAAATATGAAGAAAACAAATGAACATTAGTTCATCTAAACTCAATACAATTCTGATTCTAATGAAATTTTGAAATAAACTCAACAATCTATTAATTAAAGCAGGAGTTCTTAAACTGGGGTCAGTGAATTTGTTTTTTAATATTCTGATAACTGTATTTCAATAGTATTGGTTTCCTTTGTAATCCTATATTTTTATTTTAAGCATTTAGAACCATTCTGAGAAAGGGTGCATAGGCTTCACCACACTTCAAAAGAGGTCCATGATGCCAAAAAGGTGAAGAATCTCAGCCTTCAAAGATTCATGAGGTGTCTGGTTAAAACTGGAGTCATTTTTTTTCTAGCTAGCACAGATAAATCAAGAATTTTCTAGTTAAGACATGGAAAGACAAGAAAATTTTAATGAATTAAGGTATCACTGTTCTAGAGAACACTGAGAGGACATTAAAGATAAATGTAAAGAACTAATATATTCAAGGGCAAAACCTAGTCTCCACTGGAGAAAATTAAGGAAAATGGACATTTTATAAGACAGCATACACAGAGTAATAATAATAACTACCAGTTGCATTTACATAGTGCTTTAGGGAATGCAAAAGACTTTACATACATTATCTCATTTGAACTTCACAACAGCTCTGTGAAATAGGTGGTGCAAGCAAGATGATCCTCATTTAACAAAGGAGAAAGAAATAGGATCTCAGAGGCTAAATATCTTGTACAGGGTTATATAGGTAGTATCAGAGCTGGGATTAAAACTCAGGTCTCTTCTGACTCCAAGTCTAGTATTCTTCCCATTACACAATGCAAAAATGTTGTCAACCTCAATAATAATTAGAGAAACGTAGCAAAAAAAAAAAAAAAAAAACCCAACTCACAGGCACTACTTCATAGCTCCTACGTTTGCAAAAATAATTAAAAGTGACAAAACTCAATGCTGCTGGAATTGTGGGGAAATAGGTGTACCTATATATTGCTGGTAGAACTGCAAAGCAGTAGAATCTTTTTTGGAAGGCAAACTTGAGGCACACAACAAAAAGTCACAAAAAGAATTATACCTGGTGACCCAATAATACTTTATTTGGACTATATCCCAAGACTGTTATAAGGAAAGAGATATGCTTAAAAAATTAAAAAAAAAAAAGATATGTGTATATGTTTGTGTGTATATAAGTATGTATGTATGTATGCATGCATGTATATAAATGTGTATATCAGCATGACTTATAATTTCAAGGAATTGAAAAAAATGTAATTGTGCCAGTTAGTGAATGTTATATAAAAATCAATGTAATGAAATACTATAATGACATTAAAAGTTGTAAATGAGAAATTGGAAAGATGTATATGAAGTAAATGAAGCAGAAAAAACAGAAGAACAGCACAGACATTATCTAAAAATAAAAATGTATAAACAAATACAGAGATGAATGGAAAGGGATAGAGAGAAAGAAACTAATAAGCTGTTATGGACATAATGTACAAAGAAATTCATTTTAAAGTGCAAAAGTTGTAATTTTTGTTTAAAGTTTATAATTTTTAAAAATATAAATGGTATGAGAAGCTGTTGTTGAAATACTAGGAGAAGTTCTATTAGAGTTAATCATTTGATTACATAAACAATACCATAGGGGCAGCCTGACCTTTCAGTTACTAATCACATCATTTGAAACTGCTATGTCTATCTAGCCTGCCCAGCCCTATTTCAAATACTTGTGCCTTTACACGTATTGATCAGAGCAACCGCAAGAATACAAAGCCACCATTCATAGGCTTTGCGTATTTAGATGGATGTTAAAATTGGAAAAAGGATCTTCCTGGATTTCATTTTGTCCAGGACTTCCACAGCTCTCCCACATCCTACCAAGCATTCAGAATTAAATAATTACAAAAATGTTTTTTGTCTGCAGACCTGTGATTACATTGGTGCAGGAAACCATGGGTAAGGAAACTCTCTTCACCAACACAGATTAGCAACTGTTCATTTCAGAAAGTTGCCTGCGGTACACTGAGGAGCGAAGTGAGTTTCTCAGGGTGACAAAGCCAGTACATGTCAGAGGTAGGACTTGAACCCAGAACTTAGACTGGCTCTCTATCCACTACATTGAGCTACACGACATTCTATGTTCCTGAAAGCATTTTCATATTTATGATGTTGTTTTGGCCTCAAAACAATTCTGTAAAATAAACAGGGCAGATATTATCTCCATTTTACAAATAAGGACATTGAAGTCCTGATATGTTAAATGATTTGCCTAAAGACACAGAATGTAAGAGACAGAGTTAGATATAAATCCAGTTCTTCCTAACTGGTAGTTTAGTATGCTTTCTACCATGCTATGCTGGATTCTTTTTTTAAAAAAATCATGGCATTCTCTTATTTTTGTAGCTGGCTTTTGGACTAGCTAGTTAAACCTAGAAATTATCCAGGGACACAAAAATAGCAAGATCGTTAAAAAAAACACAACAAACCCATGAACTTCTAATCATAAAGAAAAGACCATTTATACAGAAAATAACACACCACCAAAATACTCACACAGCAACAAGCTGGATTTTGAATTTGATGGATGTTGGATTGAACTCTGGTTTACTCAAATTATGTTCACATTTCTAAAAAGGAAAAAGCCAAATATTTAGAAAAATGAGCGACCCTTAATTATTGATACGACTGTTGTTTTCATTGAGAGCAGAATTTACTAGCTTTCTATAAAGTAACAAATACAGTAAAGGTGATACATTTGAGGTGAGGGTAAATATGGTTTTGTCTGAAAAATTTCCAAAATAAAAAGGATATAATACTAAAAACAAACCATTACTATGTAATAACACATAAATGCACCTAGCATTATGTTTTTTAGTAATATCTCACAAGGAATATTGGTATCTGCTTTCTAGGAATATACATTCTAAAATGGATAACATTGACAGAAAAAATACTTAAGATATGCAGAAAGACAAAGCAATAGAAATCAACAAGAAGGGAACTCAGTGGTCACATAAAGTGATGAGGAAACGGAAGCTCAGAGAGCTAAAATTATTTGGCCATTCATGCACTAAGCTATTAGCAAAGAAAGGATTAGAATCCAAGTTGCTTGAATTCTTGTTTATACTCCAAAAATACCAAAAATTTTAATTTCCACATATCCAATTCAACAAACATTTGTTAACATTCAGTTATAGAAGACATTAAAGATACAAAGATAGATATGATACAGAGCCTACTTTTAAGCAGTTTACAATCTAATGAAAGGGGGCAGTTGAGCCAACATATAAACAGATAACTAAGACACAAGGAAGAGTATGCTAAATACAAAGCAAATTTGGGTCTAGGGAATGCAAAATGAGAAATCTGCATGCGTATGTATACATCTATCTATCTATTTTATCTATCTATCTACATATCTATCAATCAAGAAAGACTGTTTTCAATTAATTGGAGGAAGAGGAAAATATCAGAGATGATTTCATAGAAGAGGTTGCACTTGAGGTGGGCCTTGAAGGAAGAGATTTCAATGGAAAGACATAAGGAACAGAGAATCCATTCTAGGGACAGAGGATGACATGAGCAAAAGCAAAGAAATGGGAGGAATAGGACAAGAATGGAGGATGGTAAGTCCAAGTTGGCTAGAATATGGATCCAGTACATTAAGGGGAATAATAGGAGTCAATGCTAGAGATGGCTGAAGTTAGACTGTGAAGGATTTTGGAGGGGATGATCAGAAGTTTTTATTTCATTCCACAGGCAATGGGGAATCACTGAAAGTTTTTGGATAGAAAAGCAATGTAGTAGCAAAGCAGAGTAGTGCATTAGGAAGACTTTTTGGAGTAGTCCGAAGGACAGACTGGAGAAGGGATAATCTGGAGGCAGGGAAACAAATCAGGAGGCTCCTATTACAATAGCCTAAGCAAGAAGAGATAAGATACTAAATTAGGGTGGTAGGAATGGGAAGGAGAGAACTGTTAAAAAAAAAAAAAGTATGTGGTGAAAGTAAAATGGATAGGAGCTAGCAACTGACTGGATGGTGTGGAAGGGAAGGAGAGAAGAAAGGGAAAAAATCAAAGATGATGCCAAAGTTTTGAGTCTCAATCAGTGAGAAGATGGCGGCATCATCAAAAGAAATAAAGAAGTTAGGAGGTAGAGTAGTTTGGAGGTTTGGAGAGAAGATAAAGAACTAAGTTTCAGGTAACAGTGAGATATTGAGTTGAGATATCTAGCAGAAAGCTGGAAATTCACAGCTGGAACTCTGGGTCTTGAGAGGTTAAAGCTGGAGATAAAAATTTGGGAGTCATCTGCACAAAGATGATAAACGAAGTCACAGGACTGCATGACAATTATCAAAAGAGAATGTGGGGAAGCTAGGTGGTGCAGTGAATAGAGATCCAGCCTTGGAGTCAGGAGGACCTGAGTTCAAATGCGGCCTCAGACAGTTGACACTTACTAGCTGTGTGACCCTGGACAAGTCACTTAACCCCCAATTGTCTCACCAAAAAGGAAAAAAAAAAAGGGGAATGTAGACAGTTATAACAAGAGAACAGATTTAAGAAAATAACTAATTTTTAAGGGCAGAAGGAAGATGGAAATCAAACAAAGGTGACATTAGGAACGATCAGAGACATGGGAGGAAAAGGGAGAAGAAAACATCAGTGGGGAAGGGGTGGTCAAAATGTCAAATGCTAATATCTGAGAGGATAGCAGGAGAAGAAAAGAGACCACTGAACTCAGTAAAAGTCACTGTTGACCCTGAAGAGGTGTTTCAGTTAAATGATGGGAAAAAAAGCTAGGTTGCCAGGGGCTGAGGAATGAGTAGCTGATAAAACAGTAGAATTAGCAAGTGCAGCAGATCAAAAGAGTCAAAATATACTATTTTGTATCCTCCTATCTTGTACTACTCTTTCCTTCCGGTAGGCCTTAGCAGGTATCCTCCCTACTGCCTAGAATGCTCTTTCCTCACATCTTCGTCTTGTGACATTTCCTTCAAAGTCCATCTCAACTGGTTTTTTTGCACAGGGCAATGCAAAAAAGATACTTAATAAATATTTATGGAATTAATTGTCTGTATCCAGGACATGTGTCTTGCCTGTGCATGTATTTCAGAATTAGTCAAATATGAATCAGTCTTGGTTTGTACTAGTTAGTCTTCTGAAAAGACGGCAATTTTTTGTGATGGCCGACTTACTCGACAGCGCAGGGATCGTTTGATCAGCAGATGCTTGTGTCGAGGATAGAGCTGGGAAGCACAGATTGGCTGGAAGTCGGGCTGTAAGAGGCGCTGATGCAGGGTAGTCACTTGGGATTCAAAAGAGAAATTTAAATTTACTTAAAGCTGCTTAAATACAACATTTAATCAGCAATTATAAAGTAATCACTGATATAAAAGGGTCATCTTTGGTTCTGTTAATTGTCTTTTTTAAGACTACTGCTTAAATATAGATCTGACTCAAAATAAAGATCCTTCTACTTTTTAAAAAGTCACATTGTTTTAATGTGTTTTGTGATCATTTTACTGTTGAAAACCATACCAATAATGCCATGCAGTAAATAGACCATGACTAATAAAAGCTCAATTCAAAATAAGTTGGAAACAAATAGTAAAGTCCAATACCCTCTGTTAGATTTACTGGTCTCGTATAGTAGTCTTCAGGAAGAGGCTCCACTTCTTCCACAGCTTGTGCTGGCTCAATCTTGATCTCTTTTTGGTCTTCTCCTTCCTTAAGGCTGAATGATGGAACATGGCAGTTTACTGAGTTATCTAATAACATATGGAATGAAAGCACCAAACCTTCCCCTTGATGAATACCCCATTCAGTTTACTTTTTAAGGTTAATAACATTTACCGTTTCTAATCTGTAATTCTAATCTTTAATTTGTTTCTTTTTTCTTGTGACAATTCCTATTAAAATTTTCCTCCCCTTCCCAGAATCTTCTGCATAATATCTGCCTTCCTCATCAATGCCATTTTAATGTCCAAACTTACGAAAGTCCTGCAAGGGTACTGATAGGAGCTCCAGCTCTTGGTCTCTGAAGCCTGGTTCCAAGGCCATATTTATCCTAGAAGAGAAAAAATTTCATAAAGATATTTATATCAGTCTGTCTTACTTATCAAAAGAAGGAATTATTTTTGAGACAGTATGAGAAGCGCAGGAGACTAAGCAAAGGAAAGCAAACTTAAAAAGCTCACCTTGATGAAATAAAATGTAGCCTTTCCCCATAAAGCTATTTTTTTTTTAATTTAAAAAAGTACCATCTATAGGTACTGAAACTAATCTAGCATTGTAAAAGTGAATTTAATTCTAGCTATCCTATCAGTCTAGGCACTTCTAAGACAGAAAGGGTGGTAAGATTTTGAGACACATGAACTACTGGTCATCTGGAACCCAAGTGATCTAGGGTCTTTTTCGAGAGCTCTTTTTCAAGAGCTTTAGTACCAGCAAAAAACCATGAAAGAGCACTTACCACTACATGAATAGTATGTTGCTGTGGAGAGCCCCCAAATAGCAGTAGGTTGCAACAGAGACAAAAAAATGCAGCAATAAGACAAAAAGCAAACTCATAGAGTAGGCAGATCATAATAGCAAAGTTGGAAAAACAGCAAGTGTATTAAATTTTTCTTTTTAGGTATACTCTTGGTTTCATAAATTAGTTATTCATATAGATCTATTAAAATTATTTATTTAAAACTTTGGCAAGGAATCTAGAATTGTGGATCCTCAGCAAATTTTATTGGCTGATTGGTACTATGGAAAATTGATAAGGATGCCATTCACCATTCCAATCAAGATATATTTAATTGACTTATCCAGCCTCCCTAAATTTTCAGTGGAATAAACTACTTTTTAATTCTCACGTGAATTCGTCATGTAAATTCTCATGTGATTTCCTTACATGCCTTTATTAAGATGGTAATATACCATATTATATGGTAATAATCCTAGAAATATGTGCCCCCTGTCAAAAAGCTTAACTTGCATTATAGTAGTGACTGCACCAAATCCTATTTGATTCTCTCTGCTCAAATGACAATTTATCTCACCAAATAAGTTGACAAAGAAAAAAATGACCACAATTCACAATTCTTGAAAACTCTGCCCTTAAAAGCTGAATGCTCTACCCATGACTCCCACTGTGTAAAGACACTGCTCCACAAATTGATGGAAGATGAGAAGTGCCAAGGAGATTTTTAATGTTAGAAGCTGAGAAGCTACAGGTATCTGAGTGGTAACTGTGAACTAAAGATTGTATGAATGAAGTTATTCATTCACTACCTGAGAAAGGAATAATGAATGGGAGAGAATCATAACCCCCCCTCATCTCCTCAGAAACTATTTAAGATAATAAAAAGTTTTAGAACTGGGAAAAAGAGGAAAAGGAATAATCCAAAATTACTGACTTTAAAATGAAGGATATGAAAGCTCTTTACTTGAAACCTCACAATATCCTATCTGGATACTCTACGTTAGAAAATCTCTTTGTAGGCACTACAGTTCCTGATCAGTGAATCACAAAATTCTCTAGGTACCAAAAGCTCACCGAAAATGCCAGGGGCATATAGTTTCGACGGCGGGCCAGCTTTTTACGATCTCGTTCCACTTTCTCCTTCTGGGCCAGCTGCTGGTAATACTCAACTAGTTTGTTCATCTGCAGGAAAAAAAGGATCAGCCACTCAAGCTTTGATAAATAAAACAGCAGTCCCCAACCCTGAATCCATAATATACCACCCAATAACATTTTAAAGTTTCTAATGATTAAACCCTGTACTAGATACTATACTGTGCAGATTTTACTCTTTCCCCACAAACAACATTCTTTTCATAAGTGAGATTTATTTTTTGGACTGAAATCCTAATTTTACCATAAGTAGAAATGGAAAATCAAGGTGCTAGTAAATTATACACTTCATATTATGCTAACTTTTCTACCATTAGTTATCAATATACACACCTACATATATTTTAATGTACTGTACTAGGTGCTAGAAGACATTTCAAATACAAAATTCCTGCTCTTAATTTTTCATTAGATTACTTTTGCCTCTAAGGCAAAAGAAGTTAATGATTTCTAATTCAATTTTATTTTATTTTCAGTTCCAGAGTCTCCTCTGCCACCCATTGAGAAGGCAAGAAATAGAAAACCCATTAAAAATATGAAGTCATGCAAAATAAATTTCTGTATTAACCATGATCTTCTGGGGGGGAGGGGGGAGGGGACGGAAAACAGCAAGAAAAAGAAAGAGGAAAAAAAGTGCTTTACTTTGTACTCTGAGACCATCAGTTCTCTCTTTGGAAATGGATAGCATTTGACATAATGAATCCTTTGGAGTTGTGGTGGGTCATTGTGTTGATCAGTTCTAAGTCTTATACAGTCAATCAGCCTTACAATGTTGCTATTACTGTGTATATTGTTCTTCTGGTTCTGCTCACTTCACTTTGTATCAGTTCATACAAGTCTTCCCAGGTTTTTCTGAAACTATTCCCTTCATCACTTCTTATAGCACAACAGTATTCCATCACAATCTTACACTATAACTTGTCCAGCCATTCCCCAATTGATGGGCATCACCTCAATTTCCAATTCTTTACCACTACAAAAAGAGTTGCTATAAGCATTTTTGTATAAATAGGTCTCTTTCTCTTTTCTTTAATCTCTTTGGAATACAGACCTAGTAGTGGTATTGCTGGGTCAAAGGGAATACACAGTTTTCTAGCCCTTTGGACATAGTTCCAGATTATTCTCCAGAATGGTTGGACTAGTTCATAGCTTACTCCATCTGTGCATTAGTGTACCTGTTTTCCCCCATCCTTTCCGGCATTTGCCATTTTCCTTTTCCTCCATCTTAGTTAATTTGATGGGTATGAGGTGGTACCTCAGAGTTGTTTTCATTCGCATTTCTCTATTAGTGATTTAGAACATTTTTTGATATGATTTTTGAAAGCTTTGATTTCTTCCTCAAAAAACTGCCTGTTCATATCCTTTAACCATTTATCAATTGGGAAATGGCTCTTTTTCTTATAAATTTGGCTCACTTATCTATATATTTGAAAAATGAGACCTTAATCAGAGAAACGTGCTGCAAAGATTTTTTTTTGGCAGTTTGCTGCTTTTCTTCTAATTTGAGCTGCATTGGTTTTGTTTGTGCAAAAACTCTTTAATGGCATGCAACCAAAATAATGTATTTTACCTCCCATAAACCTCTTTATCTCCTGTTTGGTTATGAAGCAATTATTTCTAATGATAGGTGACAGGCTTTAAGTCAAGAATCTATAGTCAACCATTGCTAAGCCAAAACAAATAAACACAACTCATGAATTGATGAAAATGCTTTTTTGGGGTAAAGTACATCTGGATACTTTTGAAAAAGATATTCATAACATCAGGGAAATTAATTCCAGACTCAGAGATCTAGAGCTTGATTGGAACCCAAAAGTCATTTAGATTAACCCCTTTATTTTAAAGATGAGACTTATCTAAGATCACAAAGGTAGTAAGTAGCAGCAAGTTTTGAACCTACATTCTCTAATTTCATACCCAGGGGTTTCCACTACAGCAAACTGAACAGTCTTGGATATTTTATAGCACTCTAACACAGGCAAGACATTTAAATGTTTAAGATATTATTATAAAATGCTAAAAAAATTAATTTTCTTGAGTTTCATCTTTTATATTTGAAGGGCTGTGTCCATAAGCCAGTAATACAATAAAACTGCACATAACCACAGAATCTCAGCCAAGACAGGACCTTAGAATGCCATCAGTACAACTTAGTCCTGGACAAGAATTCCCTTTATAATATCCCTGAGAAGAGAGCTTCAACCTCTACTTAAAAACCTCTGGTGAGGGGAAACTCACTTCCTCCCAATGCAGTCCATTTCATTTTTGGACAGTTTTCATTTTTTAGAAAACTTTCCCTTATATTGAATCAAAATTGGCTCTTGACTTCCACTTGTTGCTTTAAGTTCTGCCCTCTGGGGCCAATGAAGTAAATAAAACAAATCTCATTTTTCTCTCATAGGATAGTCCTTGCAAAAACTAAATACAGTTATCATATATGTTTTAAGTTGTCTCTGAAGGACTTAGAGACAGTGTAGTACAATAGAAAGAATGCTGGATTTGAAATCATAAAACATTGGTTAAAATCCTGGCTTTACCACTTATTACTTGTATGACCTTGAACAAATCAGTTTACTCCTATATGATTTGACTACTTGTAGGAAAAATAAAAACACAAGCATTAAATAATACTTGTTATTTTATAATTCATTAAACCTTACAGAGTATAGACTTGAGAGTTCAAACTAAACTGATTCTTTCTTCTGAATTCAGTCAGGAAAAAACCAGAGAAGCTTTTCAGTTAAAAAAAAAATAGAAAAATACAACTGCACATAGGAAGTGCTTTTTCATTAAGGCATCTTGATTGATTAATTATGCTTATCAATCTACAAAGCAAAGGTCAGCTCCAATCAGTTTCCCCAGCCTTGCTTAATTGAAGCATTTCCCTTTTTCTATTTTCTCTTACTGTCTTCTATTTATTTACTTACCCTTTGTGTGTGAGGATTTTCAGGTTCTTGCCACCCACCACTGGCTGCAAAACAAAATGGAATCTCACATGAGACATTAAGAAGTACTAGAATCACCAGCTCCCATACAGCTAGCATCAAAATCAGTCTGAAAAGAGGATAAAAGTTTTTCCATGACAAGCGTGAGCAAAATGTATCTCCTAGCCACCACTTCAAGTTTTCTAAAAACTAGTAATACATCTTATTTTTAAAAACTAGAATTATAATATTTCTCCATAACTTTTTGAAGGCTAATTTTTCTAAGAGGCTGAGTTTTCCTGGAAGTTTATTTCTTTTTGAGTCAAGAGGAAGGCATATATGGCACAAGAGAAATGATTTAGTCAAAATAATATTTTAAAAATCCAAGTATTTTACCTAATTGTTTCTCCTGGCTTCTATTAAAAAACAAAACAAAACCAACCACCTTATTTTTAATTGCAAATTATAATAATCTCAATACCAACAATCAAATAAACAAAATAATGACTAAAATCTCAAAACCTTAAACACCAAACTAGATTTTGATAAGTATATTACACACCCCTATATATAATGTAGTCAAATAAATAACATTTGCTCTCTGAACTATTCTGACATTTTTCAATTGTGCACTAAATTTTTCTTACTTTTAAATATATTTATATACATATATACACACACACATATATTCATATTCAGAATATCTGTTATTAGAAATTCTATTTGCTTTGCTTTATAGCTCTTTTAAAAAAAACCCAACACTTTGAGATGCATAATTTTCTTAGTTGAAGTTTTGTTTTTCTTCTTCTGTTAACACATCACAAACTCAACGGGTCTGTCTCCTGACAAGCAGATTATTTTAACTGAAGTGTAGTTGTTTCAGAGCTTCTCACGATACCAGAACTATAAAGGTAAAATAAAATTGGCCCTTCATCCTTAAGAGTTGCTCCAAGTGAATTATCCTTGTCAAGGTGCTATATGTGCCAGAAGGTAATACAAACTTTTGATATGTCTGTCATCTCTCTATGCTGTTTTTTTGTTCATTCATATAAATCTTAACTGAATGGATTAACTTCAGAGAGCAGTGAGATGTCAAAGAGTCTGGAAAGATTACTGAATTTTATTTCTTTTCCATACCAAAAATAACCACAATTAAAAAATAAAAAGAGAAAAATAGAGGAGATAAAACAGCAGAGAAATAATACTTACTGAAAACCAGCTCTTTTTAGGGACTGTACTGTTTCATTAGCTCAGCACTCCAGTGGATGGGTGATCTCTTCCATGCGGGCATGACTCTAAAAATGGAGGCCACCACCCATCCACGCCTGCTCACCCTAAGCAACTCTTGTTCCTGTCTTCCCATAAGTTCCCTTTACGGGTTCCATATTCAGTGTCTCTTTACATTGTACAAATACCAATGGAACGCATCAGTTATCACCAGCTCTCAACAACAACAGCAGCTAACATTTATATGTTGTTGGCTAAGTGCCAGGCACTGTGCTAAGCACTTTACAAATATTATCTCATTTGATCCTCACAACAACTCTATGAGGCATGTTATTATGTCCATTTTACAGATGAGGAAACTGAGGCAGGCAGCAGTTAAGTGACTTCCAAGGATCACACAGCGAGTAAGTATAGAAGGCCAGATTTGAACTCGGATCTTCCTCATTTCAGACCTAGCATTCTCTCTGCTGAGTCACCAGCTGCCCAATGTGATCAGCTCACCCTTGTCTTCTGATTGTACATTTCTTTCTTTCTTTTATGATTTTTTTCCTCTCTTTTTTTAAACTTCAACTTTAATCTTTATTGGCTTCCTTTGGTAACATCTGGGTAAAGGAAGAGATGTATGGCACCTCGGAATTTCTCTGCCAGTGGAGGCAAGTCTCAAGCTGATGTTGGATTCAATCACTCAAACTTTTGGTCATAGAGGTACCAGACAATCAGCCATGACAACAGCAATGCCTACAATTTCATGTTCTTGGGATCATTAGATGAGGAATCTATGAATAGGGAGTTCCAGTTCCCCATGTGTTCTGGGTTCCAGTCGGACTGGCTTGTTGATTGTGGCCTTCAACTACTCTCAGTTAGGTCTCCAACATAATATTGTGTCTCCAGCTGAAGTGAGCCTCTTCTATCTCAACATTCTTCATTGCCAAGGGCAGAGGCACTAGCAGCTGGGAAGGACCCTTTATGTGTTTCTAGAGTCTGCTTCAGGGAAATCTGCAGGCAGCTGCCCAGTTCCAACCCATTTATATTCAGAGGATGAAGAAGAGTTGCTTAGATCAAACGCATCTTAACACGATAAACCCACACTTCTACCACCTACAAATACTTTAATTCTTAATAAGCCTTTCCTTTCTACCTGAATTATACTAATTGCTCATTAACATCTGAGTATTACTACCTTCATTCTTTGACTGGCTCTGCCCTGCCCCTGCCTGACTAATATTGATTACACAATACTCTGATAACAACCTTTACACTTCTCTTTGTGTAATTCCTTGTTTGTAATGTGTTGCAATCTGCTCATATCTGGGAGCTAATTAGATACTTCAATCCTTTGAAGACTGAAAGCTTTCTGTTTCTTTCAGGAGAAAAAAGCTTGGAGGGAGGAAGGGAGAGGAGAGGTCATGAAAAACTTTTGCAATTTTCCAAAGGTTGCCAGCTAGTTCTTACTGTTTAATTCTGGAATGACTTCATTGATAAGAACAAGAATCATTAATAGATATATTTTCTACAGTAGTGTAATATAAGATAACCCCCATAGAAACAAAACAAAAAAAACCCCTGCTTTTCTATATGTCACCACCAAGAATTAAGAAAAATTGATAGAGGAATATTATTTATGATAACAACAAAATGGGAATTAACTTATCAATACATACAAGACACCTATAAAAAGACAGCTTCAAAATTATTTTGACAGAAATCATGGAAGAACCTTACAAATGGAGGGATATCCTCTGTTCATGGAAGATAAGTAAACATATTAAAAATGTAAATACTTTCAAAGCTAACTTACATATTTAATGTAATATCAATCAAAATACCAATAGGCTACTTTTATAGAATTAGATAAAGTAAAAAGAAAATTGAAATGGATAGATAATGGAAAAGAATATGAAAAAGAGTTACGAAAAAGGAAGCTAGCAAATGGGGACTATCACTACCAAATATAAAAATATATTATAAAATAATTATAATTATTTGATACTGGAAAAAGAATAAGGAAATATACCAATGGAAAAGAACAGAGAACTAAAAAACAGAAATTAATAAACATAAAAGATTAGCATTTAATAAAAAAAAGACACTGGGTAATAGAATTTCTCATTTGGTAACAACTGCTGGCAATACGGGATAGTTCTATGGCAAAAAAAAAAAAAAGATTCAGAACCAGAACATACACAATACAATAGGTCCTAATCAGATTATCTATTTAGATATAAAGAAATTTTTAAAAATATGAAATAAAAAGGAATTAGGTTTTCAACTATAGAAAGATTAGAACTTTAATCAAATGAATAAATTATTTGAGATAAAATCAATGAGTTTGATTACCAAAAAATAAAAGGATTTTGCACATTCAAAAATAGTATCTTTAAAACTAAAAGAAAAAGATTGAGACAAAGATTGTAATAATTAAGGAGATAAAAGTCTGGCATCCCAAATCTATAAGGAACTGATACATGTCTAAAAGAGTAATTATTAATTAATGAATTATTAATATTCAAAGGACAGAAACAGTTCAGTTTACAAAATGAAGAAATAAAAACCATTAATTGTCACGTGAAAAAACAGTGCTCACACTCCCAAATAATAAGAGAAATGCAAATCAAGATAAATATAAGATGCTACCTTCCATCAATTAGAGGCAAAGAAACATATATAAAGGTTAGTATGGCTGAGGAAACAGGCACTCTAGTACACTGACGACGGGTCTGTAGAGTGAAGCAAAGATTTTAGAGAGCAATGTGTAAATATGTAATGAGTCACAAAACTGATTGTACCTTGTGAACCATAGATTTTATTGCTATATTTCTACTCCAAAAACATCCTAAAAAGGAATTAAAGTAGTAGATAAATCACTTGCATTTCTATATACCACCACCAAGAATCAAAAGAAACTGACAGAGAAGTACCCTTACAGAAAAAGACTTGCATAAAGAAAAATATTCATAGATGCTCTATTTATGGTAGCAAAAAAGAAGAAACAGCCTGTATGTCTAACAACTGGAGAATGGCTAACTAAATCAGTATCTGTTAATGTAATGAAATACACTGCCTTACAAACCAGAAAAATATGAAGTATACAAGGCAATATGGAAACAACTATACAAAGAGATGCAAAATAAAATCAACAGAACCAGAATTGTGTACATACTGCTTACAATTATAATGAAAGGAAGAAAGAAAGGAAGGAGAAAAAGGGAAGAAAGACAGAAAGAAGACAGGGGAGGGAGGGAGGGAGAAATGAGGAGAAAAGGAAAGGAGAAAGGAAGGGAGAAAGGGAGGGAGGGAGAAAATGAAAAAGGAAAGAAAGGAGGGGAGTGAGGAAGGGAGGAAGGAAGAGAAGAAGGGATGGAAGGAGGAAGGAAGGAGAGAAGGATGGGAGGGAGGAAAGAAACCAGGTCCAAAGTAGCATGTAGACCTTGAAGAAGGAATTGAACCAGAGCATTATCTTTGCTTGTCGGTCATTTGTTAATTTATTTGGCTATGCCTTGTTAAAGGTTAAAGATTTGTATAAGCTTGTTTTATATTTTTATTTGTTTCTTTTAATGGCTAAGGGGATGATACTTTACTTTTTTTTTTTTTAAGGCAGTTGGGGTTAAGTTACTTGCCCAGAGTCACACAACTAGTAAGTGTCAAGTGTTTGGTCTGAGGCCGGATTTGAACTCAGGTCCTTCTGACTTCAGGGCCAGTGCTCTATCCACTGTGCCACCTAGCTGCTCCCTACTTTTTTTTTTTAAGATGCTTCAATGGTCTGGAATATCATTGATGTGAGTATTCCCTATAATGATACAAATCACAACTCATCTGTATCTTCTCATCCTGTGTGACTCCTGTCCATGTTTTTCCATAGACTTCCATGGTGGTGTCCACCTGACATTGTAAGGGTCTTCCTCTAGATCTCTTGATTTTGCAAGGATAGCAATCAAACACACAGGATATCTATCGGTCACACATCAACACTGCTACATGACTGGGCTATCTCCTTTTCTAGTCATACCTTTTTTGGGTCACAGGAGTATACTTAAAATTGGATGGGATCAAAAATCATCATCCCATAGCAATTCTTCACATGGTTTGTGGATAATAAGTTGTGCCTCTTCCTGCCAAGCCTGTGCCATTCTGGTGCATTTGTTACCTGCATCTTTAACTGTTTAGAGACCAGGGTATTCATTCCTTGACTTACTACCACATCAATGATGTTTAAAAAAACAAAAAACAGAGAAAGAATTTTTCTGAGAAAAAAACTTACAGTCATTAAAATACAAAATACAGTATTTAAATACAGTATCCTAGGGGCAATCTAGTAGGCTTTCTTCCTCTTGTTCAACTTTGAATACAAGATACTGTCTGCTGGACATTTGACTTGTTTGTCCCTGGCACATCTACCAATAGATGAGATCTCTGAGATGTCTATTCAGATGCATATCAGGGTCTGGATAACATGTATTTTTTATCTAAGCTTTTCCTGTGTGGATCATTAGGTCAAACTGCTCTTTTTTAATTTCTAAAAATGTATTATTATTTTTTTAACACTTAAAATTTTTTGAGTTCCAAATTCTTTCCTTCCCTCCAGCCCCTCCCCCACCGAGAAGGTAAGCAATAAATCAATTATATATCTTCTTATTAGCCACGACACCAAAAAAAAGCAAGAAAAATAAAGAAAGTGAAAAAAATATATACTTCAATTTTTACTCAGAGTTCATCAGTTCTCTTTCTGGAGGAAGAAAGCATTTTTCATCATGAGTCCCTTAAAATTCTCTAGGATCATTGTATTAATCAGAGCAGCTACGTCTTTCACAGTTGATTATCATATGGTATTGCGGTTACTGTGTATAATGTTCTCCTGCTTCTGCTCACTTTACTTTGCATTAGTTTATATAGACTTTACCAGGTTTTTCTGAAATCATCCTGCTCAGAATTTCTTATAGCATGATAATATTCCATCATAATCATATACTCCAATTTGTTCAGCCATTCCTCAATTGATGGGAATCCCCTTGATTTCCAATTCTTTGCCACCACAAAAAGAACTGCTATAAATATTTTTGTATATATAGGTCCTTTTCCTTTTTTTTTTTAAAGTCTTTTTGGGATGAGAAATCTCTTTGTAGATGAGAACAAAAAGGTACAGAAAGAAATGGAGGAGGAACAGGGATGATTAGGAATAAGTGATCATGGAGGAGTACAGGCATGCTGCTTGAAGGAAATAATAATTCAAAAATTTGCTTCAACTGTATTGGGTAACAATTTAATACCCTGAAGTTAAATGAGGGCTAATCAAGATGTGGAGCAGATTCTAGAAAAAAAAATCAGCATATCTCTATTCTGAAACATTTTAATATTAAATTTAGAATTTACAACTTAAATCTGTTTATGTAGATTATGAGAAGTATACATAGAAGAGTGGCTTGCTACATACAAAAGAATCAAATATTAAACCTACCTTAGAGATTGGACCAGGTTTAAAGAAATTCTGATCCACACATCCTCAATTGTTTTAGAATTTGTAGAAGCCTTTACCTATGCTGACTAGGTGGTGCAGTGGATAGATTGTTGGGGCTGGGGTCAGGAAGATTCAATTTCTTGAGTTCAAATCTGTCCTCATGACGCTTACTAGCTATGTAGCCTTGGGCAAGTTATTTAACCCCAGTTGCCTCAGTTTCCTCATCTGTAAAATGAGCTGGAGAAGGAAATAGCAAACCATTCCAGTATCTTTGCCAAGAAAACCTCAAATAGTGTCATGGAGAATCAGACATGATTGAAAAACGACTGAATGACGACATTACCTAAGTCAATATTAATTTCAACTAGGTTAGTCAACATACATTAAGCTCAATTGTGTACCTGCATATATACTGATAGAACCAAATCCATTACATTTCCTTAACACTTCAGAAAATTAAGCAGTAACTATTTGGCCCGAGGCTGTACATCTGTGATTCTAAACCTTACCCTGAAGATACTTAAGACAATGACAATGACAAAATTCACTGTGCTTTCTATTTAGAAAGCTATTTCCAATAAGGCATTATTCTCTGGACAAAGAAAGCTTTATAACGTTTCTTGACACTTCATATCAAACTCAACCTGGCTTACCAACAGACTTGTCTGCCATGCCCACATCTCTAGATGTCCAACGACAAAATCCACAGGCCAGGTAATAGGCTTTCTTCATGGTGGTTTTGGCTGGATCATCGGGAAGCTGTGTGGGAATGCTTGTAGCCCGAGTAGAAAGAGTATGCATACAGCCAGGACAATCAAAACAGTTTGCACACCTGTAACAGACAGAATACAACAAAATGATTGGAGTTTGCCTCCAACTAACTGTCCTACATTTTCATAAAGGTTAAAAGGGATGTCACACTGGAAGAGTGAGATAAGAGGTTAAAAAAATAACTTGAGAACTCTGAGAAATTTTGCTAGGAAAAGAACTGTATGTTCATGGTACCAAAGGAGAAACAAGACATTATAAAAGGATACTGTGGAGGAATTAATCAATCAAAAATGTATTAAGCACCAACTGTGTCTCATGTATTGTACTAGGCCCTGGGATATAAATAGAAAAAAAAAAGAAACAATCTTTACTCTCAAATAGCTACACTCTAATGGTGGAAGATGATGTACACATGTATTAGTATATATAAAATAAACACAAGGTAGTTAGGGATAGAGGCCACTAGCATTTGGGGGTAAAAGGAAAGGCATCCTGTAGGAGGTGATGATTAAGTTGCATTTTGAAGGAAATGATGGATTTTATAAAATGGATATGAGAAGGAAGTGTATTACAGGCATGGGGGAGAGACCATGTAAAAAATCATGGAGGTGGGAGATACAGTGCCATGTTTGAAGAACAGAGAAAAGGCCAGTTTGGTTGGACTATAATACAGGAGGGAGAGGAAAGTATAATGAGGCTAGACAGAAAGGTTGGGGCCAGACTGTGCAGGGTTTTAAAAGCTAAAGAGAGGAGTATATATTTTATCCTAGAAGCAATAGGATACCATTGGAGTTAACTGAGTAGGGGAGTGATATGCTTAGATCTGCATTTAAGGAAAATCACTGTCAGCTGTGTGTAAGATAGATTACAGCAGGGAGAGACTTGAGGCAGGGGGACCAATTAGAAAGTCATTTCAATAGTTGAGTGAGAGGTAATAAGGGCCTCAACTAAGGTGGTGGCAATATGAGTAGACAGAAGGTGTCAGATGTGAGAGATGTTGTGGAGGCAGATATGGCAGGATTTGACAACCAATCAGATATACAGAAAGAGAATCTGATTATAATACTAAGGTTACAAACCTGAAAGATGGAAAGAATGGTAGTGCCTTTGACACAAATAGTAGTTTGCTGGATTTGCAGGGAAAAATAATAGGTTGTTTTGGATGTATATCTAGGATATCTAGTTTCCAATGTCTAATAGGCAAGCAGGTGATTCAAGACTGAAGCTCTGGAGAGAAACTGGGGCCAGATACATAGATTTATTGAGTCATCTGCATAGAGGTGATAATTGAACCCATGAAAGCTGATGAAGTCACCAAGAGAGTGTAGAGAGAAAAGTGGCCTAGTACAGCCCGGAGAACATACACAGTTAGGGAAATATCAAGAGTGATTCAAGGGCCCTCCACAATCTTATTCCACCTCATCTTTCCAGCTGTTCCTCATCCTACCCAGTACCACACACTCCATGTTCAGCCACACTGCACTATGTGCAGTCTCCCATGCAGGTCAGGTAGCATGCTTCAATCTACTTTCAGACTCCATTAGTTCTTTCTCTAGAGATGAATAGCATTTTTCATCATGAGTCCTTTGGAATTGTCTTGGATCTTTGTATTGCTGAGAAGGGCTAGATCATTCACACTTGATCATCATACGGTTACTGTAAACAATGTTCTCCTGGTTTTGTTCACTTCACTTTGCATAAGTTCAGATAAGTCTTTCCAGGTTTTTCTGAAATCTACCTGCTCATCATTTCTTACAGCATATTAGTATTCCATCACAATTGTGTAACACAACTTATTCAGCCATTCCCCAATTGATGGGCATCCCTTCAATTTCCAATTCTTTGCCACCACAAAAAGAGTTGCTATAAATATTTTTGTACAAATAGGCCTTATCTCCCTTTATTTTTATCTTTGGGATTGAGACCTGGTTTGATTACCCTTTGGGCATAGTTTCAAATTGCTCTCCAGAATGGTTGGATCAGGTCACAATTCCACCAACAGTGCACTAGTATCCCAATTTTCCCACATCTCCTCCAACATTTATTATTTTCCTTTTCTATCATACTAGCCAATCTGATAAATATGATGTGGTACTTTAGAGTTGTTTTAATTTGCATTTCTTTAGTCAATAGTGATTTGAAGCACTTTTTTCATATGACTATAGATGGCTTTGATTTCTTCATCTAAAAACTTAGGCTAGGAAATCTTTAAGATCTATTTCAACTCTAAAATTCAGTAAGTCTAGGAGTTAAATAAAAATTAAATAATTTAGTGACCAAATGGATAAACTGATGTTTTAGTTTAGAGTATATTTATTGTAGTCACTGCCTTAACAAAACATGTTAATAATTTCACCTAATAGTGTACATTCATGGCATCTAAGGTTTCAATCATCAGGATGAATAAAGTATTAGCAGTCCAGTATCGTTTCTGTAATCAACCATAATTCTGATGCAATGGATGAAGGTGAGAGAAGAAATGAGTTAAGCTATTTCCAGGAAAGACAACAGCTCCCAACTTTTCTTTTAAGAATGCTACTAAAAATGTTCACTGTGATCCTGAGATAACACTTGAATCATAACTGATTGTTATGAACACTTACCTGGCTCAGATCATAATCTCTACAGTTCCTACTATAAAGGAACCTGAACATTCACTGATGCAATGTTACACATTTCATATCCCTACTCTAAAATAAAATTTTATTTTTAATTTTTTTCATTATGAACTTAAAAAAATCACGACATGAATTGAAAATGAATTTCAAATTCTCTAGTGCTTGTGGATTTATATGTCTACCAGGACAGTATCACAGACCTGTTAGAACTTATTCTTAGAATGTCGTCTCATAAAAATATTTACAGCGACACCTACTCCACACTGGTTTCAGAAAACATAGAAAGAACCAAAAAAGACTTCTGATTCTTCCAGGGTCTACATTTAAGTTCCATTCCCTTTCTTCTGGCATATTCAAGGTGGAGTTGCTGAACAGGAGAGAGCATCAGACAGAACCAGTATGTTGCCACAGGACACTGATCCCAACTTGCCTGAGACCAGGATCACATGAATGGTCCAGAGAGATGTTTCAAAGAATTCTCTAGAAACGCTCCAAGAAGAAATTGAGCATACCTAATCAGGGCACTTCCTGGTCCAAGCGTGGGGCAAAGTGGAAAGCAGCCCCTACCCCATGCTTTGTCCCTCCTGCTCTAGAGTAGAGTCTGAGTCAGAGCTGGACTAAAGACAATCCCTTCAGGTAACTGCTGCCACCTGAACTGAACAGCTTTTTCTGGCATCATGAACTTCCTTTTCACATTAAGAGCAAAAATTGAACTTGAATGAATAAGAACAAAGTGTGTTTCTGATAGTTTCTGACGAGATTTATCCAAAAGCACCAGGTGATAGAGCAACTTGGCACTGGAAGAAGCCCAGTCATGGGCTGCTGACCTGGCGGTAGAAGATAAGGCAGGTGGAGGGGAACAGAAGAGGCAAGAGCATAATTAAGCTAGTGTTTCTTTATCATCAATGAAAATGATTGAATAAGATAAAATGAAACAGCTTTTACCTATTTTTTTTAAGCTTGGCTTCAGCTGACGGCATGTTCTCCAGGCAACTGGGACAATAATGTGAGTCCACCTAAAGCAAACCAGAAAAAAACATTAACAAAGGCAGAGAAACACATTTTATATTATTTATAGTCGTTTATCCATGCCAAAAGAGTAATTAATATGTTCTTCTTCAACAAGATATTAAGAGCATCATGAATAGAAAGTGAAGCTACCAGCTCAGAGACTCAAATACTTTGGGTCCAAGGTTTGATTTTCAAGAAATGGTATACAATAAATATTTACTTAATACCTACCATATGAAAATGCATTGTGCTAGGTGCTGGGGAAAGATATAGTACAAGATAAATAGGACAGTCCCTACTCTTAACAGATCTCATACAATCTACTGTAGCAGGGGGAAAATCCATACACACAGACAAGCTTATATTCCCTTCTCTCCACTGACATGGTCATCATCTTAGTTCAAGCCCTCTGTCTTGCTCACCTGGACTATTGTGATAGTATCCTAACTGGTCTATCTGTCCTTCAATTTATCCTCCACACAGCTGCCAAAGGGATATTTCTAAAGCATAGATCTATGTTACTTTCTTGCTCAATACACTCCAGTGGCTTCCCATAACCTCTAAGATAAAATATAAATTCCTTTTTTGGCATTCAAGGTCCTTCAAAATCTAGTTCCAACCTATCTTTCCAGTGTCATTATACATTATCTCCCTTCATGTATTCTACAATCCAGCCAAATCGAACTTTTTATTCCTCACACATGCCATTTCCTCCTCCAGTCTCTGTGGTTTTGCACAGATTGTTCCCATGCCTAGAACGAACTCCCTCCTCTCCTCTCCCTTAGAATCCCTGGCTTCCTTCAAAGCTCAGCTTAAAAGCTACCTCCTCCATAAGAACTTCTCCCCTCCTTTCTCCAATCACCTTGTACTTACTTTGCATATATTTTGTATACACCTATATGTGTACAGGAAGCCTTTCCCAATCCCTCTTAATTCTAGTGTCTTCCCTCTGTAAATTATTTCTAATTTATCCTGTATATAGGTTGTTTGTACATATTTTTAAGTTGTCTCCCCCATTAATTAGATTGTAAGCTCCTCAAGGACAGGGACTATCTTTTGCCTTTCTTTATTCCCAGTGCTTAGCACAGTACCGGGCACATTAGTAGGTGCTTAATAAATGCTTACTAATGGAGTGACCTCTCCTCTTGTGAATTTCTATTGCATTTGCAGGCAATATGACAGTTTGACATAATTTGTTCTATAATTATTTCATGGATATTCATCTTGTACACTCAAATATATAGGTAAACACCAAGATCACAGAATTTCAGAGTTGGAAGGGACCCCATTGTCCATCTAATCCAACCCATATCTGAAAAAGAATCCCCAGTACAGTAAGCCTGGTAAGTGGTCATTTAATCTCTCTCACCTTCAGTTTCCTCATCCACAAAATGAGAATAACAATAGCACTTACTTCATAAAATTCTTGGAGCTCTACAAGCAGAGGCTATATGACTGACTACTTGTCAGTTACCTTGTAGAGAAGAGGACTCTTGTTCAAGTGGATTTGGTAGCCTCTGAATTTCCTTCCCTGAGATTAACAATAATAGCTCACATTTTTATTTATTTATTTATTTGGTTTTTTTTCTTTTTTGTGAGGCAATTGGGGTTAAGTGACTTGTTCAGGGTCACACAGCTAGTAAGTGTCAAATGTCTGGTCTGAGACTGGATTTGAACTCAGGTCCTCCTGATTCCAGGGCTGGTGCTCTATCCACTGTGCCACCTAGCTGCCCCAATAGCTCACATTTTTATGTGCTTTATCTTTTCATACCACTCTTTGGGGAAAGATGTGAGCTTGAAGAGCTTCAATAACGGGAAATTTACTCCAAAGCAATCCATTCTATTTGAGGATAGTTCTAACTGTTAACAAGTTTTTCCTGATATCAAGCCCAAATGTGCCTTTGAAAATTTAGTGAACAACTTTAACGATTCTCAAAGAGCTTCTAGGTCCAGTTTGAGAGGCCTGTGACAAGACCAGGATTCCCCTAAGTTTCCTTCCTCTTACCCAAAACATAGGGAGGTTTTATCTAAAAGATAATGCTGCTCCTTTCCAGTGGGGGCTGTTTCATTTGGTTCTTTTTATCCCCTAGCCCAATGCTGACCACGTAGTAGTTGCCTACTCCATGCTTGTTGGATTGAATTGAACATCAAAGGAAAAAAAAATCCAGTGAATGTGTCCATTTGTTTTTTTTCTGATATTTTTGTCCAAACCATTTTTTAATAAGTGTATGAAGCTAAAATAAAATGAATACTAGCAGTAGCTAATAAAACGATGAAAGAAAGAGAAAGCAGGACAGGAAACTGACACTGATCTCAGAATATTAGAGGAAGTAGATGTTCTTTTAGTACACTATTTTCTATGGATTATTTCTCTTATTATGTAATAAAAATAACTTAAAAAAAAAAAGATAATGCTGCTCTCTCCCCACCTTGATTGGCTCGCCCAAGTCAAATGCAGCTTTCTGGTCATTTAAGGGCATAAAAAGTCCCAGCCATTGTCCCTTTGAACTCAGTGGACTGCATGACAAGAGTGAAGTAGGGGAGTGGGGTGAAGCCAACATCTAGAGAAACTTAAGTGCCGCTGTATCCTTGTTGCACATCCTTGCTGTGTTAAAGCAAAGAAAAGCTCTTTGCATTAAATGTTCCACGACATGAAAATACCTCATATCATCTGAATGTTGAACTTGAACTAAGAGAGTACTGGAGTTAGAGTCTTATCTCGGATAGGCTCCTCCCACACATGGACTAAAAGTCACTAGAGGTTAGGTAGGGGATTAATATAAATATTACCATGATGCAGAATACACTAGAAGTGTTAGGTGTCGGGTAATATGCACATGTTCATACATCATGATATCTGTACAATACCAGTCACATAACATACCTATTTAATAGATACTTGTTTGTTACATGATTCAATTCAATAACTATGTGCTGAGTACCTATGTGGAAAGTACTATACCAATAAAGAAAGCTTACCAACCACACTATTTTAGGGAAACAGATCTAGTAAGCCACCTTAATGCCATATTTTGTCACTCACTGCCTCCTTATTCATCTAATTCCTCTAGTCAGAAGTATCCTTTTTGGACAAGGCTTATCAATTTCTAGTCACTACTATTAGCCTGAAAACCTCAGCATTTCTAGAAGCAATAATCAACTTTAGCTGGAAAGACCTGAGAGTTCATTTGGTTCACCTTCCTACCTAATGTAGTAATCTTTCTAGTATAACATCCACGACAACTGAAGGTTTGGCCTTTGCTTGAATATCTCTAAGTAAGGGAACTGACTACTTGACAAAGTAGTCTAGTCCATTACAGAAAAATAGCCTTACCCAATAGAAAGCTTTCCTTAATGTTCAGACAAAATCTCTGTGATTTTTCACCCACTGGCCTTGGTTCTGCCTTCTGGGGTCAAGCAGAATAAATACAACATTTCCTTGATATGACAGCACCTCAAATATTTTAATACAGCTGCTATGTTTTCTCACTAAATTTTCTTTTCCTCAAGCTAAACATCCTTATATGTATGGTATAAATTTAAGTCTTGTTACGACCCTCCTTGCCTTTCTCTGGACATAATATCTAGTTTGTCAATTTCTTCCTAAATTTTAATATGGTGGCCAAAATTCAGTTCAATTCAATATTAAGCATCTACATAGGATCAGGGGCCTCACTTGGATTCAGCAATATCTTGGTTCAAATCTGGCAGCTAACACTAACTGAATGACTCCAGGCAAGTCACATTACTTCTAGTTGCCTCAAGCGACTCCAATTACCTAGAATTTATCCAGTCAGTCTAAGCCAGGGGTGGGGAACCTGCAGCGTGGAAGCCACATGTGGCCCTCTAGGTCCTCAAGTGTGGCCTTTTGACTGAATCCAAACTTCACAGAACAAATCCCCTTAATAAAAGGATTTGTTCTATAAAACTTGGACTCAGTCAAAAGGCTGCACCCAAAGACCTAGTAGGCCACATGTGGCTTCCAGGTGGAGGTTCCTCATCCCTGGTAAGCACTGGGCTAAGTAAACACTGGAGGTAAAAAGAAAGGCAAAAGTCTTTGCACCCAGAAATTCACAGTCAGATGGGGGAGACAACATGGAAATGATTATATATATATAAACAAGATACAGACAGGATAAATTGGAAATAATCAACAGAGAGAAGGTATGAGAATTAAGGGGGACTGGAAAGGACTTCTTGCAGAAGGTGGGACTTAAGCTGACATTTGAAGGAAGTTGGGTAAGTTAGGAGGCAAAGAAGGCAAAGGAGAGAGTTAAAGACAAGAAGAATAGCTAGCGAAAATGCTTTGGATTGTTCAGAGTTGGGAGATGGAAGTACTGTGGACGAGGAACTGCAAGAAGTGTCACTGGATTGCAGAGTAAAAGAGGGTAAGAAGGAGTAGGTTAGGGTTAAAGATGATTGCAATGGTAGGAAGTAGCCAGGTTATAGAAGGCTTCATAAGCCAAAGAGAGGAGCAAGGTACTAGGTACTAGAGTTAAGACAAAGCAAAAGAAAAAAACTATAGTTCCTGCCCTTAAGCAGCTTACATTCTAGGGGGTGGGGAGGGAGGGAACAGGACTTACATATACATAATACATAAATACAAAACACTCTGATGGTACACCTAGGTGGAGCAGTGGATAGAGCACCGGCCCTGAAGTCAGGAGGACCTGAGTTCAAATCAGGCCTCAGACCAAACACCTGACACGTACTACCTGTGTGACCTTGGGCAAGTCACGTAACCTTGACTGCCTCACTAAAACAAAAAATACTCTGAGATAGGAGAGAACAGTAACAACTTGGGGGGAGGGTTGGGGAGGTATAAGGAAAGATAACAGTAGATGACATCTGAACTAAGCCTTGATTAACGCTAGTGATTCTAAGAACTGGAGGTGAGTTGGGAATCCATTTCAGGGTTGGGAGACAACCTGCCCAAAAGTTAAGAGGCAGAAGATGAGATGCCAAGTTTTGGGAAGTGTAAGTTGACTAGTATGGCTACAACGAAAATTGCGTGAAGGAGAGCAACATGAACTAAGTATGGAAAAGCAGGATGGGGCCAGATTGTGATGGGTTTGAAATGCCAAGCAAAGGAGTTTTTATTTCATTTAAGATTCTTGAGCAGAAGAATGACATGGTTAGGCTTATACTTCAGTAAGATAATTATTTGTGCATAAGATGTATTGGTGAGATGAAGGGTTAGAAGCAGAGAAACCAATGACTAGCCTTTGCAACAGGCGAGATGAGAGATGATGAGGGCCTGAACTAGGCAGCTAACAACAGACTGATTGGAAAGGAGATGGATGCAAGTGATGTTTTGGTGGTAGAACTGCCTTCTTTCAGGTCCTAGTTAAAAATCTCACTTTCAACAAGACTTTCCTAATTCTCCTTAATGCTAGCACTTCCCTCTTGATTATCTCCAGTTTATTCTGTATATATCACAGTCCTTTGCATGCTGTCTCTCCTATTAGACTGTGGGCTTCTTGAGAGCAAGGAGTATGTGAGTGTGTGTGTGTGTGTATGTGTGTTATTTGTATCCTCAGAGCTTAGCACAGTACCTGGCACATAATAGGCATTTAATAAATAAATGCTTGTTGATTTTACTAGAATTGCTTAAACTTGGCAATTGAACAGATATGGGGAATGAGGGAAAGGAAAGAGTCAAGAATAACTTCAAGGTTGTGAACCTGGTGTGACTAGAAGGATAGTGGGACTCTCAGCAGAAGTAAAGAAGTCAGGAAGAAGGATGGGTTTAGGGTGAAAGGTAAATTTTGTTTTGGATTTATTGAGTTTAAGATGCCTAGAGAACATCCAAATAAAGGTATATATACGTAACAGACAATAAAATCTGGAGCTAAGCAAAGATTAGAGATGGATAGATTTGAGAATCATTTGTATAGGAATGAAACTTGAATGTATGGGAGGTAACAGGATTACTACGAATATATAGAGAGATAGGAGCATAGAACATAGCCTTTAGAGGGTCCCATTTAGGGAGCAGGACGTAGGTGATCTAGCTAAGTAGTTCAAGAAGTAATACTCAAGCAAGTAGGAGGATAAACAGGTAAGGGCTGTGTCACAGAAGACTAGGGAGGAGAAAGCATCAAGGAGGAGTGGTCAACAGTATCAAAAACTTAAAAGAGGGTCCACAATCACTGGTAACCTCGGAGGAAGGAAAACTGATAATTCTGCAGAAGCAGTATGGCTCAATTTGGATTGAGTAAATCTATGCTGACTCCTAGAGAGTACTAGTTCATTTCCTAGGTACTCACAAAAGATCCATTTAAAAATCCATTTTAGAATGACATCAATAATCAAGCTCATTAAATGAATGAATTAATGAAGAGCATTTATTAAGTACTATGGTTTGCAAAATCCACCTTCTTCCCATTTTTTGAAAACCAGGGGATTAAGATATAATACTTAGTTCGAGGTTTCTATGGTAGGTGCTGTTATTTGGGTACATCCTGTCACTTCCTCTTAAATGGCAAATAGCTTTCTTCATTCCATCCATTCAAATCTTTCTCATCCTCAACACTAGTTCAGGCCCTCATTATTTCTCCTATGAACTATTGCAATAGCCTCCTAATTGATGTCCCTACCTTCTCAGTCTCTCCTGTCTCTAATCTATTCTCCAAATGCCGACAAAATCAAATTCCTAAACAAAAATGTTACTCTCTGCTCAAAAATCTTCAGTGTCTCCCTATTGCTTCTATGACAAACAAAATCTCAACCTGAAATATAAAGCTTCTCATAGCCTGGCTTCCACCTACTTTTACTGTCTTATTTCATATTACTCCTCTTCTTGAAATCTCTCTTCCAGTTGAACTGATCCATGTACACACAATTCTGTCTTTTGCCTCTGTCTTTATAGATGTGGTTCCTCAAGTTTAGCATATACTTGCTATTTCACAAATAATAATCTTCCTGAAGTATGAGCCTGAACATGTCATTCTTCTGCTCAGAATCTTAAGTGGCTACCTATTGCTGCTAAAATAAAATAAAAACTACTTTGCTTGGCATTTCAAGCCCAGCACAATCTGGCCCCATTCTGCTTTTCCATACTTAGGTCATGTTACTCTCCTTCATACAATTTTCATTCTAGCCAAACTAGTCTACTTACACTTCCCAAAACTTGGCATCTCATCTTCACCTCCACCTTGAAAAATCACCAATTTCCTTTAAAGTACAGCTGGGGCCACATCATACAGAAGGCCTTTGCTAATCCTGATCTACCCCCCCCCCCCCATTATTAGCACTATTTCTCTCTCGCAATTATTTTGCATACGTTTGTATTTACTACTTTTTAAGTGAAAACACCCAAAAGAATAACAGCACCTTCAGTGCAAGGGGTGTGTGTGTGTGTGTGAGTGTGTGTGTGTTGGCTCTCCAGCACCTAGCAGTGTCCTGCACATAGTAGTTATTTCATAAATGTTTGTTAAATGGAAATCCTACCTCCTTCATCAAGCCTTCTCAAATACTGCTTGAGGGCAGGGATTAATTTTTAATTTTAATTAATTTAAATCTTTATATCCTGCCTAGCACAGTGACTTACACATCGTAGGCTATAAATCAATCAAAGCTTGTTGGATTAGATTGGATCGTAATCCATCTTCTGGACTCCCTCATCGTCCAAACTCACTCCAACTCTCGAGTGCTGAGAATCTAGCTAGAACTCGGATATACCTTTGGAATTAAACTGAATGTGGTAATCTTGTATTCTTTTTTTGCTCCTTCCCACCCCAAAAACTGCCCTCGCCAGCACTGTACTCTGAATACGTCAGCCTCACAGTAAAGAAAGCTGACACACGCACCCCGACTCATCTTCCTGCCCTGCAGCCCTGGACCTAGGCCAAGGCTGACAGACAGAGTGTGTTTATCGGGTGGGACTAGGGGTATTATGGACAAGGCGAGCCTAGAGACTTCTCCTCAGAAGAAAGCAGTCCCGGCGGAGGAGTGAAGGGAAATGCAGGAATTCAAGAGTTACAAGCCCCTAGCAGGTTCCAGGGGTAGAAGCAAAATCCACGGCCCTTCATTCTAGGACCACGCCTCTCCACAAAACCGGAACCCAGCCCCTATCTTCAACTGACAGCCACTTCACCCAATCACAAGCTGCGTCGGGATACGCACGGCACCCGCTGCAAATGGTGGCCTCGCTAGACCAAGAGCTTCAGCCAATCAAAGGGCGCTACAAATTCAGCACGGTCAGCCGGCCCCACCCAAGCCATCCCCATTCAGAATGACAAGACTGTTGGCCAATAAGGAACGAAGATAAATGATTATCCCGCCTTGAACTGTCAGAGTTCCCTTGGCCCACAATGGGAAACAGAGATTAACCCCAGAAATGGCGCCCAGTTACCTCGTGTGAGACACATTCCAGCGACCTCAGTTCGCTGCAGTAGCGGCAGAAGTATAGCTGAGACAGCGGAGCCCGAACCTTTTTCTCTCCTTGGACCAGGTACAGAACCCGCTCCGATTGCAGCAGCGACGCCATCTTGAAATGGGAGGTGCCAAAGCGACTCACCCCTATCACGTGACCAGAGAGACAACTGTTTCCTGCTGCCCCGCCTACTCCCTCCTTTTGTGGTTACGTCACTTAGAACCATCAAGTTCTTAGGAACCCCTGTAATCTTAGGTTTGTGTGAGGGCATGCGATGTACAAAACGCGCATGTGCAGTTGGGGAAGTAGGCTGGGAAAGGGTAATTGGAGTGTCTTGGTTCTGGGGTCTTGTGGGTAGTAATGAAACTTATCGTACTACTGTCCGCTCCAGTTGTGTGCCCTGAAAGGAGCTGTTAGTTCAAACTACAGATTGTATGGCTTTATGTATCCTTCCATCCACCAGCAGTCTCTGCCTGACAATCCACTATTAGATCATTACTCTTCAAAGGGTTTTTATAAGTGCTCTGAGCCTATGATAAGAGCATCCCGTCCTTCCTCCTATTGAATAGACTTCTATTTGTGCACCCTGATTGTGAGCTAATTTTCCCTTACCTTCCTCCCTTTGTGGAAAGGGGGTGACCAAGCGTCAGTTGACAGACCTCTGTTAAAACACCTACTGTGTGCCAGGCATTGTGCTAAATGCTGGGGAATACAAAGAATGGCAAAATTCAGCCCCTGCCCTCAAGGAGCTCAGTCTAATGGGGCGACAACATGCAAACAACTATTCACAAATATGATACATAGGGGATAAATTGGGAGTTATCTCCAAGGGAATGTACTAGCATTAAGGGGGAATCAGGAAAGGCTTCCTAGAGAGGTGAGATTTTAGTTGGGATTTGAAGGAAATCAGGGAATGGGAGGTGGTGGTGATGAGGAGAGAGAGCATCCCAGTGACAATACTTAGAGTGATGTGTGGCAGGAACAAGATGGAGGCCAGTGTCACTGGATCTCAGGGGAGGGGCAGGATGTAAGGTGTAAAAACACCCTGGGAAGCCAGGAAAGATCCAGATTATGAAGGGCTTTGAATGCCGAGCAGGATTTTATACTTTATTTTGCAGGAAATAGGAAGCTACTAGAGTTTGATGAACAGGGGGCATGGTCAGACCTTCACTTTAGAAAGATCACTGGTAGCTGAGTGGAAGATGACCTGGAATGGAGAGAGACTTGAGGCAGGGAGATCATTGGAGAGATGGCTGGCACAGGAATCAGAGCAACTTGGATTCTAGTGGTAGTTTTGCCACTGATGCTGATTTTATGCTGATTCTAGTTCTAATTCTGTCATTAATTTTTTGTGTCAGTCACTTCCTCTTTCTAGGCCTTTGTTTCTTCCACTATAAAATGACTTGCCTGGGGTGGCATAGCTTATAGCAAGTGTCTGCCCAACCTCAAAATTTTACAGTGGAAGAAACATCTGTTAAATGAAGGGGTTTTCTCATCTGTAAAATGAGGGGGTTAGACTCTGGCCTCTAAGGTCTCTTCCAGCTTTAACTCTTCCATTCTATGATCCCATGACCACACAACCCCTGAAGTCCCTTTGAGCGCTGACATTCTATGTTGTAACAGGCAGCCTAGCTCTGACATTCAGGGTTGTGAGGTCTCCGTCGAGCTCTGACTCTCTAGGATTCTAATTGGTGGGGTTTCTGGCAGTACAACAAATGAAATAAACATTTGCAAGTGGTAGGTGGGAGATAATTTGGAGCAGAAGGGCTTTCTCAGCATCTCTTAATTCATAGCATACAGGTTATAGGCAAGGCCGAGCTTGCTTTTGGGAGTTCTTTGAGGAAAAAGGCATTACTTGTTAGACATGCAGGCCCTGGTTTTATCAGCTGTTCTTTTCATTTAATATAATATCTGAATTTGTTTCCTTTTGTCGTTTTTAGGCAATAATAAACAATTTAGGCTGCCCCTTTTGTGCCTGTTACTTCAGCTGTGGAGTCCTCAGGGAAATGAAAGTCACCTACAGAGAATGATTCATTAGTGACTGGGAGAAGTGGCATTCATCCTGGTCTTTGAGACAGCATGTGGATAGAATGTTCTTTGGGCCTGGAATCAAGAAAACCTGAGCTCAAATCTTGCCTCAGAAACTTCCTTGCTGTGTGACCCTGGGCAAGTCACTTAACTGCTGTGTACCTCAGTTTCCTCAACTGTAAAATGGGGATCATAATAACATCTACCTCCCAGGGTTGCTATGAGGATCAAATGAGATAAGATTTGTCAAAAACTTAACAGTGCCTGGCACATAATAGGCACTATATAAATCCTTGTTCCCTCTTTCTGCAGACCCAGAATTGACCTGCGATGGATCTTTCTGATCCACTGACAAGGGATGTGCAGAGATTAGAGATGTACGGTCAACAGAGAGTCACTAAAGGAAGATCAAGGCTTCTAACCCAGGGATGGGGAACCTGCGGCCTTGAGGCCACATGTGGCCTTCTAAATCCTCAAGTGTGGCCTTTTGACTGAATCCATTTGGATTCCCCAACCCTGTAAATCTACCCAGTGACCTGACTGACGTATGATGCTCTGGAGTAAGGAATAAAGTAAAACCTTCATTAGACTTAGCTAGACAATGACCATTAACATAATGTATGTGTTCTGTATGAAATGTCTGCATGTAACCTATTTGGTCTGCCGTGTGAATGCATAACACCCCTAAATTCTGGGTTTAACTTGGACTGAGCTTGATTTTGGGGGGCTCCCCTCAAAAGTTACTCTTTAACTTAGTTTGCCCTCCCCAGAGTTTACTCTAGGAAATCTCAGGATACAGCTTATGTCCAAGTTTTCACAGACATGGGTAAAAGGGTTCCTTGGATCACTAAGGGTTTCAGAACACTTTTTGTTTCATTTTGACACGGGCTGGACTAGTGTTTCATCCATTCACAGTTGTGCTAGGAGGCACTGCTGGAGGAGCTAGCTCAGAGCATGTCTTCTTAAGCTACCAGAAGGTGCTCTAGGCTCAAGAGGTCCCTTAAGCTCCAGTGGTTCCAGCTCTCTCACTGGACATGTGCAAATGAAACAGCTGATCCAGTGGGTTGTCATATTTGATCAGGCTTCCAGATGTTGCTCATAGCTTTAGTTACTATTGCCTCATTCCTGGCACATGAGTGAAAAGTTCATTTTTGCCAGCCTTGGCTTTTCCCAGTGCTTTCCTGAGCTCTCTGTGTAGGAAGTGAATAACTCAAATGTTAACATAATAAATCTCCTATGATTCAGTACCCATCCCATTGAGATTCTGATCTCTTTTTTGAACTTTGTATAACCTTTAAAAATTATTCATTTGTGTAGGGTTCACAATACACTTATAAAAAGCAGAACCAAAATGAACACAATAGAGCACTCGCATTCGGGAACAGTGGAGCTGTTGCTGGGCAGAACCTGAAATCTTAATTCCCTCCCCCAAGTCTTCTGTTCCTCATGCTCCCCTGGCATCCCCAAAGACCATATAGGAATATATAGGGATCATCCTGCCCTAAGCATTTTGGTCTCAAAGGTCAACCAGTCAACAAGCATTTATTAAGCACCTACCAGGTACTAGACATTGTGGTAATCACTGGGGACCCAAAGGCAAAAGTGAAAAAAGGTAAAATCTGCAAGACATTTTCCATCTCAGCAAGCCGCATCCGCCTCCCACCATCTGGCTTCTTCTGGAATGACTGCCATTAGATGTCTTCATAGGCTCATTCGTGACCTAACAATTAGATGAAGTTATTGATGGATACCTCATGCACTATCACTGGAGGAGATGGTTGGGTTCTTTTAGTCATCTATTAGTCTATGGTGCCTCTCTCTGGTGTCATTTTTGTTGCTGTTGTTTTGAAATTAAATTTTATTTTTAAAAAGTCAGCAGAATTCCTCTTTCTCGACTCCCCAACCCCCAATTGAGAACAAAAGAAACATAGAACCTCTCTTACAAATATGTATAATAAAGCAAAACAAATTTCTGCACTGATTATGTTCAATATGATATATGTATACAAATATGTTTATATATATTCTTACGTATATGTCTCTATATGTTTAGATGTATGTATCTCAGTACTGTGAGTTCTTTCATATTTACATAATTCTGTGCATATATACACACACACATAGACAAACACACATATGTATGTCTCATTCTGCATGCTTGAGAACCTCTCTGTCAGGAGGTGGCTGACATGTTTCTTCATTAGTCCTTTGCAATCATTGCTGGTCTTTACACCGATCAGGGTTCCTAAGGCTTTCAATGTTGTTTGTCTTTACAATTTGTTTTCCTGGTTCTGTTCAATGAACTCTCCACTAGTTCACATAAATCTTCCCAGGTTTTTCTGAAACTATCTATCCCCTTGATCATTTCTTACAACATAATAGTATTCCTTCACATTTACATACCATAAGTTGTGTGGAGTATTCAAGGAGAACTAACATCTCTGGTGTGAGGGCTAGCCAAGGCCTTTTCAGGGCTGCTTATCCACCTTTGGTGTCCACCTGGCACTCAACTTTCACCTGTGGTTCCAAGAAGCTGTAGTATGCACATTGGCCACACCCCTCTCTCTTTAGACAGGCTAAACCAGGTTGAGGGTAACTGAGGAGTCTCAAACCCATCAGTGAGTCAGAGAGACGTTTACCCCAAGCATGTGAAGACATCCCTTGTAGAATGGGTAGATGAGAACAATTTTTTTTCCAAAGGCCACGAAGGGGACCAAAGCAGGCTCTGTGTCAGACATCAAAGATGTCAAGGTCATCCATTGCATCCTAGTTCATCACCAGTCATTCTGACTTTTGCCTTGCCGCTGGACTTTGATGACTGTGGAAGAGAGAGTGAGACTGATGTCTTTGTGCAACTTCACCTCACTTAATCCAATTCATGCATGAGTCAAGATATTACCCTGTGATATCACTGATCTGCTTTGAAAACAAAGGAGAAACAGCACCATAAATTGTTCAGCCATTCGCCAGTTGATGAGAACCCCCTCACATTCCCATTCTTTGCCACCTCAAAAAGAACTCTAAGTATTTTTCATATCTTTAGTCAGAGTTTGTTTTGCTTAGGACTAATCCCTCCCTTAATCTATATTCTAGGCACA